ATGAATATTGTAAAATTACATGAAAAATTCATGTTTTACAATAAATGTATATATTGATGACTAGGATTATTCTATCCTTGTGTTCATGCATGATGTTGACTCGGTTCGTGTGCGATTCCGTTCGATTGGTCAACATTCCGATTTCTTCATTTTCCTCATTTATGCGTAGGTCAGAATTATCTGAATGGTGAATAATAATAGGGAAAATGTTAGAATGGATTCGGTTCTCCTGTGGTGTGAGCTACTTATAAGTAGTATATGACGTGAGTGTAAACGTAATGTCTAGCAGCACAGGATGGGGGAAGATCAAGAAAGGAAGAGTTAGAAAACAATGGAATTTGTATGAAACGCATGAATAGTGACAATGGATTGATGTTTTGCAACAGGAACAGTCCAGTTCGATATGATGAACTAATATTTTGCAAATAACAATTTACGATATGGTTTTCCGATTTTACTGAGTAACTCTGTAATTTTCGCTTCTCGTTCTCGTTCACTACACTGCGTGTAAACCTTGAACGCAATTTCCTGATGAATGATTGGACTGAGAGTGTCATGAGCTCTAAATAGATGACGTTATCCAAAAACGTCCAAAAAATATCGAGATGAAATTTGTCCTTTGCGTACCGAGATACATTAATCAGTCAGTTATGCATCTGATGTTAATTCATGACCAGATATCTTGATCCCCTTTCCTTGAACAACATTTCTAACAGGACTGAACTAACGCACTAAATGGTGTTCAGGATTTAATGAAATGTCCTATCTCCTTTTGCGAAATTCGGGAAACCGACACTAGTATTAAGTATTTAGATCTCTCGTTACTGCACGTCAGGTATGTGTCTCCGAAGCATTGTTCAAGTATCGTGGGACAAGCAAGTAAGCAACGCTGTAGTTAGGAAACGGGTGCTAGGTAAGGATGGCGAAGGTCAATAGATGAAGTAACGAAGCTTCAACAGTTGAGGTGGTTATGGCATATGTTGCGTATGCCTAACCACCGACTGCCTCGTAGAGCTAGCTATGTTTTGTGATATAGGAATAGGTTGGGTGACAGATAGTGGCGGTCAGACCAAAACATGGCTGAAATAAAGTATTTAAATGGTCACGTAGTTGAAGTTGCAGCCGTTGGCCAAATTCGAAATAAGACGTTTGTGTGATGTGCGAGGTTTAAGTCGAAGCACTGAATAATATGTTGAATTGTGCTTGTTCATGTGTTCCGAATGATATTACGTCATAATGATCAGTCAATAGCATTCTCAGTTTGTTGAGCAGAAGGTGAACTTGTTTGTCATGGTTCATTCACATACTATTATTGGCTTCCATACCATCATTAGCAGTGAAATTTTCTGAATCGTATTATCTCTCGCAATCGTTCGACGAACACACTCTAAATGATCTAATGCTTCCTGTGATGTCGCGTTGGTATGTGATCTGACGAGTTAGTTTGAATTCGATTGTTCCGTCTCACCAAAATCTAATTGAAGATTATTCAATGAAGTGTGATTAGTCCCAATTTATTTAGAACATCAACAATATACAATGAAAAACTGGATTTTGATGTGCTCTGCATGAAATTGTATTTTGTTATTCTGTCCGACTGTAGCACAGCGTTAGATTCCAAATGAACACTGAATATCTCTACAGTTGAAGAAACTTCGCTAAACCATTGACAGTTTGCAGTTGCTTCTCACACGTTGCATAGAGATGATTATGTTGTAGTGTGAACGAATCTGTCAAGCATACAAGACAAATCTCAACCTTGGAACAAATTAATTATTGTATTCTTCTCCAGTTATACACATATCATTGAAACTTGTCAGTTATTTCCTTAGAAGCTAGATTTATTGCGTGTATGAATCACTCATCTCGGTTTTCACAAGTGATACTTGTTTTCGGCTGACTATAAATAATTAGTAAGGCCTAAACACATTAGGTTATCATATCGGTCTTCTTCAATTCATTTCGCCTTCTTGTCTGCATATGTGGATGAATGTATGAGATAAATCCAGTCTGATAACCGTTTATTACACACGGATACAAATTGATGAGACTTTTATTTGCATTCAAATATTATTTCTGTTTGTTTTCAAAAATCCTATTTCTCTACATCACTCTCAAGCATTACCAGAAGCCTACACGTTATTATATCTGCCGATTCAAAATATTATTCTGTCAACACTAAAGCATGGTTTCATTTTAGAAATGCTCCTCAGGAAACAGCTTGCAGACATCGGTATGATTCATGAGATGTAGGTCAAGGAATTCAGGTAGACTAATTGTGTTTCAGATTATGGAGCTGTTTGGAAATAGTTTGTTTGACTACTTATCGCTAACAGCATGCACATCAGGTTGAACAAAGTAATAATCACATAAAGACTAATTATGATTGTGTACGATGGAAAAGGAATCAAACAACAGTCTATCATTCCTGGATGTACTAATCACCAGAACTAACGCAGGAAAACTGGTTGACTCAAGTATCTCGAACGCCAACCTACACAGACCTAATTCTCAACTACGATAGCAACAATGCAAGAACCCACAAAATCAACTGCATACCAAACTTCGGTGAAGAGAGCGAAAACACACTGCAGCACATGTGAAGCACTAAAAAAACGAGGAAAAACACCTTGTGACTATCTTCCAAAAGAATGGCTATCCACGCAACTTCATCAAAAAACATCAACTGAAATCATTAGCAGAAGCGAAATCAAGTATAGGAACCTATAAACGGATCGTCCTACCATAGATCAAAGACATATCGGAGCATACAGTACGACTACTGAAACCATTGGGAATATGTGTGGCACACAAACCAACACAATCACTTCAATCAATCTTGTATGTAGACCAAAGGACAAAATGACAAAGGAAGAAAAACCAAATATCATCTACAAAATAAATTGCTCAAACAGTGAAAAACACTACATAGGACAAAGTGGACGTCCTCTTCAGCTTTGTTTACGTGAACATCAATTAGCAGTCAAACGCCATGACAACGCTTCGCTTATATCAATACACACTGACAATTATGGACACACATTTGACTGGAACAATGTGGAAATACTGGGTAGGGAGAGGACAAAGAACACTAGAGAATTTTTAGACGCTTGGCACTGAGGTCAATCAGCAATCAACAAACACATCGACATTGACCCAATTTATCAACTAATCAGGAAAATCATAGGTGACACAGGATCAAGAAATAGATCAAACGGGGGATGCAATCAAAACAAAGTTGCAAGCAACGACAGGTCAAAAGTCAACAGCAACCAATCAAGATCGAGGTTAGCAGAACAAGCTACACAGGTCATGCACGTGGAGAAATTCGAATGCTTCACTTCTACTATCTGAAGTTTGTGCTGATGATGTTGTTCAGAAGAATAACAATGAAAGCTCCACAACCAAAACACCCAGCTCAGAGAACCAAACACCACCACCACAATGATTGTACTGCAGAAGATCAGTCAGCTTGATACGATAAACTGTTCACATTTATTAGAACAGAGATAAATCAGTTTACGTTTTAGAGTCACAGTGGATCCGAATAATGTTAGAGAGGAAGTGACAGGAGAAGAAATCAATGAGATTAACAACACCAGATATGAAGAATTCATTCAATCGGTTACTTGTGTACATACAGTTCTAGTTTTTTTCCAAAATGTATAACTACTACTTTGTCAAAAATGCCTAACTATTTATTGAACCGTTTCTGACTCTTTTCTAACACGTTGGATGAGTATGTCTCCTCCATCTTATCAGTGTGATGCCCAACTTTTTGGTGAAGATACTTTTGTTCAAAAGCATCACACTCTGAAATCGGTAGTTCGAAGTAGTAGTATATTTGAAGTCTTAGTATTTTTCTGTGTGGGTATGTGTTAATTGTGTGAGCAGTGAGTAGAGTGATGAAATGTGGTTCACTCATATTATGTTATTTCAATTACAATGCGATCAGTAATCATATTGACTGGATATCTTTCTGATTCAATACATTGGGATGTTTGGTAATTTGTTATGGTAGACAGAAAATTTTAGAACTATGTTTTTTACTGTTTCGCAATCGCCAGCATGATATACTTGCGATCTTGAAGGGTGTGATAAGTTCCAGTGATAAGTTCAACTCTGTTCCACCGAAGAGGTTGGATTTGGTTGCTCAAGTCAGACTGTGGATTGATCGAAGTTCTTTGGTAACACACTTAGATGAAGGCTCAATGATTAAGAGGTCTGGCTTTCTCTTATAAAACCGAAATTCCTTGGTTCAAATGTTGGTGTCATGAATGCACACTGCCATTTATTAGTCCCATACAAAGCAAGAACAAACGGCTGTGTTAAGTGCTTCTAGGTTAGGTTTCCTATGGTGTTCTAACGATGATCGATCTATGGTCTCAATACAGTTCATAAGTAGTAGTGTGGTGTGCGCTACTTATAAGTAGTATATGACGCCAGTGTAAACGTAATGTCTGGCAGTAGAAGATGGGGGAAGATCAAGAAAGGGAGGAAGAGTGGGAACACAATGGAATTTGTATGAAATAGCATGAATAGTGAGTGAAATGTCAGACAATGGATTGATGACTGATTGAAGATTTGCAAATTAACCGTTTTCCTGTTTTACTGAGTAACTCTGTAATTTTCGTTAAATACAATTCGGTTGCCGTCACCTGTGTTCTCCTTCACTACAGTAGTTGTTCTTATGTTATTGGATACTCAATTTCTCCTACGTTTCTCCTAAACACTTAGTAATTACATGTACAAATTTGTTCTACAAATGAGTCGACAAACTAAATTTTTTCTTGAAATACAACCCTGAATAATTTTTGTTTGACTATAATAGACTACTAACACTCACACCGACCAACTAACTGTATTCTGTACTTTTTCTGTTACAAATAGCTTTTATCTACTTATAAGTAGTTTGTTAATTTCAATACAAAATCATCTCCGCAATATATATATATGTTCTTTTTCGAATATCAAAGATAGCCAAAAAAAGCAATAAAATCTTCTCTGAAATATATATATTTATATATATATTAATACAAGATATTCTGTTTACTTCTAAACAAAAAAACAAACACATTTATTCATTCCGCCCGCTGTTTATCAAGTCAAGGAAAATAATATACAATAATGATTAGAAATGTATCAACTACCGTTCAATTATCAATAATCAATCCTACTATTTATATACGGTTTGTTTGTTCAACAACTCAAACACACACCTACACACACACACAAATGAACAGCAGTTTTGAAAAAGAAATTAAAGAATCATTGAATGAATGGAAAGTGTTTAGGAAGAAAAAAAACTAACATCATCATCATTCAATGTTCAATATATGTAGCTTTGGTGTTTGTTTGTTTGTTTTAAAATTGACAAAAAGGTGAATGTAATACTGTAATAATTTGTGAGGCAAAAAACAATTGTGTGTGTGTGTGTGTTGTTTTATACACTCTGATCAGTTAAAACAAAAGTGAATTTTTGAAATTATCACACCTACACAGAGAGAGAGAGTCTGTTTGTGAATTAATAAAATGCTCGTCGAAATTCTGCTACATTCTTTAAAATATAATTATGACTTGTACGTAAATTACTACTATGTGATACTTCAATCCATTTGGATTGTTCTTCTGTACCAGGTTCATTGAGTAACTGTTATAATAAAGAAGGCAACGAGAAAAGACAATTTTAATGAAACAGTAAAATTCACTCTTTTATCTCTGTTAAATTTTTACTCTGATTTAAACAAGTTACGAGTTTTACGTGAAGAAATTTGAATACTTTACCTTAGTCGGTAAATGAGAGCGACGAGGATCGAGGATCCGGTGACACGACATGCTACTCAATCTGATTATCTCAAACCCCCATATTGAGTAATAATAAGAAGACTTGATATGAAGTAGAATGTGTATTCTACAAGTATCCAGAAAGTACGAGGTCCGAGTCCAGAAGAGAATCAGGATCCCGGACTAGGGATATAGGTCCGAGTCCGAGACAAAACTTTACAGATAAAGCGTATATATACATTTAGGTCGAATAGCAAACATCATCGAATTCTGTGACATTGACAGTTAAGGCGACCAATAAGAAACAACATTGGAGCACGTGACATTGATATCTGGGACGACCATAAAATTAACCAGTAGGAATTGACCAATAATTCTGTTAGGATATAGGATGAATACCCTAACAGAAATCGAGTGAACAAACCAGTCTTCAGGAATTAAAAGATACATGATAGTAATAAGTAAGATCCATAAAGATTGCCAGTTGGAAATGAAGCTAGTCCGACCAACGGCTTTAATATGAATGTAGGTAACTAGAACAACAGTGGAGTTTCCCAAATCAACTATCTAAGTTGAACATCGTCTATTCTTAATGACTATGTATCACACTCATGTAGTGTAATGGAGCGTAATGCTGATAAGTAAACTCATCCTTTAGTTGGCAGACATAAATTTTACCTGAATCACAAGTAATGTATGTTGGCAAAAGTCGGTCGAGCTTGTTAAATCCTTGTTAACATTTCGTCAGGAACTAAATCATGTATAGTGATGAGACTTTCAAGATAGGTGAATCTGTAGGTATGCTTTACCATTTCAATCTCAAATCGCATCCTCATCATACCACAATTATTGTTTTAAATGATAAGAAGACAGCATTTTTTGTCAGCGTTTTTAACAAAACAGAACTATATCGATTTGCACATTGTAAATCAACAATAGAATCTTCTGGTGTGAGATCAATTCAACAGAACCTACCTTCAGTATATCATCGGGTAGTTGAGCTCCTTTACTTTCAGATTCATGTAAATTAATCACAACAGTTTCCATCCATGCACTGTCCGCATTCAATTGATCATCTAAGTAACCTTTGAAAATCTGAAAAATTTGAAAAGAGATTCATAAAACATAAACCTTATTAAAATGGTTGGATATTTAAGGAAAAAATATAAGTTCTGATTAGTTCCTTATGTATTCTTAATGAGAAGCTATGGCTAGTGGTGTTCAACCATATCGATTGTGAGGCAGTTTCGTGTAGAAGACTATGAAAAATAGTCGCAAAATGTAGTTACGCTCGTCACTTGATATGCTTGAAACTATTACGAGCTCATCTTAATCGATAAAGGAGAACTAGACAATGAACCAGCGTTCAGGTAGGCTACCCTGATTCGTTGCCCCAAACTAACTAACGGAAAAGTCTTGATATAGCGTCGAAAGTGTATTCTATAAACATCCAGCAAATACAATGAATTCAAGCACACAAATCACGTTTATATATACATCATAGAAACGTCTTTGGGAGATTCACAAAAATAGCTTACTAAAATAACACATCAACCTATTACAGTCAAGGATTTTCCTGGTGGGAAATGTGATCTCAAGGTCAACTGATCAGCCCATGAATAAAATCCAAAATAAAGACATTAATCAAGTGTGCTCTGGGGATCTAGCGTCCTCAACAGGAACATTAACATCATCAGATGCCAACTGACTCATCTGGACACTAAAAATCTTGGGTTCGTTTCCTGTATTCGAGATCATAGATTCGCTGAGCTAAGCAACTTCATACTAGCACGAAGTGGCCATTCAGTGCTCTTAAGTTTTTGGTGTTAGTGAGGCTAAGATCACTTTTTATTTTCAACTGTGAAGATTTATTCTAATGTGAGCCAACCAAAGAACACATTAAGCTAAGAAATGCAGAAAGACACAAGGAGAACGCAAAACAGTTGGATAGAACTGCAAAAGGAAGCCTCTAGATAGAGTAGTTCGTAGAATACTGGTCAACAGCCTATATACAACGAAAGGAACATATCTATATTGTCGTAATAATACACAGAATTATAAATAGAAAATGTTCTATTCCCTACCTGTGTAACTTCAGCTTTTTCAATACGTTTTAATAATCTTTCAACACGTTTCTCTGGAAGCATAGCACGTCCACGTCGAGTAATTAAACTGCTTATTATCTTTGGTACACATTCATCAAAATCACATTTACTTGTATGATCTGTTAAATACTGAAATGAAGAATAAAATGTAAAGTAATTATGAACAACTTAAAAATCGGAGCTCCATGATATGTTGTGGTATGTACTACTCACAAGGTAGTATATAAGTAGTATGCAGCGAAGCTTCGCCTAGAAGTTGTTACTGGAGAGAGAAGTATATTGTAAAAATGTATATATTTATCTAGAGATTTTGTGTATAAACTTTTTAGAAATATACATACATGTATCTATTTCATCTAGTCTGAACGTTTTCGTACGCTTCCTACGGCGTTGCTCTAGAGGGAGGTATACCGTTCTATGGACGCTTCGGTGGTTTCAGGCGAGAGCGGTGTTAGAGGAAATGGTCTTCAGTGATGGGATGGAGATGAAGGACGCTCCAGATGCTTGACTAGTATCAATGTTCACTGGCTATGTTGATCAACAGAACTATGAAGGTCAACGCGCCTCGTGGCTCGACTTTTTGAAGGATGGGAAAGTATGGTGAAAGCTACTCACAAAGTAGGATATGAATAGTATTCAGCGAAGCGTCGCCTGAAAAATTTTAACTAGATAAAGGAGTATCCAGAGATGGAAACTTATGACTCGGTCATAATAATGTCATTTCATAAAAACTAACTGATGTATTCCTATGATTCTTAGAATATTTATTCTGTCTAACATTTGAAAGTTTCAATTCATTTCACTATAGATCACTTCTTTTATTCTCAATAATTTCAAAAATATATTGACTCTCTTTCTGACTACTTCATTTATAGAGATAAAAATGAAATCAAACTGATAAGTGAAGGTCGATTTGTGTTACATTTAGTCACGTAGAATTAAAGTATCCTTTGTAAATGGTATCCATTCAAGAGTTTACTACTTCGGCTGAAATTTACATCTTCAAACTGTTCAACACGACTAAAAAAGTCTGTAAACCTAATATTTTTTATAACTGCTCAATATTAGTACTCAATGAATACAGGGTTTTCAGTTAGAGATTTGGAGATTTGTTTTTTACACATTTGAAATCATCAATCAATCATTGTTAGACCACCATTAGAAACATGGAAGCATTAGACGGCTGTTCCGTCCTGGTATGGGACTGATCAGTGGCAGTGAGCATCCACGACTCCTGCACCCCGCGGGATACAAACCCGGGACCTTCGTTATTGTGTGCGAACGCCCTGTCGGATGTAGGTAGTAACTACCAAAGACGAACGGGCTGGGTCGCGCAAAACCCGTAGATCTATCAGAGTTAGACATTAACAACGTCGGATGCCGGCGTTCGCACACAATATCAAAGGTCCCGGGTTCGAATCCTGCGTGGTGAAGGAGTCGTGGATGCGCAGTGCCACTGATGAGTAGTCCCATACCAGGAAGAAACGGTCGTCCAGTGTTTCCAGGTTTCTAATGGTGGTCTAACTAACAATGATTGCTTGATGATTTCAAATGTGTAAAAGAAACAATAATGGTTATTCGATTTCATAGTACACTTTTACATAGATGAATAAATCTTACATCACATATGTATTTTGAAAATTCAATTTCTAAACAATATTTTCCACATAATAACATCAACAACAGATAAAATGTTTGTATTAATAAACATTTCACACACACACATACTTACCCATGGCATACATAATCTTTTATTACGTTCTAATGCTAAATACTGTAATACACCACGATTACTTCGTATCACTTGTGCCCCGGTACGTGTATCTCTTGTCCATCTTGTAATACATAATACAAATGAATGATTTGGTCCCCAACGTGGTAATAAACCTTTACCTAATAAACCAGTTCGACCCATTGGATTTAATGGTGCTCCGGTTGTTGAATCTAAACGATATCGACCAAGTAAACTTTGTCTGCGTAGTTTCGCCTTCGAATCATATTGATTGAAATTGATAGTTCGTAAAGTTTCACTATGTTCAAAAGTAAATACGATGTTGCCATGTGTGAAACTGTACGTGGAATACATCATCATGATTATCAACACGTGTGTAATAAAGAGAAATTAGGATTTAGTGTCATGTATTGATTTTTTATGTGAAGTGGACGTGAATCAGGTGAACGATTTGAGTGGGTGTGTGTGTGTGTGCGTGTAAGTGCGCACAAATGACGAAGTCGTGAGTTCAATTTATATATACAGAGAAGAAAAGTAACAATGATTGACTTTAGATTTAAGCTTTAATCTATTGGGCATGCAGGGGATTCATGCAATCTGATTGGCTAACTATGCATGACAGAGGCATAACAAAATACACTGGTATGCTCAATATTGTTAGTAGGTATCATAGAAATGTTAGTTAGTTAACTGATAAACTACTACTACTACTACTATACGCTGAATTATATTGTCATGCAATTTTTTCACTGAAATAGTTATTTAAAGTAAGTAATAACAAGCTGATTAACTTTATGTAGTTTGTGTCAGTCAGTTAGTCAGTTAGTCAGCTGCAACGTAGGTAGGTACGTTGCTCAGTTCAAATTACCAAACCAAATTAGCACACACAGAGATGAAATTGTCAATTGAAATCCTATAGGAGTAGAGATTAGTAGATGTATTAGTGGTAATAATGAAGATTAGGGTTTAAAGCTATAAGTGGTATACGCCAGTGAAATAAATTCTAAAACAGAAAGGCAGAAGTGATGAGGAATTCAGTAGATTAGAATTTGAGAGAACACAAAAACTGAACGCATCTGTGGCATTGCAAACGTCCTTTTTTAAAGTCACTAACCATCAGTTATTATTGCTTAGTGGACCCAAACCAGGTAGACTTGTTAGGATATTCATCCAATATCCTAAGAGAATTATTGGTCAATTCCTTTCGGGTAATTCCTACTACCTACCAGTCAATTGTATGGTCGTCCTAGATGTCAATGTCATGTGCTCCAATGTTGTTTCTTATTGGTTGTCCTGACTATCAATGTCACTTCAAATGTTGCTACTTATTGGTCGTCTGAACTGTCAATGTCACAGACTTCGATGCTGTTTCCTACTCGACCAAATGTCTGTAACGTTTTATGACCCATATCCTTAGTCCGCGCCCATGATTCTCTTCTGGATTCGGACCTCGTACTTTCTGGATGCTTGTAGAATACACGTTCTACTTGATATCAAGTCTTTTCTTCTTTTACTCAATATGGGGATCGGGATAATCGGATTAGAGTAGCATGTCGTGTCACCGGATCCTCGATCCTCGCTCTCGTTTTCCGACTAAGGTAAACTCGTAATAGTTCAAATATATCAAGTTGACGTGTTTACGTGCAGGCGTAACAAGTCTATGCCTACTAACATGCCTGAGTTAGGTTATCAGTGTGTTCACGCATTTGTATCATGTTTTGGTCTGACCACTACAAGCTTACTTCCAGCCTACTTCTACATCACTCGTCGAAGCAGTTAATAATTGGGCATACGTACGTCTCAAACATCTCAACTGATGAACATTCAATACTTCTACAGTTGGTCCGCCATCTTTATCTAGTACCTTTTTCCTAACACTAGAATCGCATACTCAGAAGTTGCAGGATATGTTAGCAATGTTTTGAAGACACTTATGATTGAAAACCAGTCACCTACGAATATCCTATACTCTTACAGGCCATGTTTCGCACCAGTATAGTAGGACAGAGCGAACTGACGTGCAGTAAACCCGGTCTTTGGTTGGTAGACGGATATCTCGCCTTAGCTATTAATGACGCAGGTTGGTGTAAGCTAGTCGAACATTCTATATCCGTGCTAAGGGTTCGTCATACACCAGATCATCAGTTCAGCACTGATAAGACCCCCAGGATAAGCACGGCGGTTAACACGCTAGACGACTTTACTACCCATCACTAGTTCAGGTACTGACGCAGCCCGATTCTGAAGCAACAATTTGCATTTCGAGGGTGGAAATTGCATCGCGAACATGCTTGTATTGTTGCTTAGCGTAGTCAGAAGTCTCTGCGTTTTGTCAGCTTCTTCACCGAATGAAATTATGTCATCTACATATTCTAGCTCAATTCCTAAGAAATCAGACGAGAAAGGTGTTATCTGTAAAACGCAGGTCTGTGACAAAGTTTAATAAGAATGGAGAGAGTGGAAAACCTTGGTGAACACCACTTTTAGTAATCTGTTCGAATGCAGTTCACCCTAAGCTCTGACTCCATCAGTAATGTCCGAATACAGAGCTTTTATAAGGTCAATGGACTTCTCCATTCAGTGGCAGATCCTGGCATAGATCTTCAGGATCAACAGAGTCAAATGTCGCTTAAAGGTCGAGAAATACTACTAATGTGGAGCGTCTGAACAAGTTTCTATGTTCTAGGACTTGACGTAGTGTGAATATTCGGTCTATACATCCAAACACTGGTCTAAAGTCAGCTTGGTCCAGTAAGACGCAAACAAGTACGCGCTCGCACTAGAGCATGAACTGAATCTGAACATTTGCTCTAGAACGAGCGACAGTCTTCTATCGAACACATCCATTAGTGGCTGATAGCGATGTATACTAGTTGGGTCCAGCGTTGGGACGAATATGGGAGTCGCCATGTCAAAAGATGTTTTGCCTTGAGCTTGAAGTTATTATTTACTGAAAATAGGTGATTACCTGAGCATAGCTGAAGCAAATGGTTGCCATTATCTGTTATTTGGGTCGCGACACCATAAGGTTCACCTAGATGACTTTCCTTTTCATTTGGTCTGCCTACTCGAGCATTGAAGTCACTCGCCGCTATTACTACATCAGGGAGCTTAAGTTTTTGGAGAAGGCTAGAAACCTGTTTGTAAAATTCATCTTTTACCTCGTCTGAGCTACAGTCAGTTGGAAAGTACAAAGAAAGAACTAAGAGGCTAGAAGCAACTTTGAAGCGACCATCCAGTGCTTCCAGGTTTGTCATTGGCGGTGTAACTTTGATGTATTCATGAAATTCAACAATCTTCACAATGACATGAGTTTATATAATTTTGATCAAGCTTAAACAGATGTATACAAGAGGGTATGCTATATGCTTTAAAAAAAATCGAAACTTTAATATCACATGTACAGATGGATTGTTTTAATCTCACTTCTTTATTTATTAACTCATGCACTTATAAGATATATGTATATAGAGTTATGAAGATGATTGAGTTACTCTTTGAAATCATGAATCGATCATTGTTAGACCACCAGTAGAAACCTAGAACCACCGGACAGCCGTTTACTCCTAAAATGGGACTCCTCAGCAGTGCACATCCACAACCTTCACTACTCATAGGAATCCAACTCAGGACCTTCGGTCTTGCGGGCAGATGCTTACCCTTCAGACCACTGGGTTGGCATCCACTGAAATTCAACAGTCTCCATAACTCGTTAATGAATATTATAGAATGAGCTGACTAGTGATTAGGCATGTGAGGAAGTTCTGCACTTTCTGGTGAGAAACGGTGACCAATAGAGTTTAACCCCATATTGGGTATAGGCACTAACTACCGAAAAACATTGGTTAGGTTACGTAATACCTTATATTGGTCAAAGTGAGACATTAACTCCGTTGGATGCTGACTCAAGGATCTAGAGATTAGGTTTTCTTGCGAGTTGGATTCATGACAGTAGTGCGGCTCGTGAGTGCGTACTGCTGTTAAGCCCTATACTAGGGCGAAAAGGCCCTTTAGTGCTAACAGTGATCGATTTTATGATTTCACAAGGCATTCACGCATGCAATCAATAAAACTTATCGTAATTTCACATACTTTGCACCATCATTTGACTCTTCCGATGGAAACAATAACACTTCTTCACAAGCATCATAAGCGAAATAATCAGGATATTCAACCTAAAATTGAACATGAAAAGTGTGAAAATAAAATTAGTCAGTCTATATACACTTGATTGTGTGATTTTTGATTTGATTTTTGTTTGTTTCAAAGTATCCGATCGATGTATTTGTATTGATCGATTCCTGTAAATTATACTTCATGGAATAATAGTATTGACCAAGTCGGTTCATTCAATTATACATCGTAAAGAATCACATATTTATGTGGATGGGGTTCATGTTGTCAATGTACATGTTAGGATATTCATCTAATGTCCAAAGAGAATTATTGGTCAAATCCTTCCTATTGGTCGATTTTTATTGGTCAAAATTATGGTCGTTTTAACTGTCTGTTGTTTCTTATTGGTTGTCCTGACTATCAATGTCACTTCAAATGCTACTTCCTATTGGTCGTCTTAACTGTCAATGTCACAGAATTCGATGCTGTTTCCTATTCGACCAAAATGTATAAATACGCATTATCTGAAACGTTTTATGATCAGGACCAGGACCCGGTCCCGGATCCCTAGTCCGGGATCCTGATTCTCTTTTGGATTCGGACCTCGTACTTTCTGGATGCTTGTAGAATACAGGTTCTACTTCAGATCATGTCACCGGATCCTCGATCCTCATTTTCGTTTTCCGACTATGTAAACTCGTAATAGTTCAAGTATACCAAGTTGACGTGTTTACGTGCAGGCGTAACAGTACATTAGTACAGTGAAATAACAGAGGTCTACGGTCTATGGTGTTGCTAAGTATTCTCAGTCATATCATCCAAAGTCGTGAATTATTGGTTAGTATAGTTACGTAAATCATCATCAGGTAACCTGAAGCTACTGATACGCTTAATTCCAGTTTATTCCTCTGTAGTTTTCTTGCAATCTACTACGGTAGACACCAACAATTGTTTACTTGAAAAACTTAACGTATTGAAGATAGCTGTCAGTAGCAAGTTCGAAGCGTTGCACAATCTACTCAATGAAGAGTAAAGTACCATTGATAACAGTTCCTAAATGTATCAAGGAATTGATAGCTCACGATACTGTGGATAAGATTCAAGAAAGGAAGAACAAGAAAGCAGCTATCAATACCAACTAAGCAATGAAAGAGAAAACCAAGGAACAAGCCGATTACACTGAAGTAAACAAGCATGTGAAGAGGAACATCGTAGCTGACAAATGTAAATATGCGGAAGACCTAGCAATGATGGCGGAAAAGCTCAGGAGAAGGAAGCTTGAGAAAATTGTACGATACAAAAAAGAAGGTCGCTGGACATTAACGTAACCAGAGCGACCAGTGAAAAGCAAGGAAGGTGGAGTAATCACCGACATTGAAGAATAGCGAAACCGGTGGGTATCAGCAACAACTTACTGTGGGAGAGAACAAACCAGGTTCCACTGGAGGAGGAAATCAGGAAGAAGCGGTGGAAGTGGATAGGACACACACTACAAAAAGCACCTAACTGCATCACAAGTCAAGCTCTCACTTGGAACCTTCAAGGCAAAAGGAAGAGAAGAAGGCCAAGGAACACATTACGCCGAGAAATAGAGAAAGATATGAGAAGAATGAACAAACATTGGACAGAACTGAAGAGGGAAGCCCAGGACAGAGTGGGTTGGAGAAAACTGGTGGGCGGCCTATGCTCCATTGGGGGTAACAGGCGTAAGTAAGTAAGTGAGAAACCTGTGGGTGAATCACTTTAAGGAACTCTTGAATCGACCAGCCCTACTGAACCCACTCAACGAAAATTGAAGAGACCAGCATGGTTATCAGACAAATCTAGAGCAGCAAGACAGCGGAACCAAACAACGTTCCAGCACAGGCACTGAAAGCAGATGTAACTGCAGTAACTGCAAAGATACTCTTCAACCTTTTCAGGAAGATTAGGGATCAAGAACAAGCATCATAAGATTGGAAAGAAGACCACTTGATCAAAATACCAAAGAAAGGTGATCACAGCAAGTGTGTGAACTACAGAGGAATCATTCTACTCTCAATGCTGTTGTTAAACAGAATGAAGGAGTCTGTACATGCCCAACTTTGAGGTCAGCAGACTAGATTCCGTAAGGATTGAATGTGTACCGACCGAATTGAGACAATACGGATCATTATGGAACGATCATTTGAATGGAACTCACTAGTGTACATCAATATCCTTGACCACGAGTAAGCATCTGACAGCACGGACAGGATAAAATCATGAAAGCTTCTTCAACACTACGGTGTACCTGAGAAGATAATCAACATTATGCTGACTTCTTATGGTGGATTAAACCACACAATCGTGGATGGAGGATAGCTCACAGTCTCGTTTGAATTGAATACCGGTGTCATGCAAAGTTGCATACTCTCACCCTATCTCTTTTTCATAGTGGTCGACTGGATTGAAAGGCGTCAAAATCTGAGGAGAAGCACGGGATACAGTGAAAAACTAGGATGCAGCTGGATGATCTAGACTTCGCAGATGGCTCTCCTGTCGCACACACAGCAACAAATACAAGCAAAGACGAGCAGTGTAGCAGCAACCTCAGTAGCGGTTGGTCTCAACGTACACAAGGGTATAAGCATGACTTTTCGATACTACATAACACGCGCCAACCAAACCACACATTATGGCGAGGCTTTGAAGATATAGACACCTTCACAAACCTGGGCAACACCACTGACGAGCTTGGTGGATCTGTTGCAGATGTGACGGCGTGGATCAACAAAGCAACAGCGGATTTTCTACATTTAAAGAACATTTCGAGTTTCAAATAACTATGGACCAGCACCCGAGTTAGAATTGTCAATACAAATGTCAAGATAGTTTTACTACATAGAGCGGAAACTCAGAGATCTGCAAGAACCGCCATCCAAAAGATACAAATGTTTATTAACAATTGTCTATGCAAGATACTGATGATTCATTGGCCATCAAAAACAAACTACTGTTCAAAAGAAAATCAACCAAATTCCAGCTGAATAAGAAATCAGAAAAACCTTCTAAAGGTGGATAAGACACGCATAGCGTCACGAGGCAAACGCAAACTTGAAATTTTCAAAGAGAAAGGGAAGAAGTGGACCAATGAATACATTGTACCGAAAAATTGAAGAAACATATCAGAAGAATGAATAACATTTGGTGACATTTGGAAAGCTGAGTCCAGGACAGAGTTAGTTAGAGAATGCTATTCGTCAGTCTATACTCTTTAATGCATAACATGTGGAAATAAGTAGATATATAAATAGTTAGTAAGAAATTTCATTCGAAACACTTATCAATCTATTTGCCATGTTTGATCATGAAACTTCACATGCCTAGTTAAAACACTTACAGTCCATGCCATACGTTCCGGTGGTACATTCATTCTCATACCAGGATATTTTTCAAAATTAAACGGTGCCATTCTCCATAATCTATGATCACCTAATGTTCTTTCAATAACTCGACCGGTTTTACTATCTGGAACTTGTGGTACTAATACTGGATCAGCCGACGGATCACCTCCACCTTCTTCGGAACCACTGGATTCATCTTCGGATCCTGGGACAACAGCAGCCAGTAATACAGGTGATTCCCTGAAGAAGAAAAAAATAATAATTCAAACATTTTGTTAAACACTTCATAGATGATATACACTAAGATGAATGTCATCTTATGGCACACCAACGTTATAATTTAAACACTTGTCTTGATGGACAATAGATGAAGTATAGCTAACTCATTTCATTCATTACACAAACAATAAGTAATAGTTATATTTTTTGAAACCATGAATCGATCAATGTTAGACCACCATTAGAAACCAGGAAGCACTGGACGGCCGTTTCGTCCTGGTATGGGACTCATCAGTGGCAGTGCGCATCCACGACTCCTGCACCCCGCAGGATTCGAACCCAGGAAGACGTGACCAGTGAAGTTCAACCTGTTCGGGTTGATAATTGATCGAGTAGAGTGACTTTCATCATTAATACTGTGTTAAAGTTTTGTAAGATTTGTGTACATTTCCATTATGGTTTCTGTTTGTTAATCTTTTACAGAATGATTTACTCTGTCCAGTAACTGTTATGTTCGTCACTTGATACTCTTGAAGTTATTACGAGTTCACCTTAGTCGATAAACGCGAACGAGACTTTTACCAGCGTCCAGGTAGGCTACCTTGAATCCCCCAAATAGAGTAAGAAGGCTTTGCAAGCGTAGAAAGTATATTCTACAAATATCCAGCAATCTTACTACAATCAAGCATACGACTCTCGTTTATTTATACATTATAGAAACGTCCTTGGGACATTGAAGAAAATAGCACACTAAAATACACAGCAGCCAATCACAGCCATGGATTTTCCTGGTGGGAAATGAACTTTCAAGGTCAGCTGATCAGCCCATGTTGGCAAACGTGAAAACAAAAATAAGGCATTTATCAAGCGAGTTTTGGGGATCTAACATCCTCAACAGTAACATTTGGTTGAATTTATCAAGAAAACGCGACCAGTGGAGTTCATCAACCCTGTCGAGTGTGTTGGCAATATATACCGAAGACAATGGGTTGGGTTTTGTAAAATCCTTAGATCGATCAGAGTTAGACATTGACACTATTGGATACCGACTCAGTTTGAGTATTCGCGTGCAATGCCGAAAGACCTAAGTTCGAATCCTGCGAGTAGTAGGAGTCATGGATGCTCACCAAGACGAAACGGACATCCATCCAATGCTTCCAGGTGGTTTGAAGATGATTAAGTCATGATTTCTATGTAAAACAAGGATCTTCGAAATACTATACAGGAAATTTTAGTAAAATTAACGAGCTGAGAAAGCTTCATTTCTATATCGCTTATCAAAGAAGATCGTGTCAATTGAAACATAATTCACAATGATAATATTTTTGATGATCATTTACTCACTCAATTAATTATTTACTTACATACTTACTTACTCACTCAATTACTTACTTACTTACTTACTTGCTCACTAGCTTACTCACTTACTAACTAACTAACTAACTAACTAACTAACTAACTAACTTACTTACTTACTTACTTACTAACTTACTTACTTACTTACCCACTTAACTAACCTACTTACTTACTTACTTACCTTCTCATTCATTGTAATCTTACGTACATGCACACACACACACGTAATATTTAAACATATTTACCTTGGCGGTGGAGGAGGTGGTGGAGGTGGTGGCGGAGGTGTTGGTGGCCGTAAAACATCTTTCGCTGCTTCTAATGCCGATTGAATAGCTACTTCTAGTTTTGTACGTTTTCTAGTCTCCGGTGTGGTTGTATCAGTTGGGAGTGTAGAAGATTTTTGTACAGGAACAACTTCATCAGTGAATTCATTACACTGACATGTAGGTAGTTCATTTATTTGACGAATAATCTGTAAAATAAAAAGAAAGAGTTCACTAATACGAATACAATTTGTTTAAAAAGATAGAAATATCTTCCATTACCGCTAGAGGTTAGGCGTTTGCCGATGCAAGACTGAAAGTCCTATGTTCGAGTCCTGCGAGTTGAAGGAATCGTGGATGCGCACTGCCGTACAGTGCTTCCAGGTTCCTTAATGGTGATCTAACACTGATTGTCGATTCATGATTTCAAAGAGCAACTCCTCTTGGAGCTCCCTTAGGGTTACTGCCGGTCCCAAGCTCGGGTAAAGGGAGAAAGTTGAGCTTGGGGTTGGTGATCCCATTCCATAAAAACCCAACTCACTAAAAAAATCGCTAACCAGAAAAAAAATACTCAGTAACCTCTAAAACACTTTCATACAAAACATCTAATTTATATCAATCACTTCACATCATTTAGTTAATAGTTAGCTGTCCTTCAAAACTAACTTTATGTTTCCATATGGACCTGTATTCTCAATGATTGTTATATTAAGTTAACCGCTGATTTCTAGCTATTTTGAACTGGTTCATATCTATTGATCAATATGTATATTGACTTCACATAGGACTGGATGTTAAAATTGTAGCTTTATTCAGTTACCTTCATAGTTGCTTTGTAGATTGATATAAGTGATTGATACTCGTGCAAGGTTGTAAAACATTTGCCGATTTTCTTGGGAGGCCACTCCCAAGAGCCTTTGATCTGTAGATCTGGTTCCTAAGGCATTAGAGCAACATTAGGAAATTCAGTTCCATAACAGCTGGTGACCATATGATCCTGGGGTCCATATGTACCAGTAGTTTGTAATGAAGGGTGTTATCAACTCCCCTAAATGGTTAATTAGACCATGCTTAGAAACTTGGAAGCACTAGACAGCCGACTTGTCCTAGTGAAGTTCTGGTCAACATTGAACATCCGTGACCCCCAGACATGGAAGTGTTCAACCCTACTGAAAATCACTCACTTTTCGGTAATATTTTTACAACATTTTTTTCACTCTACTAATAAATTGTAAGTAATATGATTTTCAAATTTTAATGTTAATTATCTCCCTAACTTACTCGTTGTTGAGTCTCAGTCACATTATTGATTACTTCCGATAAATTTGTTAATAATTGTGTTACATCATTCAGCCGTGAATCGACATCGTTAAAACGTTGAAACTGATTATCGATCTCTTTAAATCGTTTCTCTAATTCCATTCCAATACCCTGATTTAATTTTTTGAAAAAAGCAAATACAAATGAGATAAAGGTGTTGTAAGATAAGAGGATAAGATTTTTCGATAATAAAACTGTGCTGGGAATAAGATATTTTACTGAAATCATGATTTAATCATTGTTCGACCACCATTAGAAATCTGAAAACACTGACTGGAAGGCCAGTTTGTCCTAGTATGGGACTCATGAGGAGTGGGTATCCATAACCCCTCTGGCGGAAATCGAACTCAGCAATTCTGGCCTTGTGCTGGAACGTTGTTAATGCCTAAATTTGTCATTGAGGATTCCACTTGAGGGTTTGTCTTGTGATGTAATTAGGTGTTTTCCTTCATGTGTAGCCCATTCACCTCACAGTGTCTAACCAACGGATCCTCAATATCTTGCGTAGGCAACTGTTATTTAAATACTTGTATCTTGTAGGCAATAGCTTTCATGATTCTCCAAGTTTCCGCTTTATACAATCAAACTGTCTTGATGTTCTCATTGGCGAATGTGACTTTAGTGTTGGTTGATAGTTGTGTTTGAGTTCCAGATGTTGTTCAATTGTAGAAATGCACCTCTTGCATTGCCAATCCTCACCTTCATCGTGTAATCTACATTACATTTAAACACTTTTCATTTAATTCTAAATATTCAACGAACAGTCAACATTCACTGACTAATAAATCTCATTGAATCAACAGTAATAATTGTAGTGCCTCCACATATAATATTCCAGTTCGCTTACATCTAACTTGGTTATGCACCTTCGATTAATTTATTTAACCAAGCCATTTGTGATGGTGGGGAAAACTTGTAGCTCAGGAGAATGATTGTGGTGGTGTTTCGTTCTCTGAGCTGGTTGTTTTGGTTGTGGAGCTTTCATTGTTCTTCTGAACAACATCATCAGCACAAACTTCAGATGATACGAGTCTTCTTGTTGTCACGAGCGGCGTTGCCAGCCAACTCAAGAACTTCAGCCGCCAGGTATTCAAGAACAGCTGCCACGTAAACAGGAACACCAGCACCGACTCGTTCAGCGTAATTAACCTTGCGAAGCAGATGATGAACACGACCAACCGGGAACTGGAGACCAGCACGGGCTGACCTGGTTTTCGCCTTGGCTCGAGACTTCCCACCTTTACCGCGTCCACCCATTGTCAGTTAGAGCAGAGAAAAGTGCTTCACTTCTATTTGAAGTTTGTGCTGATGATGTTGTTCGGCAGAAGAACAATGAAAGCTCCACAACCAAAACAACCAGCTCAGAGAACGAAATACCACCACAAGACATAATTTGTATTGCAACAATTTATATGTAGCATTCGTTCTTATTATTGTCTGGTTTGTATGATGAGCTCATATGACTGGCATGTCCCACTTGTCATTTGAGCTTGTCAATCATTCGTCGCTTTTATTCATGTGTGTGTATGCCTTTTTCGCTTGGTCACATGACTGTCTTATATTTGTCTGACTATATATTCTTAATCACGCTCTATCTCTTTGAGTTGGCTCATTAGCCTTCTCCAACACGCTTCACTTGTTCATTCGCTTCCTTTGCCCATTCGTTCGCATTGTAATCCTAGGAGTTGGCTCAGCAGCCTTCTCCAATTCACGTCGCTTCATTCGTTTTATTCACTGCTTTCTCCATATCGCTCCATACGATTCGCTTCAGTCGCTTATTCGCTCGCCAGCATACACACTACGAATGCTGATCCCGAACATCAACAAAATCAGACCACCATAATAATAATAAAAATACTAATTACTTACCTCCGTAACACTGGACATCTCACTCTTTATATCCATCATTGGTCCTTGACCAAGACCAAGACCTCCACCGCCTCCACCACCGCCGCCTCCACGAAATACTACAGCACGTGATTCAGCGACACCTCGTTTCCCAGTGGCTTTAGTTGATGGTTCACGTAAATAATCCATCGCTTTCATATGTTCCCATTTGACCATTTCACGTTCTTTTTTCAAATCAGTAAAACGTACACCTAATAAAAAAGAAGCGTGCACACACACACAAAAAGAAAGTGTTTTGAATGAGTATAAAGATTTCAATGGGGGAGGAATTAGGGAAGAGGCGCTGGAAGTGGATAGGACACATATTGAGGAAAGCGTAGCCAACTGTGTCACAAGACAAACCACCAAGTGTTATTCTCAAGGATTAAGGAAATGTGGGTGACCAAAGAACACATTAAGCCGAAAAACGCAGACAGACATGAGAAGAATGAACAACAGTTGAACAGAACTTAAAAAACCATGGGTCCAGGAGAGAGTAGGTTGGAGAATGTTGGCCGGCGCGGCATATGCTCCAGAGGGGATAACAAATGTCAGCAAGATAATCAAACCATGAGAGGTGAAGAAGACTATGAAAATACAGAGTTTGAAAAATAAAATTCAATAGAATCGTTTGTTAAGATTGATTCAGCCAAAGAAGACTTGGATCTTAAAATGAATCCCTTTAGTTTGTGCTCTGAATACGATGTTTAGTTGTTTGTTTCACAAACCACAAAAGAATGTATCCATTAACTTCTTGGCTGTTCTCTGAACTAAATGTTTTGGTTGTGGAGCTTCTTTCATTGTTCTTCTACTGAACAATATCATCAGCATGAAACTTTAGGTAGAACGGAAGTATTCGAATTTCTTTACATATTGACTTTTAGTTTGTCCTGCTGACCTCGATCTTGGTTGGATGTCACTGACCTCTGCTGATGATATTGTTCACAACTTCAATTTAAAGCTTCATAACTGAAACATTCAGTTCAGTCAACGGAACTCCACCCATTAGGGGAAATGTTCGAATTGGTAATAAGAAGATGAGTATACTAGTTTTGTGAAGGAGAACACAGGTGAGGGCAACCCAATTGTATTTAACGAAAGTTACACAGTTACTCAGTAAAATAGGAAAACCATATCGTAAATCGTTAATTTGCAAAACATCAATCAATCATCAATCCATTGTCTGACATTTCACTATTCATGCGTTTCATACAAATTCCGTTGTGTTCCCCCCATTCTTCCTTTCATGATCTTCTCCCATCTTCTGCTGCCAGACATTACGTTTACACTCGCGTTATATACTACTTATAAGTAGCGCGCACCACAAGTATACTAATAATAATCATAGGCATAATACATATCAAAAGCTCTATTCATTAGTTCAACGTAGAAAGTAGTAGTAGGTTAAACTTGGATCGATAGACATTCGATCAATAATTACAGAATATTACTCAAATGATGTCATCAAAAGTGAACAATTTAAGTGATAAGCGAATGTAGGTTGTGAAAAATTTATTAAAATTGTCTACTACGTTACATCCGGACAAGAAAAAGACTGAGTTGTCAGGATATTCTTCTTAAAAGGCAAGCCAAAGTTGTTGGTTCGGATGTCTGTAGGTTCTGTTATATGTAGGAGATAGGATTGAACCTTGTTTGCGAATGGCCAATGTATATAAGACAGATAAATTAACTGAACTTTATCTAATATAGGATTACTGTGAACTAGGTGGTGTGGCAAGGTACAGTTACGTAGGATCTTTGTCTGAACTTTCTCAAATCAAGGCTACAGATGTTTACTCACTCTTTGGCTAATTCACCTGATGGTACAAACGATATCACTATTTCTGTACTAACAGCTGAATTTTTAGACGCATATTTAATGCATTACGGGGTTGTGAATATAGTTAAGTTACACATTTTTTGAAACCATGGATCAATCAATGTTAAACCACCATTAGAAACCTGGAAGCACTGGACGGCCGTTTCGTCCTGGTATGGGACTCCTCAGCAGTGCACATCCACGACTACTGCATCCCGCAGGATTCGAATCCAGGACCTTCGGTATTGTAGGCGAACGCCTAACCGTCGGACCACTGAGCCGGTATCTAACGGTGTTAATGTCTAACTTGATCAATTCACGAAGTTGCGCAACTTCATACACAGTCTTCGGTAGACACTGTCTACACCCGAACAGGTTGAACTTCACTGGTCACGTCTTTTTTAATGGACAAAATCAAGCTACTTAACTTTTGTTTAATGAGATATCATTTGTCTTCTAGAAAATTCTAATGTAATATTTTTGATCTCTTATGCAGAGTATCGCTAATCATACACCCCTATTGAACTGTAAGTTTAAGAATAGTAGTTTTCTTACAAATCATCAACATTACAACTGATTTATTTCCTGTATACTTGTCAGTGGCCTATGCTCCAGTGGGAATACTAGGAGTAAGTAAGTAAGTAGGCAAGTAGTGGAGAAAATTTGTAGTTCAGGTGGATGATTGTGGTGGTGTTTCGTTCCCTGAGCTGGATGTTTTGGTTCTGGAGCTTTCATTGTTCTTCTGGACAACATGATCAAATAGAAGTGAAGCATTCAAATTTCTCCACGTTTGATCATGGGTGACATAATATCAAGAAACAGATATAAGGGGGGATACAATCTAAACATAGGTGCAAACAACGACAGGTTTAAGGTTCAAATAGCAACCAATCAAGATCTAGGTTAGCAGAACAAGGTACAGGTCAAACGTGGAGAAATTCGAATGCTTCACTTCTATCTGAAGTTTGTGCTGATGATGTTGTGCAGAAGAACAAACAATGAAAGCTCCACAACCAGAACATCCAGCTTAGAGAACGGAACACCACAACAAGTAAGTAAGTAAGTAAGTAAGTAAGTAGGTAGGTAGGTAAGTGATTAAGTAAGTAAGTAAGTAAGTTAGGTAGGTAGGTGGGTAGGTAAGTGAGTAAGTAAGTAAGTGAGTAAGTAAGTAAATAAGTAACAACTTGTCATCTTAAATATTAAAAAACTTATCACATTTACACTTACAAAATGGATTATATTTTGCTGTTTCAGCATTTCTTAAACTTGCACATTGATTACCAATTGCTTTGTATGCTTCATAGAAATGCCAAACAATAATAATTGGTGGAGCAAGTGGTGATCTGTGCACATAATCATTGATCATTTGATATCTTTGATAATTCCAATAGTATGTTGATGCACTTTCAATTTCTTCATAGGTTTTACTGTTTGTATAAATTGTAGATTAAATTGTCAATTAACAGTTAAACTACTTATTTTAAAACCAGTAGTTAATCTTATAAGAAAAAATAAAAAGGGGGCAAGGCTCCTGTTTTTCTCGATAGATTTAAATTAAAGACGAATCTGTGGTTAGTTAACTAGCGATCTTTCTAAGATAAGTCAGGCAGAACTCACAAGTATATTTTAAGTATCGTGTACGTACATAGATTAACCAATATGGTAAACAAATTCATTGGTTTAAGGTCACCAGAACAAAATGTCAAGCTAAAAACTAATTGAAATAGATTTCAGAAATCTGAATCATATTTCTTGATCAAACATCTTATCATTTAAAAAACAGTGAGCAGTTAGAACATGATTTCTTTTCCTAAATGATCACAGGAAGTATGTCAAACTAAATTACTCATAAATGCAATAAGTGTTTCGTATCAGATAGTATTTGGATATACTTTTCAGTTGGGTGTTAACTAATCTTAGTTATAGATTCGAATCAATGAATTTAACAGAGACTAGTAAATGTGACTGAGTTTCATGCAACGGGTCATTGAATAATTTTGTTGAAAAAGACTATTTTTCTTACCATTAATAGAATTTTAAGGTATAGTGAAGTAAAACACACCATGTATGCCTCAACTGGTTTTGTAGATCTGAGCGATTTATCATAGTATATTACTTACTAAACTGTTTCAATGCATAATTATATCGTTAGGCCGTTAGCTTGATGACATAACACCGCATGAAACCGATTCACGGTGGCCATTTCTTCCTGGTATGGGAGTTACCAGTGGCAGTGCTCACCCACGACTTCTGCTACTCGCAGGATTCGAATCGAGGACCCTTGGTAATGCTTACATAGGTTTAACCTCTGGACCACTGAGCCGGTAAGACCGAAGATCTTGGGTTCAAATCCTGTGAATAGCAGGAGTCGTGGATGAATACTTGTTACGCCTGCACGTAAACATGTCAACTTGATATACTTGAACTATTACGAGTTTACCTAGTCGGAAAACGAGAGCAACGAGGATCGAGGATACGGTAACACAACATGCTACTCAAATCCGACTATCCTAACCCCCATTGAATAAAAGAAGAAGACTTGATATGAAGTAGAACCTGTATTCTACAAGCATCCAGAAAGTACGAGGTCTGAGTCCAGAAGAGAATCAGAATCCCGGACTAGGGATCTGGGACCGGATCCTGGTCCTGGTCATAAAACGTTACAGATAATGCGTATTTACACATTTTGGTCGGATGAGAAACAACATCGAATTCTGTGACATTGACAGTTATGACGACCAATAGAAGCAACATTGGAGCACATCACATTGATAGTCAGGACAACCAATAAGAAAAAACATTGGAGTATGTGACATTGATATCTAGGACGACAATAAAATTGACCCGTAGGAATTACCCGTTAGGAATTGACCAATATTTCTCTCAGGATATTGGATAAATATCCTAACAATACTGCTACTTGTAACTCCCATACCAGGACGAAACGGCCATCCGATGAGTGCTTTCAGGCTTTTAATGTTGGTCTAACATTGATCTATTCATGATTTCAAATTTTTCATTCAACAATAAATGACTTATCACACTATAAGTTGATGATTAGAAATTTGAGTACACACATGCTGAGCTCACATGGCCTATTTTAGTTTTCTTCTCCCCCTATGTTATTATCATTCACTTGTATTTTAATCTCGGTTAGTATTCGATTATAACCTTAACTGTTTTGCCTTGATTGCTTCGCTTATCACATGTCTAAATATTTTTATTTGACTGTAAATAGTTATTTATTGTCTTATCAATTGGAGTGAATCTATTAGCCATCGCCACTTTGCTTCGTTTCCCTATTACACTTCTTAAACAAATGTCGTTCCGTTCAAAAATGGAATAAATTTATCCAGCTCAAACTATATTTAATTTTTAATCATCTCTATAGCACATATTAACCAAAGAATTTGAATAATACTAGTAAAATGCGTGTTATGCTCGTCTCTAGGTATGCTTGAAACTATTACGAGTTCACCTTAGTCGAATAACCAGAACAAAACAATGAATCAGTGTCCAGGTAGGCTACTATGATCCCTTGACCACAATGAATCAGTAAGAAGTCTTGATATAGTCTAGGAATTGTATTCTACAAAAACCCAGCCAGCACACAATACATTCAAGCACTCAAATCGCGTTTATTTATACTCTATGGAGACATCCTTGGGAGAGTCACAAAAATAGCACACTAAAATGACACAGTAACTAATCACAGCCAAGGATTTTCCTGGTGAGAAATGTGATCTCAAGGTCAACTGATCGGTCCATGAAATAAATCTAAAATAAAGATATTTATCAAGCCACTTCCGGGGATCTAACATCACTAGCAATACGCTTATTCAAAATTCTCACAGTTCAATTGTTATTTAGGTTGTGAACAGATTCATATTAAAAACTTCTTAGATATATAAACATATATATGTATAATCTGACATAATTTGCACCATGTTTGAACTTACGAAAACATAGCAATAAGTAAATTGAACATAAGGATATTAGTTAATAAAACATAGAATCCAAGCATAATTGGTACAAGCCAACGTGATATTTTTGTAGGACACATATGATTTTGACATGTACGATCTATTTAGTGAATAAATAAACCAAAGAACAATAGAAATCCAAAGTAAGTTACCACAGTTCATTATCGCTAATACTAGTAATAACAGAAATAATGAGGAAATTGACTAGTCATTCAAAATTAATAAGACACATCTCAAACGTATATTATTCTACATACTATGAGATTATATTAGATATAAACAACAGATCATTTGTACTAGTAAGGCTTAACCTCTGGACTTTGCAGATGAACTGGCTCTTCTATCGCACACGCAATAACAAATGCAAGAGGAGAAGACGACCAGTGTAGTAGCAGCATCAGCAGCAGTAGGTCTCAACATACATGTAAAGGAAAAAGCAAAATTCTCCAGTGCAACACAACATGCACCAACCAAATCACTCTTGATGGAGAGCTGCATTTCTACAATTGAAAAATATCTGGAACTCCAAACAACATTCAACCAACACCAAAATCAGGATTTTCAATACAAATGTCAAGACAGTTCTACTGTATGGAGCGGAAACTTGGAGAACTACAAAAGACATCATCCAGAAGATACAAGTGTTTATGAACAGTTGTCTTCGCAAAATACTTCGGATTCGTCGGCCAGACACCATCAGCAACAACGAACTGTGGGAGAGAACAAGTCAGATTCCAGTGGAGGAGGAAATCTGGAAAAAGCGGTGGAAGTGGATAGGACACACACTACGAAAAGCATCTGACTGTGTCACAAGACAAGCCCTCACATGGAGCCCTCAAAGTCAAAGGAAAAGAGGAAGGCCAAGGAACACATTACCTCGAGAAATAGACAAAGATATGAGAGGAATGAACAAAAATTGGACAGAATTGGAAAGGGAAGCCCAGGACAGAGTTGGTTGGAGAAAACTGGTGCCGGCGGCCTATGCTCCATTGGGGTTAACAGGCGTAAGTAAGTAAGTAAGTAAGTAAGTCTGCATAAATATACATTTATGATACAAAGTCATTGGAAAATTGATTACAGTTAAAACAAGGATTACTTCAATATACAAAATATATATTGTACAATATCTAAGGAACTAATATGCTTGGTGTTATGAATGCACGTAAACACGTCAACTTGATATACTTGAACTAATACGAGTTTACCTTAGTCGGAAAACGGGAGCAAGGATTGAGGATCCGACGACACGATAGGCTACTCAAATCCGATTATCCCAACCCCCATTGAATAAAAGAAGAAGACTTGATATGAAGTAGAACATGTATTCTACAAACTCACAGAAAGTACGAGGTCTGAGTCCAGAAGAGGATAAGGATCCCGGGTCATTAAACGTTACAGATAATGCATATTTATACATTTAGGTCAAATAGGAAACAACATTGAAGTTTGTGACATTGACAGTTAGGATGACCAATATGAAATAACATTTGAAATGACACTGATTGATAGTCAGGATGGCCAATGGGAAACAACACTGAAGTACGTGACAATGATAGCTAGCACGACCGTAATATTCATCAATAGGAATTAACCAATAGAATTAGACGTACAAAAAAATAGTTCTCTTAGCATATTTGATAAATATCCTAACACGTGACTCAAATTTAAAGTTTGAACAATGATCAAATCAAGATTTCGTTTCATTTGCAATGATCTGTTATAAAATATTTCATTCTGAGGTATACTGTCTACCTATTACGATGTAGTGATAATGTGCTTTGTTTCAAATTCCAGTTCTTCGTTATTTCAGGATTATTTTATTTTACGATGAAACTTCAACTACTTATAAGTAACTAAAATAAAACTGCCAAATTTTAGCTTGTACACATTCTGATAGCGTGAGAACAAAGTACTAACCGACGATGTTCAATCGCTACAATTTCAGGATTTTGTTTTACTATTGCCTAATTTCATTCCAAGAGCCTTCGGTCAAATTCCTTATATCAGGATAAAAATTTACCTGTTAAACGTCAAATCCATTCTCTAAACTTCTTGTTCCTTTTTTTAATATTTAAGTGAGAATTATCTCTCTCTCTCTCTCTATTGATCAAATGTCAAATTAGAAAATCCAACATTAAAAAAACTTGTGGTGGTGTTTCGTTCTCTGAGCTGGTTGTTTTGGTTGTCGGATCATCAATATGGGAACTCATCAATGAAGCTGTAATGCAGAGACTGGAAGCGTCGATTCTGCCAGTGATCAAGCCAAAAATGTGGGTTCGCTATGTAGACGACACATTCGTTATTATCAAAAGAAATGAGCTGGATAACATCTACAATCAGATCAACAACGTCTTTGAGGACATCAAATTCACGATGGAAAAGGAATCAAACAACAGCCTATCATTTCTGGATGTACTAAACACCAGAACTAACACAGGAAAACTGGTTGACTCAAGTATTTCGGAAACCAACCCACAAAGACGTAATTCTCAACTACAACAGCAACAACCGAAGAACCCACAAGATCAGCTGCATACAAACTTTGTTCAAGAGAGCGAAGACACATTGCAGCACATACGAAGCATTAAAAAACGAGGAAAAACACCTTGTGACTATCTTCCAAAAGAACGGCTATCCACCGAACTTCATCAAAAAACTCAACCGAAACTATCATCAGAAGCGAAATCAAGCACAGAAACAAATAAACGCATCATCCTACCATACATAAAAGACATATTGGAGCATACAGTACGACTGCTGAAACCATTTGGAATAGGTGTGGCACACAAATCAACACAATCACTTCAATCAATCTTGTATGTAGACCAAAGGACAAAATGACAAAAGAAGAAAAACCAAATATCATTTACAAATTAAATTGCTCAGACTGTAAAAAACACTACATAGGACAAAGTGGACGGTCTCTTTAGCTTCGTTTACGTGAACACTAGTTAGCAGTCACACGCCACGACAACGCTTCGCTTATATCAATTCACATGGACAATTATGGACATACATTCGATTGGAACAGTGTGGAAATACTGGGAAGGGGGAGGCAAAAGAACACTAGAGAATTTTCAGAAGATTGGCACTCAGGTCAATCAGCAATCAACAAACACATCGACATTGACCCAATTTATCAACTAATCAGAAAAATCATAGGTGACGTAGGATCAAGAAACAGATCAAAAAGGTTATACAATCAAACACAAATGTGCAAACAACGACAGGTCAAAAGTCAACAGCAACCAATCAAGATCGAGGTTAGCAGAACAAGCTACAGGTCAAACGTGGAGAAATTCGAATGCTTCACTTCTTCTATCTGAAGTTTGTGCTGATGATGTTGTTCAGAAGAAGAACAATGAATGCTCCACAACCAAAACAACCAGCTCAGAGAACGAAACACCACCACAATCATCCACGTGAGCTACAAGTTTTCTCCACCATTAAAAAAACTTACAAAAAAATGACCATTTCATTCTGGGGTTTTACTTCTACCTATTATAGTTTAATGATGATCAGCTTATTTTCAAAGTGTATAATTCACTTAATGGGGTATTTCATTATTGCCAGACTACTTTATTTTGTGGCTAAAACTTTAACTACTCGTGAGTAGCTCATTCAAATCTGCTAAATTTTAACCGGCAAAGATTCTAGTTAGTCAAGAACCATAGTGTTTAACCGATGAAACCATATGTTCTGAATAACGACGACTTTATTTGATCACTTTGGTTTTCAGAATTTTGTTTTACTGTTTCTTAATTTCATTCGAAAAACCTTTGATCAAAGTCTTTGTCGGATTAGAAAATAAAAAAAAATTTTACTTTGTTGTTAAATGTCAAATCCATTCGTTAAAATTCATGTTTTCTTCTTAAATATTTAATTAGAAAATTGAAACATTTAATGTAAGCATACAAACAAATGATAAAATTTATCATTATTATCCGGATAAATCAATTATTCAGACTAATATTCATATCATAATTACAACGTATTTTTCATTGTCAACAAATCAGCTTACCTTCGCCTTGTAATGCATCCAAACTGAAATCACCAAACATTTGAAAATAAGCTGTTGTATACATGGAAAATATAATATCAGCAAATGTCATATGTTTAATCTCGGAATCTACATGTTGTTGGTTTGTTATCCAATGATCATTATTGAATTTTGAACACAATGGAAAGAGCAGCGGGAAGATTGAAAAAAAACAAAACAGAAAGGGCAAATTGAATGTAAAACGCTAAGCCGTACACAATAAATGTCAATGCAACCAGAAAAATGTAAAAAAAACTACATAAGGAATAAATAATTAATTAATTTATCAACCAAAAAAATCTTATGACATGATAATTGAACATTGAAACTGTTTACTTTGTAATTGTTGTATTCATTATTCAATACTAGGAATCAAGTAGAAACAATGAAGATATTAATCGAAAAACAAAACTACATTATTATTTTTCATCTGAATATTTAATGTTTTTAATGATGAGTACAATGAACAAAAACATTTTGTGTAATGAATTCAAACGAACATCTAACCTCTGGACCATTGAACCGGCATCTAGTAGTAGTGTTATTGTTTAAATGTTGGGGATGTTAGATCCCCAAAACTTGTTTGACAAATGCCTTATTTTGGTTTTTGCGATTGTGAGCAAGGGTTGATTGATCAGTTGACATGGAGATTTCACTTCACACCACCAGGAAAATCCATGGCTGATGTGTATTTTATTAGTGTGCTATTTTCTTTACTGTCCCAAGGACATCGTTTCTATGATGTATAAACAAACGAGAGTTGTGTGTTTGGTTGTATTGTGTGATTGCTGGGTGTTTGTAGAATATACTTTCTACGCTTATCAAGTCTTCTGTTTCGCAGTTTGGTATTCAAGGTAGCCTATCTGGACGCTGGTTCATTGTCTCGTTCGCGTTTATCGACAAATGTGAACTCGTAATAGCCTGAAGTATACTTAGTGACGAGCGTAACACTAACATTGATCAATCCACGGTTGACCGTATTATTAAGACGTCAACATCTCAAAGAGGAAGCACAAAATACAGTGGACAGCTTGGACGCAGTTAGACGGTTTGGACTTTGCACATAATCTAACGCTTCTGACACAAACAACAACAAGGTGAAGACTACTAGTACAGAAGAAGCAGCTGTAACAGTAAGTCTCAACATAACACATACAACACAACATACAACAATTAAATTATACTTGACGGTGAAACTGAGGAAGGCGTAAAAACCTTCATATATCTAGACAGATTCCCTGATGCACAAGTTGAATCTGATGCAGATATGAAGGCGCGGATCGACAAAGTTTATGGCGATATTTCTACAAATGAAGAACATCTAGAACTTAAAACAACAATCAACCAACTCCAAAGTTATGATTTTCAGTACAAACATCAAGACAGTTCTAATGTATGAGGAGCGGGGTAAGTTAAAGAACTTTGAAAGCCATCATCCAGCAGATACAAATGTTTAAAACCACTTTTCTATGCACAGTACTGTCGATTTAGGAAGTGCAGACTGTCACTTATTTGTTTCATACAATTTGTTAGACTTAAGTGAATGACTGTATACGTAAAATCTTAGACAACGGATAGTCTTAGAAGTATAACCCATGGATCTGAGTTAGCAATCTAACTTCAACCTTCCAAAGGTTTCAATGAATTAGTGCAGAAAGACAAGCTTATACTAGCTACTTCTACAACTCCACCTGATTAAAACTGAAATTTTTCGGTCATCTCGGATAAAATGAAATTGCTAATGAGCTCATTTTTTTTCGGAAAAAGCAAATAGGTGGTTCTCTTATTTATATCAAGTTAAATATAACAGGTTTATCTGTATCAGTGGTTAACTAAGTGACTGCCATTTATTCACAGGATTACTCAAACAGTATTCGAGAAAATAACTTCTCCTGGAGCCCTTCCACAGTTACTGCCGGTCACAAGCCTACAGGATAAAACAGGAAGGTTAGGCATGGGCTTAGTGATCCTATCCTGTAGAAATCCAACTTCCCAAGCGAAAACGCAAACCAGAAGAATAATTCGCTAGTCGACAGCTTATGCTCAATTAGGGACAATAGGCGTAAGAACTCGAGAAAATAAATTATTACATAATTTCAAGTCTACTTATAAGTAGTATACAACAAATCACTTACATCTCAAGCTTTTCCCATTAAAAATATTACATTACAAAAACAAAGGAAATTTATTTAACATGATTTTCAGATTGTCCATTCAAATAGTTTGTCATTTACGGACAAAAAAACAGTGACCTTAATCAGAAATTTTCTCAAATATTATAGAAATGGGGAAAAAGGGAAATATTAATCTAAGAGTATGTAGAATTTCTAATTGACCCCTTTTACAAAGAAAGCAAATCAAGATTATTTAGATGGATGTTTATAGGGTCAATACAATCAATCAAATTCTGAGCAGAATTAATTTTTTTTACGACGAGAGAGGTAAAAAACTGAGAAACTCTGTAAGTTTGGACGAATGGTCGAGTATGCAATGAAATAAATTTTCCTTCATCCTGGTATGGGACTCACCAACAGTTCGCATCCATAGCTCTCGCCACTGGGAGGAATCGAACCTAGGACCGTTGGTCTTGCGCGTGAATGTTTAATCTCTGGACCACTGAGCAAGTATCACGTGGTGTTAATGCTTAACTCTAATCAACCCGTGATATTGTGAAACCTCATCCATTGTCTTCACTAGTTACTGCCAAAACCCGACAGGGTTGAACTCCACTGGTCATGCACGTCTTCTCACTAGAACTCCAAGAATTTCCTCACTAGTAAGCACATTTTACGATTCTTAATTATAGAATTATTTTACAGTGAAATCATGAGTCTGCACTGCTGATGAGTCCCATATTAGGAGGAAACGGCCATTCAGTACTTCCAGGGCTCTTCCTTATAGTAACAATAATTGATTCATGATTTCATTAGTACTGTAATTCAATTTTAACTTTTCAACGCTAAAAGCACATTACCAAATATTCACAGCTGTAACACTTCGGATTCATCGGAGTACAATAATTAGTACATTAGAACAGAGAAATAAGAAGACATATTTTGTGAGATAGTAACATTTCGTGCTTTCTCGTCAGTCACATACAAGCAACATGTTATTTGTGTAAATACAGCAGTTTTGAAGATAAGGTCAAAATTTCTTATTTAGCATGACATTCACTCACTAGAACCACCATGGTAAACTAAGGTCAACATACATAAGGTTGGACTTTTCCGACCAATCAAGATAGCTTCGAGTAGTTTCAGTGTGTGTGTGTGTGTGTGGGTTTTGATGACATGTCACAACTCTATAAAGGCTGATTTTGGGTCAATTTGATGAGCACTCATCATTAGATGTTTTGCAATGGATGAGGCTGGGTTTCTTGATCGATTTTGAGATGATGGGCTGGTTCTAGTGAGTGAATGTCATGCTAAATAAGAAATTTTGACCTTATCTTCAAAAACTGTATTTACACACGGATAACATATTGCTTGTATGTGACTGATGAGAAAGCACGAAATGGTACTACTATCTCACAAAAAATATCTTCTCATTTCTCTGTTCAAATTTATCAAAGGGAACCACTATTTTGAATTAGTACATTAGAAAATGTAAATCTTAACAGCAAAAAAAAAACTCCTTACTTATTGTCATATTTTCTTTTGTGAATAAACCATTTGGATATGCAATTGATTGTGCAGCCACTGCATAACCAACCATAATCACAGTTAAAATAATCATAAATGGAATTAAATCATTTGTTACCTAAAAAAATTCAGAAAAAAAACCAATGAGAAATAATTTTGACCATGAACATGGCACAAAAATCCATGAAATCACTGACAAGTTGGACTGAGTCATGTTGGTAGAGAGATGTAAACTACCACCTGGTTGGGGTCTGCGAGATGAAAGTCACTGATGGTTAGGAGACCTTGAACAACGACATGGCTTAAAATCGTTCGCAATAGCGCAAGTGCATCCATTCGTTGTGCTTTCTCAAATCTTAATCATCTGGATTCGTCAATACCTCTACCCCTTTGTCTTTCTAAGATTATCTCACTGAATTATACTTCTTGAATAATAATATCTTCAAACCCTAGTCTTCTTCATTACCATTAATACCTCTACTATCTTTATCACTCTTGGATTTGATTACCCAGTGACATGATAGGCTACTCTAATTCAAGCGTCCCAAGGCCCCACTAAGTAGAGGAAGAAGTCTTGATAAGATGTAGAAAGTGTATTCTACAAGCACCCAGAAAACATAAGGTTGACAAGCATACAAATCGAATTCATTTATGCATGATAGAAACATCATTGAGGGAGCCACAAAAATGGCATACTAAAATCACACACCAACCAATGACAGTCAAGAATTTTCCTAGTGGGGAACGTAATCTCAAGGTTAACTGATTAGCCCATGCGCGAAAGCACAAAATCCAAAATTAGGACCTTTATCAAGTGCGTTCTAGGGGATCTAACGTCCCCAATAATAAGGCGGAAACTTAAATGTCTGTATGCACGCAGAATTGTATGAAATAGATTTATTCAACTAAATCTGTATTTACCTTCTTATCAGTACCATCGCAGAAACGCAGTTCACTTAAGAATGATATACAAAAATTCGATGAAAGATTTATTTCATCGCCTATCTCATTGTTCATGCAATTTACAGGCACATCCCGAACCAGTTAACATGGTTTCCAGCTTGAATGCCGTTTAAATCAACCTCTATAAAACATCAATATCACGCACTTACAAGGTGGTCCAATTATCTAACCCGAAACTAATACATAATTCTATAACAACGATTCTACAACACAAATGGTGTGGAAACTTAGTGAACAACGAAAGCCATCATCTACACGATACAGGTATTTGTTAACAGTTGTCTACGCAAGATATTGAGTATTCGTTGGCCAGTTATTATTACCAATAATCTACAGTGTGAAAGAACAAACCAGATTCCACTGGAGGAAGAAAGTAGGAAGAAGCCGCTGGAAGTGAATAGGAAACACATTGAGGAAATCACTCAAATGCATCACAAGACAAGCGCCTGCTTGGAATCCTCAAGGCCAAAGGAAAAGTGGAAAACCAAAGGATGTACTACAGGGAAGAAATGGAGACAGACATGTTGAGAATGAAGAACATTTGGATTGAAGGCCACCGACAGTGTAGGCTGAAGAATACTGGTCAGTGGTCTATGCTCTACTATGGGTAAGAGTTGTAAGTAAGTAAGTAAGTAAGTGAGTAAGTAAGTAAGTAAGTAAGTAAGTAAGTAAGTAAGTAAGTAAGTAAGTAAGTAAGTAAGTAAGTAAGTAAAGTAAGTAAGTAAGTAAGTAAGTAAGTAAGTAAGTAAGTAAGTAAGTAAGTAAGTAAGTAAGTAAGTAAGTAAGTAAGTAAGTAGGTAAGATTTGGGGATGTTAGATCACCAGCACCAAATGAGTTTTTACGGGCGCAAAAGTCCCCAGCAGAAGAAGATTGAAAACGATCCACAGCCTGATGCATCCGACTAATGCACCCACATCAGTAGAGACAAAGCCGCAAAGACAATCCGCTTACGAAGTGGGATGCCCTGTGTTTGCCCACGACTACAGAACAAACCATGGTCTTTGGGCAGAAGCGACAGTGATCAGAAGAGTTGGTCAAGTTATGTACAAAGTAGAGATAGGAGGTGATAAATGGTCACGTCATCGAAATCAGATACGCAGACGGCTAGGCCCTGATCGACCACCAAGAGCAGAAAGCTTTCCCTTTGACATCTTGCTTGATACCTTCAACCTACCGGCAGCCTCGCCACGAGAAGAAACTCAGCAGCAAGCTGTTCTTCGTTCCCGAAGGTATCCTCTCAGACAGCGGCGAACCACAGTCAAGATGCAAGTCGACCCCAGGAGCACACGCTATTAAAAAGGGGAGGAGTGTTGGGGATGTTAGGTCCCCAAAACTCGCTTCATAAATGCCTTATTTTGGTTTTCACGTTTGCCGGCATAGGCAGATCAGTTGACCTTGGGATTTCATTTCACACCTGGAAAATCCATGGCTGTGATTGGCTGCTGCTATGTATTTTAGTGTGCTATTTTCTTAACTGTCCCAAGGACGTCGTTTCTATGATGTATAAATAAACGAGAGTTGTGTGCTTGATTGTATTGTGTGATTGCTGGGTGTTTGTAGGATATACTTTCTAAGCTTACAAAGCCTTTTTACTTCAGCTTTTAGATTCAAGGTAGCCTACCTGGACGCTGGTTCATTGTCTCGTTCACGTTTATCGACTCAGGTAAACTCGTAATAGCCTCAAGTATACTTAGCGACGAACATAACAGTAAGTAGGTAACCAAGTAGGTAAGTAAGTAAATAAGTAAGTAAGTAAGATAAATAATTCTCTCCTACAAATAAGTATCAAAAAACACACCCTCACAAAACAAAAAAGTTACAAAACTTACCATTTTCCCAATCATAATCAATTTTGGTCCTAATGCAATATGAAAACTGAATGTATACATTAAACGTATATAAAATGTGAACAAACTAATTGCCAAACATATACGTGATGGATCCAATATAGGATCAGTGACAATGTAATATCGTTCATGTTCATAATCAAAACCATTTTCATTACCACCCAGTCGTAGCAATACAATCAGCCGAAGAATAAAACCAACAATGTACAACGCTAAACCAGCACAATCCAGTTTATTCCAACCATCAGAAATGTATGTTCGAAAACTGATTCCAGATAAGACAGCCTAGAAAAAATTTGTTGTTTTTGATTTGGGAATAAAGAGAAATAACATAAAACTTGGTTCATCATAGTATTATATTTCCCGAAGGAGAAAAATCATGACATTCAAGTTTTAATTTAACTAATAAATTACTTATTTTATGATGTGCGGAAAAAATGTCGATTAATAAGTACTTCAAAATTGTAAAACAATCATTTTTAGATTATGATTAGGAGCCTAGAAGTACTGGATGTCCGTTTTTCGTCCTTGGTATTTGACTCATAAACAGTGCACATGCACGATTCTCGCTACTAGCAGGAATCAAACCCAGGACCTGCGATCACGCAAGTCTAGATCACTGAGCCGATATCTAATGGTGTTATTGTGTAACTTTGATTATTCTATAATCAGAAATTGTACAATGTACTAACTACTAAGTAGATTCTCAAAACAGTGGTTCCCTTTGATAAATTTGAATAGAGAAATAAGAAGACATATTTTGTGAGATAGTACCATTTCGTGCTTTCTCGTCAGTTACATACAAGCAACATGTTATGTGTGTGTAAATACAGTTTTGAAGATATGGTCAAATTTTTTCTTATTTAGCATGACATTCACTCACTAGAACCATGGTAAACAAAGGTCAACATACAGTTGTGCTTGAACACATAAAGTTGGACTTTTCCGACCAATCAAGTTAGCTTCGAGTAGTCTCAGTGTGTGTGGGTTTTGATTACATGTCACAACTCTAAAGGCTGATTTTGGGTATTTACACAAATAACATGTTGCTTGTATGTGACTGACTGGAAAGCATGAATTGGTGCTATCTCACTAAGTAGATTCGTTAAAAAAATTTTTCGGAGATTTAGTGAGAAGACGTGACCAGCGGAATTCATCCCTGTTGGGTGTTGGCAGTAACGACCGAAGACAATGCGTGAGGTTTCATAAAATATTCAGATTGATCAGAGTTAGACATTCACATTGTTGGACGCCAGCAGGCTCAGTGGTTAAGGAAGTTAAACATTTGCATGCAAAACCGAAGTCCCTGGATTCTATTCAATGCACACTGCCACTGATGAATTCCATACCAGGACGAAATGGCCATCTACTGCTTCCATGTTTCTAACGGTGGTCTAACATTGATCAATTCATGATTTCAACAAGGAACTCTCCATAACCTTATCATGTATTCGCTGACTGACAGATTTTTTTATTAGAAGCTGGTCTGATATCACTAACTACCTATTCAGCATACATAAAGATAACATGTCTGATTCAATGTGCTGACATTTATGTCATGAACAGTACTACTATTCAATATAAAATGTTGCTACAATCATAAGAATTCGTTAAAGGGTGTTGGAGATTGTTGAATTTCATTCAAACTGCTACTTAATCATTGTTAAATCAATATTTGAAAGAAACCTAGAAGTACAGAATAGCCGTTTCGTCCTATATAGTATGGGACTCATCAGTAGCAGTAGTGAGCACCATTGATCATCCTCCGTTTACGGGAATCAAACCCACAGCATAAATAGTTACGATCATGAAATGAATCATAGTAGACTGTTTGAATAGTCGTAGTAAATCTGTTTCCCTGATTCTACATATTACATCAACATAGAAAAGGTTGACTTCATCATTCAAAAGATATCACACAGTAAATAAAAATTATCTTTTTAGTAAAATAATCATCCGCACAAGAAATAACATGAATATTTTGTTTCCTTGTGAAAAAAAACGACAATAAATTTCATAAAAATGTAAATGAAGTGAAAAGAAAAGTAGAATTTGAATTAGATACATGTAAAAATTTAGAATAATCTTTATTCTATAAGTTTTTCGATTACTTTTTATGCTTATACATATATACTACTGATATATATATATGTTAGTAGCAAAAAACATAAAGAAAGATATCAATATGAATGCTTATTTTACGAAACTTACCCAAGCAATCTTGATTTTTTCGTCAGATAATTGTCAATGTTGTTTGATTTATATGCACAAGATGGCACAATGAAGAGGGAGAAGAGCAGGAAGGTAAAAAAAAAGACGCAAGAACATTTACAATTTAAATAAATATACGATAAGAAGTAGTGTATATATTACTACTTAAATATGTAAAAATGTCAGAATCTTAGTAAATAAACTTAGAAATAGTGTGTCTGGCTTATATAATAATACTCAGCTCAACTAAGTGATCATAGAATTGTATGTTGATTAACCTAGAACTGATGGTGGAGTTTCTCTCGCTGAGCTGAATGGTTTGGTTGTGAAGTTTTCAGTGTACTTTTGAAAATTATATCATCAGAACAAACTTTAGATTGAAGGGAAATGTTCAGATTTCTCTATATATATTGACTAGAAGTTTGTCCTGCTAATCTCGATCTTAAAGAGTTGTTATTAATCTTCAATCTGTCGTTGTCGGACACCTCTTTTTTCAATTGTCGCCGCTATTGATCTGAATCTTGATCCGAGGTTTGTCTGTAATTTTTCTGATTGGTTGATAAATTTGGTCAATGTCAATGTTTTTTTTCGATTGCTAGAGTAACCAGATTGCCAGGCTTCAGAATGTTCCTTAATGTTCTTTGTACTCCCTCTTTCCGATATTCCAGGATTTTTCTAATTGAATATGTCGCTTCTACCTTAAATTTTGGGCTAGCTCAATAAACGAAACCTCACCATAAACATTCAGTTTAGCTACACATTTCCTCCACTATCTGAACATAGAAATTGTCACGCCTGCACGTAAACACGTCAACTTGACATACTTGAACTATTACGAGTTTACCTAGTCGTAAAACGAGGGCGAGGATCGAGGATCCGGCGACACGACATGCTAATCAAATCCGATTATCCCAACCCACATATTGAGTAAAAATAAGAAGGCAAGACTTGATATGAAGTAGAACGTGTATTCTACAAGTATCCAGAAAGTACGAGGTCCGAGTCCAGAAGAGAATCAGCATCCCGGACTAGGGATCCGGGACCGCGTCCTAGTCCTGGTCATAAAATCTTACAGACAATGCGTATTTATACATTTTGGTCGAATAGGAAAGAGCATCGAAGACTGTGACATTGACAGTTAAAACGACTAATAGGAAGCAATATTTGAAGTGAGATTGATAGTCATGACAACCGATAAGAAACAACATTGAAGCACATGACATTAATATCTAGGACGACCATAAAATTGACCAGTACGAATTAACCGAAAGGAATTGACCAATAATTCTCTTAAGATGAATATCCTAACAGAAATCTAGTTTGAAATTTATCATCATTTTCAATTTTCGTCACTTATATTCAATATGGTTTGAACTAAATCAACTGTAACTACCAACTAAACATATTTCAAGTGATAAGTAGTTGATGGAGAACCGCATGACATAAACTGAACTCATGTTTCTTATACTCTCAACCATTTTAACCTTGAACTTCTTCTACTTTCATTTTGGATAGAGAATATCTTTCGTTGTGAATAAGTTAATCATCGGTACATAATACATGTCAAATTAAAGAAATTGGGAATGTATTCAGAGATTAAGAAATAAGAGTGTTACGTTAAACATTATTCTTATTTAGGGGACTTTCATTATGCTAAACTGTACCAGAGTTTGCGTAATCTACAATTTTTTTTCAATTGTCAGTGTCGTCATAATAGCAATACTCGCTAAATACTCGAAGTCGGCTTATGATCCTGTCCTGCGCTCTCCTTTCCAGATCCTTCTCTCTATAAGTGTCTCCGATTTTCGGCACAATGTGTTTCCTTTTCCTCTGGCTTTCAGGCTTCCAAGTACGGGCATGCCTCATGATGCAATCGTGAGATTTCCGGAAAGTTTATCATATATTCACTTCCGGTGCTCCTTGATAATTTCTAACTCAGCTAGAAGCTGGTTGCTGATGGTGTCTGGCCAATGTATTCACAGTATCTTTCGATAACAGCTGTTAATATACACCTGTATCTTGTGGATGAAGGTTTTCATAGTTTTCCAAGTTTCCATTCCATATCATAAAACTGTTTTGTTATTTCTATTAAAATTTTGTCAATTAGATGTTAGCTGAAGGATAGTTGTTTTGGGTTGCAGATATTCTACAATTGTAGAAGTGCAGTCCATGCTCTGACGCCGCTCCATGCATTCATTGTGTTCATCAATGATACTTCTCAGGTATATAAAGATTTCTCCATATTCATCAAATATGATTTAGTTGATGAATAAGTCGATTCATAAGACTTTAAACAATCATTGTTTGAGACCATCACACTTCTCCATTATTCCAAACCTTCAGCTAGTAGAGATCTCATTGAACATACTTCTATAACATTATTCATCTTACACACATCAAACACAAAATATATCTTTCAAATCTTATCAATGAACAATGAACGATCTTACTGTGGGCATGATTTACACTCAATTTCGAGCAAATATTCTTTCTCTGAACAATACTGTTTACAAAAAACACACACCCACAATCAATGAGAGAAATTACCTGTTTAATTTCTTCAATAAACAATGTAATCACCCATGCTATGACAATATATTCAACAACAGTGATATTGATACGAAAATCCACTAATAAAAGATAACTGAATAATATCAGAAATGTAATATAGGAAATCTGAAAAGTGAACAAAAGAAGAAACGTAACAAAACAGTTATCGTTATTTTGAAAATAAAACGGCAAATGTTAAACAGTTTTTAAGTTTATTTTGAATACGTGACTAGTGGAGTTTAACTGTGATCTGGTGAGAGGAAGACACTTACTAAGACAAGTGAATAGAATTGACTGTTGACTTATTTAAGCCTGTTACCTCTCATCAAGCATAGGCTACCGACCAGCATTCTCCAACCTACTCTGGGCTGGATTTTCCTTTCCAGTTTGATCCAATTGCTGTTCATTCTCTACACGTCTGCTACCGATTATCTGGATAACGTGTTCTTTGGTCTTCCTCCTCTTCTTCGGCCTTGAGGATTCCAAGTAAGGGCTTGTCTTGTGACAGGATTGGGTTCTTTCTTCAATGTGTGTCCTACCCACCTCTAGTGCTTCTTCTTGACTTCTTCCTTCCACAGTAGGTTATTGCTGATGGTGTCTAGCCAACGAATCCGAAGTATTTTGCGTAGACAACTGTTAATAAAGCATTTGTATTTTTTGGATGATGTCTTTCGTAGTTCTTCAAGTTTCCGCTCCATAAAATAGAACTACCTTGACATTTGTATTGAAAATTCTAACTTTAGTGAAGGTTGATAGATGTTTTGAGTTTCGGATGTTCTTCAGTTGTAGAAATGCAACCCTTGTTTGCAAATCAGCGCCTTCATATCTGCATCAGATCTACCGTGCTCACCAAATATGCTGTGATTCTATGTACCTAAATTATTGGTTACTCTGATTATCAGAAGGGGCATCGGTCTCCTGACTTCTGAAGGAACTTGGCTTTCATCATGAGACATTATAACTCTTCTAAATAAAGATCGTCTAACTGCCAGGGCAGAGTCTGAACAGTCTGCATTATTATTTTTCTGTATAGCGTTTTCGAACGAGTTGGTTTGCTACGGAATGAGGTCGTTAACCTCATGCCAAACACTTCTTCTCCGCTATCCGGGCTTGGAACCATTAGTAGTCCCAAAGAGACTTCAGGCAGATAAATGACCCACTTTTGACCTTGCCAACCATTCGTCACTTTTATTAATGTGTGTTCATGCCTATCCCGCTTATTACATGTCTGTCTTATTTTTGTGTGATTTTAAATTCTATGTCATGCTCTATCTATTTGGATTCGGCACACTAGCCTTCTCCGCTTCGCTTCATCCATTCATTCGCCCATTCACTCGCTTCCTTGCTTTCCGGCGCTCCAATGACAATGTTTTCTGTGAGTGCTTGTAGTCTGCTGATCTATTTGTGGTATACCAAAACAAACGTATGGAAAACTTCAAGTTCACCTTCTGATTTATAAACCATCTTGCGCTATTTAGTAACGATTGTATGGACGAGCTAATTGCGAAGCCTAAGAACACGTTGGATACCAACCGTCACGAAACTAGTGAATAGAATCCTCTTGAGTTAAGATAGATTTCTGGTCCATAAAACGAAACACAATATTGACCCATGTTTGAACAATAAAATTAAACCAGTGCATCGTTTAAAATCATCAGAAATAAAGAAACTATAAAGTAAATTCTTAACAACTTACAGTATTATACACAAAACGAACAACTGGTGCCATATAAAAATCACGAATCTGTGAAATATATTCCAAAGTTCTAGCTTGTAATGTTTTTCGAACACTAAAATCAAGAGATGATTAGTTTTTGGGTAGAAACAATAAATCATTTTAGGGTTGAATAAACTTTAAAAACTGACATATATGCTTTTATCATGCTAATATTAGTATTACGATTTCAAATGTGTAACTGAACAATCTTCACAACTCCGTCATGCAATTACCTATGCTCACTAATGACTAGCTCCATGAGGAATCTTATCCGAGTTCTAGTGGTGAGAAGACGTGACCAGTGGAGTTCAAACTTGTTCGGGCGTAGACAGTAACTACCGAAAATAGTGTATGAGGTTGCGCAACTCCATGAATCGATCGAAGCTGATAGGGTTGTGTAGACTGTTGAGTTACCCTGTGAAATCATGAATCGAACAATGTTAGATAATCTATAGAAACCTAGAAGCACTGGACGGTCAATTCAATCTGGTATGAGACCCTGGACATTTGTTCTCGATCACGAACGCTTAACCTATGGACCACTAAGCCGGCATCCAGAGGTGTTATTGTGTAACTTGAATCATTCCACGATATCGTATGATTGTCATTACTCGCTAGTTAGCTAATATTTGTAATGAAAACACACATAATTTTCCTGGTAGGCTTGTGCAGATTGTTGGGTTACTCTTTGAAGTCATGAATCGATAAATGGTATATAACTTATAGAAACCTAGAAGCACTGGATGGAACCCGGGACCTTTTGTTTCGTCTTTGAACGCTCAACCTCCGGAACAATGAGCCGGTATATAGAGGTGTTATTGTCTAATTTCAATCGTTCCACGATACTGCATGACCTTCTCATTTGTCTTCGGTGGGTAACTGTTGGGGATTTTAAATCCTCAGAACTCGCTTGATAAATGTCTTTATTTTTGATTTATTTCATGAGCTGATCAGTTGACCTTGAGATCACATTTCCCACCAGGAAAATCCTTGGCTGTGATTAGTTACTGTGTCATTTTAGTGTGCTGTTTTTGTGACTCGCCCAAGGACGTCTCTATGGTGTATAAACAAACGCGATTTGTGTGCTTGAATGTATTGTGTGCTTGTTGGGTGTTTGTAGAATACAGTTTCTACACTATTTCAAGACTTCTTGCTGGTACAATTAGGACAATCGAATCAGAGTAGTCTATCTGGACGCCGGTTCATGGTTTTGTTCTCGTTAAGCGACTATGGTGAACGCGTAATAGTTTTAAGCATATCTAAAGACAAGTGTAACAGTAACTGTCTCACACTCAATACAAATGAACTCGACTGATCACGATTTCTCAGTAGGACTCCATGGATTTTCTCACGAAGCTAGTCATTAGTGAGCACATGGTAATTTTCATTATAAGCTGTCTAATGCTTTCAGGTTTCTAATGATGGTCTAACATTGACCGACAAAACATTTCACAAGTAGCCATACACCTTCCCCTTCAATGACTTATATTCATATCTTTTAAAAGCAGGTTATTTTGAAAAAAATTGAAAACATTTAGATTCTATTAAATTCCCTAATTTCTAAACAGTTACACTAATTTTGATAGAACTATGAGAGGACGTGATGTATTTGCGCGCTATGCACATTTCGAACAATCTGATCACACATGTGTACTTGTCAAGGCATTTTATATGAAGATAAATATAAGGTTAAGTAAGTAAAAAGTTCAGATAGACATAAGGGGGATAATTGTAACTGAAGGAGAGAGAAAATTAACGTAATATGAAAAGAATAAGAAGGGGTAGGAAAATTGTCACATTACCCTAGGCTTAAAGATTACCAGAGTAAATTCAAGGGTATAACAAATTGTTTCTGTACATTTAAAGGAGGGTTTTAATTTACGAGTAGTCAAGGCTTCCATAAACCCCAAAATTCTTCCTTCAACATTTCTATACAATGTTTTGGAGGCTGTCTTGATGTCTATCTTATGTCCTGTCTCAAAGATGTGTTCAGCGATTGATGTTTCTCCCGATTATCAGCTCATCTGAAGTTAATTGATTTTGAAGCCACTTGTGTACATGTTCCATAATCCTTGATTGCAAATTCCGATTACTTCTGCCTATGTACGTGTGTGTCCACACAAACATGTAAATTGATAAATACTACGGAAGGTTTATGGAAGCCTTGGCTATTCGTAAATTAAAACCCCCCTTGTGTGTACGGAAACAGTTTGTTATAACCTTGAATTTACCCTAGTAATCATAATGTCTATTTGAACTTTTATTTAATTGACCTTTTATTAATCTTCATATTAAATGTCTTAACAAGAGTGTATATGTGTGACCAGATTGTTCGAAATGTACAAGGCGCAAATACATCACAACATTTCTGTAGATCATTCATATCTTCTCACTGTGTTCTATCAAAATTTACTAAAAAAAACCGGACTAATTGTTTTAAATTACACTACCCCACAACCCACTTATGTAAATTACCTGACTCACTATTGATTATCTCTGTGACGAATCTTCTCCATGTCAGAATGAGAAGTCGTGACTAGTGGAGTTCAACCCTGTTCGAATGTGAATCAGTAAATTAACACCATTGGATGACAGCTCAGTGATTTACAGGTTAGGCGTTCGCGCACAAGACCAAAGGTCCTGGGTATGAATCCTGTGAGGTGCAGGACATGTGGATGTACACTACCACTGATGAGTCCCATACCAGGATGAAACGACCGTCCAGAGCTTTAAGGATTCTAACATTAGCCGATTCACGATTTTAGTTAAAACATAAGCGAAGCGATTATCTAAACCGCTATTCAACTTAATTTAGTACGGAATACAATGAAGTCTGTTTCAAACAAAGATGTCCTACTTATATATATTTATAAATCAGATCACGAAATATTCACTTGAAAAATTTGAACATTGAATACTGTTCAATGTACAAATTAATTTATTGAATCAAAACGTTGAAAATTGTTGAAATTTGTTTAAATCATTGCCATTAGCAAAAAATTTAAATTTTCGTAAAAATTACAAACAAACAAAAGCGAATTTCAAAATTGTTTAACAGAAAGAAAAAAAAAGAGAAAAAGTGTTTACCCTTTTTTTCCAGCATCTTCTGCATGTGACATGTATTTTAACGTATGATCAGTTTGTGTAGATCCTTGTTGTTCTGAGGTAGCACCGGATTCCTAGAAGGATGGGTAGTAAACCGGTAAGAAAGCTGTTACTGAATTAACATACAAATATGCACAGATTTCAACCGAATAAATGTAAAAAGATTATTAGACTGAGGGATACAATGTAATACAATCTAATCGATCAAAAGTTTTTTGACGAGATTCTGAGCATTTTAATTTGGAATGCTTACTATCGATAATGGATTATTTTATTTCATACACTGTGAGCCTCTCATAAACCCAAGCACTGACGGGACATTCATCTCGTCGTGGTATGAGACTCACTGACAGTGCTCATCTAGACTACCGCTACTCTCAAAAATCAAATCTAGTACTTTCGGTCTTGCGCACGAACACCGAACCTCTGAACCGATGAGTCGGCATCTAAAGGTGTTAATGTCTAACTCCGATTAATCCACAGTCCTGCCGATGAGTTGGATACCAGGACAAAGTGACCGTCCAGTGCTTCCAGGTTTCTAATGCTGGTCTAACAGTGATCGATTTTATGATTTAACAGCGTAAGTCAACAATCTCCATAACCTTATCATGCAAACTTTTTATTCATAAAAACTATATTGAAAGCGAAAATTTTGTTAGTTTCCTTCCAAAAATATCATCCGCAAGAACTGTTTTTTCAATACACTTGCAATAGGCGATTCCAGTTTTGATATACACTTTATTAGATACATTGATGAAGTTGTAATGAGTTCACAGTTGATTGGTTAATTCATGAATCATCTCAAAAATACAATACAGTAATAGTTATTAGCTCTCCTGAAAGCTAGTCTTGATTGTCCAACCTTCATCCAGTGAGTTTCACTGATTCTAAGCACCTTCAGGTTGCATCTTTTCATTTCTTCAGCAACTTGGATGACTCTGCTGGTCCCCCACATTATACGATCATTCCATGTACCTAAATTTCTAAGGTTGTCAGAAAAAGCATCCGGATCGTGACTTTCGAAGGAACTCGTCTTTCAGCATGAGACTCCATAACTCTTCAAAATATAGAATTTCTAACTTGCAGGACAGAATAATTTAAATAGCTTGGATTATTTTATCCGGTTACAATTGTTTCAAACGTGATTTTTACACATCTATGGTCACCGTTTGAATGAACAGTTTGACAGAAATTAGGGCATTATATTTATAGAAGACATGATTTGTAGAGATTATATTTGAGATAATCTCTACAAATCATTGTCAAAGATGAGGATTATTTGTAAGAAGGTATTAGGTCAAACAAATAAATCATGGTGTTTTTTTTAAAACGTAAGCAAAGGAAAGCAAAGATAACATAGATTTGATCATTATGACAGTCAAATCGAGTTATCTCTCTGTATAAATGGGTTACAATTTTAAGCAATGATTAGGTTCGATTTCAGAGATAGACAACATTAACACTGTCGGATGTCGTTATAGAAGTTAAGCTGTTGCATTCAAAACCAAAGATCCTGGGTTGAAATCTCGCAAGCAAAAGCTGATCAGTGCCACACCAGGTCACAACTAGAAACCTGGAATCACCACCCGGCCATCTCGTCCTAATGAGAGACTCATCAGTAGTATGTGCACTCACGGCCCTCGTACGCAGTAATAGAACTGGGGAAATTCGGTCGCAGGCACAAACACTTAATCTCAAGACCACTGTGCCGGCATTCAAAGGTATTAGTATCTAACTTCATTTAATCCATAGCATTTTGCCCACTACTGACTATTTTCGTGAGAAAAATCTCGGAGTTTTAATGAGAAGCCATGACAAGAGAAATTCAACCGTGTCGTTGTGTGAGGCAGTTAGTTACTCACCAGCCACAATGGGTGATGTTTACGAGATATCGTGGATTGATTAAACTTAAAGGTAATAACACCACAGAATACCAGCTCAGTAGTCTGGAGGTTAAGTGTGAATGCTTAACCGCTAGATCATTGAGCCGAGATCCAACTGTGAAATTGTCTATAACTGATCAATCTAAGTATTATACGCAATCTGACCCAGTGTCTTAGGTAGTCACAAAATACACCCGACACGGTTGAACTCCACTAATCACGTCTTGGCTGAGGTTGCGCTAAAAACCAGAGTTCTACAATAATGCCGCTGGATGCTGGCTTAATGGTCTAGAGGTTAAATCCTCCGCGCAAGACCGAAAGTCCTGGGTTGAGACCATGCTGGTAGGAGGGGTCGTGGATGTGCACTGTTGATGAGTCCCATACAAGGACAAAACGGCTGTTCAGTGCTTACAGGGTTTTAATGGTGATCTAACCATGATTCGTTCATAAATAAAATGTAAAATTGTGTACATATATTATTCGGTAAATAGGATATTCCATTTTCTGTTTATATTTATATTTTCAATTCTAAATGGGTTCAGGATTAAACTGAAAGATGTTAAGAATTTCGGAAAGTAATTTATCACTAACATTTCAATTATTAATCTAAATAAATTTACACAAGTGAATTGTAAAACTAATTGTTTCATTGTTTATCACAGAAAATTTTTGGAAAAAAAAATTCATTTTTGAAGTTAGTCATAAATCATTTTGGACTTTTCATGAGAACTACAGAACTACTACTACTACTGTAGTGAAGGAGAATACAGGTGAGGGCAACCGAATTGTATTTAACGAAAATTACAGAGTTACTCAGTAAAATAGGGGAAACCATATCGTAAACGGTTAATTTGCAAATCTTCAATCCATCATCAATCCATTGTCTGACATTTCACTCACTATTCATGCGTTTCATACAAATTCCATTGTGTTCTAACTCTTCCTTTCTTGATCTTCCCTCATCTTCTGCTGCCAGAAATTACGTTGACACTCACGTCATATACTACTTATAAGTAGCGCGCACCACACTACTACTACTACTACTTCATATAAACATGATTACTAATGTATATTCAACTACTAAAATTGTTTAATAGAAACTACTTCCAAATATTTTTCGGAAAGAACTCTTATAACGGATTAAACTGTAAGACTGTGCATGGATGACTGTCCAAAGACTTGTTCCAAGTGAAGATCACTATGTTAGGCAAGGTTGCTTATTCTCAGCCTTTCACTTTCTCCACCTATGGTGGTCTACTGCAGGATGAGGGCGTCAAAATTTGGAGGGAAGCCCCCCCCGCCGCACTTGTAATCCTCAATTTCAAACGAACAGACGAAGACGAATGGAACACACTGTGCCAAGAATTGGAAATCAGCATTCATTTCGAATTCCACTACACTACATTAACTAATATCTAAATATTTTGGTGTACAGAGAAATACTGTTGTTTTTTTTGTGTTTAAAAGCAAGCAGATGATGCTGTATCACATTAGATCAATCAAAATGCATTTGTCTTACTTCTCCTTCTGTAGTTGGACTTGTTTTCGGTTTGGATAAGATAACTTTTGGTATGAGAAATGGCATAGTCAAACCGCAGATAACACCCATAATATACTGAAATAATAATAAGAAATTGAAATGTTCATGAAACAACTACTTACTATAACATATAAACAATCATAGAGAGAGAACGAGAGACAAGCAAACAGTTTATTTAAACAATTATACAAAAATTTAACCTTAAAATCGGTGAGGGCAGTTTTAGATTGATTTTCCCAAGAGAACCAAAGAGATTGCCCACATGTTGACACTACAACGTAAACAGTACAGTTCAATCGTGTGAAGCAACCATCACATAAGTACCAGACACCCTGATTAAACATTCATATTATCTCTAGTGATGATTTTCGATCCATGATCAAGTCGTCAATCCAAAGGCACAGCCGGAATAGGCTAATTTGACCCAGTCCGCTTACATGACTATCACAAACCCATCGTTATTAATGGCGCCTCCCCGTGACATTGGCCCCCGCCAGAGAATGTTGGAAGACAAGTACCAGGGTTAACCTGCAAACTAAAGTGGTTTTTGGACTGTTAGCAAAACTTGTTCAAAGTAATGTCACACCATACACAACATTTGTTATGATAAACCTCTGGTGTCATAGGGAAACTTTCAGCTTTATATAACACTAACTAATATATATTTCGATTTTAACAACACACCGCATGATACCAACTCTAAGTTGCCTATAATTATTAATACTAATTCACACCATTCTATTTTGATAAGGAATGCTGTTTCGAACAAATAAAATTGACCGTAAACATGAGTGTAGAGCTTGAGGAAACTGAAAAACTGTGACCAATGGAGTTCAATCCTGACGAGTGTGAGGCAGTTACTTACCGGAACACAATGGGTGAGGTTGTGAAATATCAGTGTTAGGATATTCATCCATCATCCTAAGAGAATTACTGGTCGATTCCTATTGGTTAATTTCTACTGGTCAATTTTGTGGTCGTCTTAGATATCGATTTCATGTGCTCCAATGTCGTTTCTTATTGGTTGTCCTGACTATCAGTGTCAGTTCAAATGTTACTTCCTATTGGTCGTCTTAACTGTCAATGTCACAGACTTTGATGCTGTTTCCTATTCGACCAAAATGAATAGATATGCATTGTCTGTAACGTTTTATGACCACAACCAGGACCCGGTCCCGGAGTCCCAGTCCGGGATCCTTATCCTCTTCTGGACTCGGACCTCGTACTTTTTGGATGTCTGTGGAATATAGGTTCTACTTCATATCAAGTCTTCTTCTTTCACTCAATGGGGCTTGAGAAAATCGGTTTAGAGTAGCATGTCTTGTCGCCGGATCCTCGATCCTCGCTCTTGTTTTCCGACTAAGGTAAACTCGCGATAGTTCAAGCATATCAAGTTGATGTGTTTACGATCATGCGTAACTATCAGGAATGGATTAAAGTTAGACATTTAACCCTGCCGGTAATAGGCTCGGTGGTATACAGGGTTATGCATTCGCCTGTGGTGCCGAAAGTCTTGAGTTCGATACCTGCGAGCGAGGGTCGCGGATGCGCACTACTATAGAAACTAACTTTTCTTATGTAAAAACTTGAGTGAATGAAGTACAAATATTCTGACAGAATAACATGAATTCGTTCAGTTCACAGACTGCCGTCAGCTGTTGAATAGAAAGTTATTCTGATACGAAATTTATTTATCCTATATTGATATTTTTGGTTTAAATCAGTTGTTCTATTTAGGGTTTTTTTTAGCAAGCGAATCGAACCGATCGAACCTTGACACTATGAGTCATTGTGGAACAATCAACAGAATGGAATTCACCACTATACACCAACTTCTTTGACTATGAGGAATCGTTTGATAGCGTGGATGGGATGACAGACACTAGGGTGTACCTCCGAAGCTAGTCAAGATCATACAGAATTCCTATGATGAATTAAACATCAAAATCGTGCACAAGGTGGGAAGCTCACAAATTGAATTCATTTAAGACCAGTGCTAGGAAACAGTGTTCACTTTCACCCTTTCTTTCTCTCATGATGGTTCACTGGATAATATAGACGTCAAATTCTCAATGGAAGTACGCAATACCACGAATAGCGCGAATACAGTTAAACGATTTGGACTTTTTACGTGACCTACCCCTTTTATTCCACACACATTAGTAAATACAAGAGAAGATGCCCAGTATAGCAGCCGCTGCAGTAGTAAGTCTTAAAGGAAAATGTAAGACCTATAGGGTCTCCACATTCATGGAGAAGCTTCGAATAGACGTGGAAATGTTTTAATATCCATGCAACAATATCAGAGATAAACAAGGTGGACCTGAAGCAGATGTGTAAACATGGGTTATCAAAGCAAGCGCAACATTTCTACAATTGAAGAACATTTGGAACTGAAAACAATTGTCAACTAACACCACAGTCGCAATTTTCAATATAAACGCCAAAACCGTACTAAAGTATTGAGTAGAAACATGAAGAACTGCAAAAACCATCATCCAAAAAATGCAAGTGTTGTTTAAAAGTTGTTTTCACTAGATACTGTGTATCCGTTTACCAAACATTATCAGCCCCAGTCCATAGTGTGAGTGAACAAACCAGCTTCTGGCTGAGGTAGAAGTAAGGGGAAACGTCCTGGAGGTAGATAGGACACATGTTGTGGAAACCGCACAACTGCCTCACAAGGACTATCCTTTACTTATAATCTTCAAAGAGAAGGGAACACACTGTGCCGAGCATTGAAAGTAGACATCAAAAGAATGCGCAACAATCAGATAGAACTGGATAGGAAGGCACAGAACAGAGTTCTAGTTGAGAAGACATGACCAACAGAGTTCAACCCTGTCGGGTGTAGGCAGTAACTACCAAACACAAATGGGTGAGGTCGCGCAAAAACCCTAGATCAATCAGAGTTAGACAGTAACACCGTTGGATGCCAGCCCCTTGGTCCGATGGTTAGGCGTTCGCGCACAATACCGAAGGCCCCGGGTCCGAATCCTGCGATGAGCAGGAGTCGTGGATGCGCACTGCTGATGAGTAGTCCCATACCAGGACGAAACGGCCGTCTTTCAGAGCTTCCAGGTTTCTAATAGTGGTCTAACAATGATTGACTGGTGATTTCAAATGTGTAAAAACACAAACCTCCAAAACAATGCCTGAAAATAGAGTAAATTAATAAGTTGAGTAAAGATAAAATCAATCATAACACAGTTTATACAATACATTTTTCTCAGTTACCCTAAATACACTATTCTTTGTTGATAAATTCCCACTCCATGTATTAGTTAGAAAATCTTGACAACATGGATGTGCCATAAATTTGATACTTTGACCTTCAGCAGCTAATTTAATCACTGAACTACGTCCATAATAAATTAATTCATGATTAATAATTAACTGTGTCCGATGTTCATCTTCACGATAACATTCATTTAGCACACCTTCAGCGCGTTCTTGAAAATTTCTGTTAGAATGACAAGTAAAAGATGATAATAATAGTGATAATAATTAAAATAGTGGAACCTCTCTAAAATAAATAATAATTTATACAACATTGGCAATGATTAATGATGAGTTTCATTGGAATGAATTCCCCTGTGGGCCAGTTTCCTCCTCTGTAGACGACGACCTGAACAACCGATAGGTCATTCATATCGGTTCCGCGCTTAGCATGGATGACCGATCAACATGAGCACTCATATGCGAAACCCCTCACCCTAGCCTCTAAGTAGTACTTAGATTACAGGCTCAAGCCACCACACCCAGCCACAAAAAATGAGAACATCCTCGTGGGAATGCTCCGTTGATATTCGTTCCGTTTACTGAGTAAGGTGAACTCGTAACAGTTTCGAGAATATCAGAGAGCCGAGAACCGATGATGAATCCATCGTTGTTAGACTACCATCAGAAACCTGACAGCCCTAAACAGCAGGACTCGTTGACAGTGCGCATCCACGAATCCTCCCACTCTCAGTATTCGAACGCCTAACCCCTAGACCGCTAAGGCCGGCCTCCGACGGGTGTTAATATCTAACTCTGATAAATCTAGGGATTTCGCGTAACCTCACCCAATTGTCTTCGGTTATTAGGGATTACATTCGACAGGGTTGAACTCAACTGGTCACATCTTCTCACTTAACGTTTAGATTTGTCAAAGAAATTATTAACAAAGATAGACAGTGGTTAGTAGTGGAATCAAAGATGGGCGTTTCATCCTATTCAGGACTCTTTTTCAACTGAATGTACCTGCATCCTATAGTTGATATTCTCTAACAGAACAATAAGCACGTCCTTATGTTCCACTACTAGCTACTTTTTACTTCTGTCAAAAATACTTGTCACCTAAAGTCAATCCTGAAGCAATCTGTACAGTATGTACACTTGCTAAATGGGACTGGTTAACTGAAAATATAACTTATTGCGTAAATCTGGTTACTTACTAAGCCTAATTGAGTTGTCAAGTCTACAACGTGTATTTATTGGCTGAAAAAAGTCACAATAACTGATTAATGATTTCAGTAAAAAACAGCAACCTCGGTAACTCAATAATGAATAGTTGTACAATGTGCTTACTAGTGACTAGCTTTGTGAGGAAATCCCTGGAGTTCTAGTGAAAAGATGTGACTAGTGGAGTTCAACACTGTCGGGTATAGTAACTAATTACAAAAGACAAATCGGTGAGGTTGCGTAAAATCCTTAGATTGATCAGAGTTAGACATAAACACCCATCGGAAGCCAACTCAGTGGTCCGGAGGTTACGCGTTCGTGTGCCCAGGTTTTGAATCCTGAGAGTAGCAAGATTAGTGGATCAGCTGATGAGTCTCATACCCGGACGAAACCGCAGTACAGTGCTGCCAGGTTTCTAATAGTGGTCGTGGTTTTGAATCCTGAGAGAGAGTAGCAGGAGTCGAGGATGCACACTCCGGATGAGTTCCCTGTACCAGGAAGAAACGGGTATCTAGTACTTCCATGTTTCTAATGATTGTTTAACAATGATCGATTCATGATATCAATAAGGTAACTCAACAATCTCTGCAACACTCCACAATGCACAAAAACGAAAAAATGCTTACTTTGCAAAACTTCTATAATCCTCTTTGTCAGTGAAATCATCAGTTTTATTCCCTAACGATGTCAATAAAATTGAAGCCAATAGAGCAGCTGCTATAGGTTCCTGTAAATTAATTAAAAAAAACAAACAGATTATATATAGAGTTTAGGTGAATAACAGCCTTGATCTTGATCATTTGAACTGTTCAGTAAAAATGTACAAATTGCACAAATATTGATTATTGTAACCTAAAAAAAGTGTGTAGTGCCTCCGCATATATTCATTCCAGTTCGCTTACATTTAATTTGGTTCAGCCCTTTCGGTTAATTCATTTAACGAAGCCATTTGTATTGGGAGCAACAATTTATATGTACCATTCGTTCTTATTATTATTGTCTGGTTTGTATGATGAGCTCACATGACTCTCGTCCCACTTGTCATTTGATCTGGTCAACTACTCGTCGTTTTTATTCATGTGTGTGAATGCCTACCTCGTTGGTCACATGTCTGTCTGACTATCTCTTGGAGTTAGCCCATTAGCCTTCTCCTACGAGCTTCTGCAATTCACGTCGTTTCGTTCGCTCTATTCGCTGCTTTTAAACTTCGCTTTTTGGTGTGTCCCAAATAAACGTATTCAACACTATGAGTTCTCCTTCTGATTTATAAACCGTCAGATGCTATTTAGAAACGATTGTCTAGACGAGCTAATTACCGAGCAGCAGTAAATCGACACACTTCAAGTTCACTGAGCATTGAACACATCGATTGTGTTGCTTGTCGAACGTATCAAACTTCCAAAACCATTGTGATCCTCCATTTATGTAAATCATTAGTGAAAACTGATAAACTGAGAGAATTGCACAAACGTTTTCAGGTCAAACTGTATCTCAAAATCAGAAGTCAATATAAGCAAGCTATAATGAGTACTGATATGTGATGAGTTGCTCTCTGACAGTGTAAGCAATGGACAGTTAAATACCGTCCCAGTGGTTCAGCGGTTAGGCATTCACGCTCAAGATCCAAGATCCAGGGTTTGAATCTTGCTAGAAGCAGGAGTCGTGGATGCGCGCTGCCGCTGATGAGTCCCATATCAAGATGAAACGGCTGTCCACTGATTCCAGGTTCCTAATGGTGTTCTAATATTGATTGATTTATGATTTAAAAAAGCTTTGGAAGCTTCGGCTTTGCCTCAGCAACTTTCTTCTCAGCGACTTTGAAGCTACCAGATGCACCCTTGCCTTTGTTTCCAACTCGAACCAAAACACCTTTCTCGACGCCATGAACAATATCACGACGAATGTGTGCCGCCTGCTTCTCGACATCAAACTTATAGTTTGAAGCAATGTACTTTTTATTAGTCGCAAGCGAGCTACCCATACGTCCCTTCAATGCCAATATTGCGGCTCTGATCATGTTGATCGCTGGCGGGTGACAAGCTGGCATTTTCGGCTTCGACGACTTGGATTTCTTCGAAGTAGAGCCTATTAGGGCACTCATGACTAACTCTTCTGACAGACTTGCCACACGGAACTATATAAACGTCTCCAGGTCTAAATTTATATCGAAATCAGAGGTCAATAAAAGCAAGCTGTAATGACTACTGATATTCGATGCGTTACTCCATGATATTGTTTGAAATAAACGAGTTCTTTTGACTGATTACAGTTAGATACCAGCCCAGTGGTCCAGAGGTTAAGTGTTCGCGTGAAAAACTGAAGGTCCTAGGTTCAAATCCTGGGAGTTGCAAGAGTCGTTGATGCGCACTGCCACTGATGAGTCCCATACCAAGATGAAACGGCTGTCCACTGCTTCCAGGTTCCTAATGGTGTTCTAATATTGATTGATTTATGATTTAACAAAGTTAAGAAACTGTATTCAGCTTTCGCATTTGATCAATACAACTGAGTGGATTCAAATGAGTTTGATCCATTATATTTTAAAGTGTGTTTATTAGCAGACTAGCTATTCATCTTCAACTTTAAACTTTTGAAAAAAATAACTGCCAAAATAATTCAGAACATATCGTTCCATGTAAAAATTGTCATTACTCATACTTCTGTAAGTATGCATGCTAACATTACTGCTGGAAATCATTCGATTATCAATATTTGTACAAAATATATTATGTCTTGTAGTTCTAAGATATTCTTCGTTAAAAGATACCTACGAATGTGATAAGGCGTTAACAAAGTAAGGGAAACATTGCTACAACTGAAGAATAGCTGTAAATTAAAACAACTGTTTTCCAGTCAACACTATAATCACTATTCTCACTAAGAACGTTAAAACTGTTCGATTGTATGTAGAGGAAACTTAGAGAACTTCGAAAGGCATCATTCAACAGGTACAGATGTTTATTAACAGATGTCTGCGCAAGACACTTCGGATCTGTTGACCATACACCATCCGTAACAACCTACTTCGCGAGAGAAAAAAACCAGATTCTAACTGAGGAAGAAACTAAGAAACTTCACTGCAAGTGGATAGGGCAAGCTCTAAAACTTGAAATCCCCTTGGCCAAAGGCAACCAGTTATCAACAAGGAACGCATTGCGTTGCGAATTGTAGACAGACATGGCGAGAATGAATAGTGATTTGAAAGAACTATAAAGGAGGGCACAAAACAGAGTAGGTTAGAGAATGCTACTCGTCAGCCATCCATTAAAGGTAACCGAAATCAGTAGGTAATTAAATGATAAGAAAAATCATACAAAAAATCAATCCCGACTGTAGCCGCTACCTTGACGTGGTGAATGGGCTTGCCTATTGTCATGACCCGACCGAACTATACTGGCCGGAACATATGTTCCTAAAGGTTCTACCATGCCAGGCAAGTCGGTTGGAGAACGATGAGACTAAAAGCAGCTACTCAAGGTCTAAGCACGAACTTGTACTGCTGACTGTGATGGAGGGGTGTGACAGCAGTAAGGTGTTTCTCTCGGACAACCAGCATCTGCAGCGATGCTGCCTTCTCACAAGGAAGGAAGGGTTAGAAAAGGTCGACCCTAAAAATGTCACACCTCACCCTACCTCACGGATTTCCGTCTCCGTCGGTAAGGGTGCCCACTAAGGGCTTTTAAACAAGGGCGGAGCTAATACTCAAAAAACCTTTCATAAAAAGATCGTGCGTGACCGGCCTCAAGCAGTTGTCCTTTTGGCTCTGCGGTCACGCACCCAGGTATCTAAGACCAACACTAATCTACCTTTCTTTTTCAGGTCCCTCAAGAAACAACCTTCCATGGTGTGGGCAGCCGGGAACTGACAACCGCCCTCATACCCGTAACAGCACACGAGAGACCGAATTGGTCAAAATCAAATCCTTCTTAGACACATAACAAAAAATCGTTCAAAAAACTCGAGAAAAAAAATAAAAATTCTAATTACTTTTTCCATAGTCCAAAATAATTCAGCCATACGTAATTTTCCAACCAGTATCGACCAAATTAATAATTCTCTGGCTGGACGATCCAATTGAATGGATTTCGTTTGTTCCTCATCTAATATTACAATTTTTGACATGATTCAATCATCATCGGTATTGAATGTGGGATCAGATTCAATTGGAAAGAGTGAGAGACACAGGTTAGTTTGACCGAGTTTCATGCAGAAATAACCAGGGGGGAAAAAATAAAGCATTGAAAAGGCAGAAAACAACATGAGAATGATATTCAAACAAATGCGCTTAATTTGAATAAAAAAAGGGCGGCCAAAAAGAATCCTACTTGATTGTATTGTCTTGTCAATTCAACATTTTTTAAATAAGCACATATATATATATATGTATACACACACAGAGAGACAGAGAACGATTCCAAACTACTTCTAATCCAAACTGACAATTAAATGTTAGTCGTTAGTTAGGTTAAGTTTGGATGTAAGGCAAAGTAAATAGTAAAACATTGTAAAATGACTACACAACTAGTACACAAACACTTGCACACACAAGAGAAAAAGAGATTGGGACCAACGTGACACTAGAATGAGATTGAACAGCACGGATAGACCACTATGGATTCGTTCGTTCGTTCGTTTACTGATTCATTCATTCATGGAAATCATCGTGCAAATAAATATTTACAATAAACATCACATCTACACACTGTTCGGTTATTTGTTTTTTTCATAATTGGCGTGCATTGGAAAGTTCGAGAAAGTTAGAATTTAAACAAAGAGGAAGAACAAGGAAAATGGTAACTTTCTATAAATTATTGACATAGATACATACTACTCATAACATGAAGCATGATTTATTTAGGATGAGATTAAAAGAAACACTGAAAATGTAACATACATATACATATTCATTAGGACAAAGAAATATTCACTTGACAAATTGTAATCAAAAAGTTTACAACTAAATGGTTGAAATGATACTGGACTTAACAAGAAAAATCTTTAGCTCTAATTGAAGTCATGAATAAATCATTGTTAGACCGGTTATCGAAAGCTGGACAGACATTTCATCCTTATAGGAGACACAGCAGCAGTGTGCATTCATGACCCTCACACTATTCGCGGAAATCGGAAGCAGGACCTTCGGTTTCGAGTGAAACCCGCCCATACCTCCGAACAACCATTGTGACGGTATCGAACGGCCTTCTAAAGCTTCCGAAGTTTCTAATGATGGTCTAACAATGACTCATTTATGATTTTTAATCATAATAAATTGCCTTGATTTGGTTTGAGTTTTTCATGTTATCATAATATTCCTGTATATTAGAGAGAGAGTTATGCCTAATGAAGATCTAATTGAAAGCAAGATTGTATTGGTAAAATTGTATGTAATTAACAATGTCTGTATACAGAATCTATTTCATTAATTATAAATTCTTATGAACGTTTTTTTATATCTAAATGCTCACTTTTTGGTCAAGTTTTAACAGATTTTTTTACGTTTAATTTATGGCATTTCATTATACAGTTATGAAGATTGTTGAGTTTCATTTGAAATGATAAATCGTTCGTTCACTGTTAGATTGCCACTATTAAGACGAGAGGTATGGGTGGGTGTAGGGAGGATTTGATTATGACCAATTTGGTCTCTCGTGTGCTGTTATGGGTATGACAGCGGTTGTCAGTTCCCGGCTGCCCACACCGTGGAAGGTTGTTAACTGAGGAACCTGAAAAGGAAGATAGATTAGTGTTGGTCTTAGAGACCTGGTTGCATGACCGCAGAGCCAAAAGGACAACTGCTTGAGGCTGGTCACTCACGGCTTTTTTATGAAGGGTGTTTTGAGTACTAGCTCCGCTCTTGAAAGCCCTTAGTGGGCACCATTACCGACGGAGACGGAAATCTGTGAGGTAGGGTGAGGTGTGACATTTTTAGTGTCGACCTCTTCTAACCCTTCCTTCCTTGTCAGAAGGCAGAATCACTGCAGATGCTGGTTGCTGTCCGAGGGAAACACCTTACTGCTGTCAAATCCCTCTTCAGTCAGTCAGCAGTACGACTTCGCCCTCAGACCTAGAGTAGCTGTTTTTAGTCTCATCATTCGACCTGCCTGACACTGTAGAACCTTTAGGAACATATGTTCCAGCCAATATAGCTCGGTTGGGTCATGACGGTAGGCAAGCACGACCACCACGTCAAGGTAGCAGCTACGGCCACTTAAGAACCTGTAATCTGTGACGAGTATGATTCAAACCTAACAGGTGTAGATAGTTACCCAACGAAGAAAAGGGATGGGATTGTGCTATTCAGATTAGATTGATTGAAGTCATCAAACATTGACACCGTTAAATGCTGACTCACACTGCTCAAGAGGTCGGTCGTTCACGCATGGGATTGAATGTGTTGGATTGGATTCCCACGAGAGGGGTTAGTAAATTTGCATAGTTAATGAGTTCCAAATACCAGAACAAAATGGCCATCTTTCAATGCTACTAGGTTTCTAATGGTGATCTAACAATGATCGATTCATTATTTCGACGGATGTTTCAATCTAGAAAATTCCCCTGTTTATCTTTGATTTACCTAATGCACCAATGTAAATCCTTTTTAAAAAAATGTGAAATATATCTACTCTATGGTGGTGTTTCGTTGTCTGAGCTGCGGATGTAGTTTGGTTGTGGAGCTTTCATTGTTCTTCTGAACAACATCATCAGCATTCGAATTTCTCCCCGTTTGACATGTATAGCTTGTTCTGCTAACCTCGATCAAGATCTGAAGTTTTATGCTGCTGATGATAATGTTGTTCAGCAGAAGAACCAACAATGAAAACTCCACAACCAACCAAACTACATCCGCAGCTCAGAGAACCAAACACCACCATCAGAATCATCCATCTGAGCTACAAGTTTACTCCAGCATCATCGCAATATCTAATCTAGTTGTTCATTGAAAATCCCGAAATCCTGATTTTACATGTACAACAAAAACTAACTAAGATAGAAAAATAAGTTGAGATCCAAAAAATGAGTACATACAATCATAACATTTAAACAAATTCATTAATCATTTTTGTTCAATTATTAAAAAAATAATTTAACAATGAAGATTGTTTTTTCTATGTTATTAACTTCTTTTGTTACGTTCATGCAAATAATTTTTTTTTTAAATATCCATATCTGTTCAATATCCATTGAGCAGAATTTCAATGTCTCAAATTCTATTGACACATTGAATATGTTGTGTTTTAAATGACGACAAAGAAAATTTTCATAGACATTTAATTTCTCAACAGAGAAAATCAATCTTAAAATAGACAGAACATATGTATGTACATGAGCAGAACAAAAAATAACAAATCACAAATACATTGAAAGAAACGATGATCTCTAGCATGTTATGTAATCGACATAAAAACATGAAGGAAAATGGGCATGCACTCAGTCAATTTTTTGCCTCTCTCTATGTCTCTCTCGCTTGCTCACTAATTCACTCTGCTTCCTTTGTCAGAAAAACACATTTTTGTTAGTAAATAAATGATCAATGTGTTTGTTAATTGAATGACAGAATAAAGAAAAACCCGTACAGGGACGAAAATCAAAACAATACACTTACAGTCTTCTGTAACCACATCAGGATGATCTAATTGTATCAGTTTAACTGTGAGAATATAGATAAATATATATTTCTTAGATATATTTCTTGTATTAGAGTATTACAGACAGACAGACAGACAGAGTAATACAACGCAGAACTTCGTACGTACGTAAGGACATCAGTTCAGGTTGCCATACCACGTCAGCACAGAGGTGCAACTGTCAGTTCAAATCCAAAAGAGTGATAGCGATAGTGGTAGCATTAGCAGTAATGGAGAAGATTAGGGAGTGAAGATAAGGATTCGAAAAGTATAATTCAATGAGATAAATTTAGAAGGAGAAAGATAGAGATGATGAGGAATTCAGAAGGTTAGAATTTGAGAGAGAACACAAAGAGTGGATGCACCTGAGCGATTGCACCTGAACGATTCTGAGCCATGTCATTCAAGGTCTCTAACCATCGGTGACTATCGTCTCGCGGACCTCAACCAGGTAGCCTACGTTTACCAACATGACTCAGTCCACTTGTCAGTGACTTCATGGATTTCTGCCATGTTTTGGTTTGGCCGCTCATATCTTTCTTCCAACCTACTCCTACACCACAAGACATAGCACGTCGCGGCAGTTGGTGGTTAGCCATACGTAACACATGTCCCAACCACCTCAACTGATGACGTTTTACTACTTCATCTATTGATTTGTCACCCCTACGACAGCATTGCTTATAGGGTTGTCCCAGGATACACGAGCAATGCTTCGAAGACACCGATGATCGAAGACTAGTAACCTACGAAAGTCCTCTACTCTAAGCGGTCATGTTTCGCATCCGTATAGTAGGACGGAGCGAAGTGCTGCACAGTACACTCTTCCTTTGGTTAGCAAGGGGATATCTCGCCTGCGCCATAAGTGACGCAGGTTGGCAAAAGCCAATCGAGCTTTCTGTATCCGGGCTGGAATTTCGCCAGATATGTGAAGAGGTCTACACACTCGACTACTTTACTCCCTATCACTAGTTCAGGTTCCAATGCGACCCAACCTTGAAGCAACGTTTTGCATTTCGAAGGTGAGAACCGCATCTCGAACATGCTTGCATTGTTGCTTAGGGTGGTCAGAAGACTCTGCATTTTGTCAGCGTCTTCACCGAATAGAAATATGTCATCGGCATATTCGAAGTCAATAAGCGATTTTCCTGGTAGAATGTCGACTCCTGAAAAGTCGAACGAAGATAATGTTATATCTAGCAGAGTATCATGGAGATTGTAGTTTGAATCTTGAAATCATGAATGATAGATCAGAGTTAGATATCGTTGTTTCCCGGCTGGCTCAGCGATCCGGATATTAGCCGTTCGCTGACGCGAGACTGAAGGTTTTGGGTTCTAAGCCTGTACGAATAGCAGGACTTGCGGATGCTCAGTGCTGATGAGTCAAATACGAGGACGAAACAGCCGCCTCCCAGTGCTTATTCCAGGTTTCGAATAGTGATCAAACAATGATTTATTCATGATTTCAAGGTCACATTTATGTATATATATGTATATTAAGTGGGACTATTGTAACGAAACGACTGTTACGTAATCAAGTCTATGAAAAATACTGTATTTTAATAGCACAGTCTAATCACTTTTATGCATCAGTTTAAAGGCATATAATCGTAAAAATTTAAATCGTGATCAAAAAAAAATGGAGAATAATTATTGTTCTACGGTTAGAAATGTGTAAATGTATAGCTCATTGGTCAAGTTATACACGATTTTACGTTATGAGGTTGTGGAGATTGTTGAGTGACTTTTTAAAATTGTGAATCGATCGATGTTCGGTCACCATTAGAAACCTGAAAGAAGCACTGGACAACAGTTTCGTCCTTATATAATGGGACTCATCAGCAGTGCACATCTAGGACTCCTACTTCCCGAAGGATTCGCGCTCAAGACCGAAGGTCCGTTTTCATTGACACACACAACAGCAAATGCAGATGACGTCGGCTAGTACAACAGAAGCCTACGCATCAGTAGTCCTTAACATAAACAAGGGAAAAAAGACGAGATTCGCAGATGCAACGCAACATACACCAGCCGAATCAATTTCGATGAAGAAGCCTTGGGAGATGTGGAATCCTCTAAATATCAGTACAGCATTATTAACAGACAAGGTGGATTTGATGTAGATGTGAACACACGGATTAGCAAAGTGACAGTGACATTTCTACACCTGAAGAACATCTAAAACTTAGAAAAACTGTCTGCTAGCCAACACTCAAGTCAGAATTTTCTATGCGAACGTCTAAACTGTTCTATTCTTTGTATGGAAAACTTGGGGAACTACAAATCCATTTTTCAAAAGATACAGGCATTTATTAACAGATGTGTACGCCAGACACAGCGGATCCATTAGCGGAAACGTGCTGTGCAGAAGAACAATCTAGATTCCAACTGAGGGCGAAATAAGGGAAATCTGTGAAGCAGGATATGGGACCTAACTGTATCACGAGTCAAGTCCTAACCTGGAATCCTCAAAATCAAACGAAAAGAGGTAGACTAAAAAGAATCCAAAACAGACGTGAAGGGAATGAACAGCAGTCGGGTAGAACTGGAAAGACACTTTCAGGACAGAGTAGTTTGGAGAATGCTGGCAGTTGGGTTTAACCGGCGTAAGTTGGCATTGTGTATCATGCTTTAAAGTTACAGAAATATAGACATCAGTGTATATTTTACAAATTTTAGTAAGATTTTTATTATGGCCAATATTATGCGATAAACACACGTTAATTCATTGTACCAGAATCGAAATATAAGTTTTCATATTAAAAATTAAACCCAGTACCTTCTCCATCTAACAAAGAGGCCCTGTATGAATTCTACACCTAGTCATAATACGAATTTTCTCTCAAACTCTTACCTCCAATTCATGCAATGGTCATTTGATCAAGATGTATACATTTCAATAAAGATTATTTAAAATGTTGTCTTTAATATCAACACCAGAAAACAAACACAGACTTATGTAAAATATTCAACAGAACACCAACTGAAGCATTCAAAAATTTGGATAATACTATAAGAAGATGAAAATTATCAGAGTTTTATGCCCTATCCGCGTACCCACAAAATTTGCTGTAAGATGTTTGTTGTTCTAAATATTACAACAAACTGATTAAAGTGAATAGAATCAAGTATACTGAACTCTTTTTGATGACCAAAGTTCCTGGGTTTGATTGCTGTGAGTATCAAGGCTCTTGGATGTGCACTGCTGAAGAGTCCCATACTAGGATGAAATGGCCACTCAGTGCTTCCAGGTTTCTAATGGTGATCATTCAATGATTGGTTTACGATTTCAGTGGAAAGCACCAGTGTCTACAACTTGATTACTGAGTTTGATATCATCTAGGAATAAGGCATAAACACATGATCGGTAAGATAAGACACGTCACCTGGATTATCCGGCTATTCACATCATATCAAGTCGATACAAATATATGATATAATGTGTATTTTGAGGCAATCGGCACAGAATGGGTCCATATTACCCTTACCATGTAAAGGTAACTCAAATAGTCTCATGATGAAATGAAGATTTAAGATTTAGCTATCAAAAAGATATTTAACGCAGACGAACTCATCATTATCGCCAAAATCTCTGACAACATGTTAACATTCATATCACATCCCACTGCATCTATCAATTTGCTTATATGGGCAGTACAAATTTATGGGGAGTAAGTAGGAACAACTAAATCAATCCTAATGATCACATATGAATACAGAATAGTTGAGTATGTTGCTTCCTCCGTTACGAAAACATTTGATTGAAACTGATTATCAAATAAATCTTTGTAGTTTGATGCATAAAAGTGTTCAAAAGTATATACTTAGGTTCATAGAAGCCTTGTACGCACGAAAATTGAAACCCTGTTTATTTGTCGGTAATATTAATGTATTTGTTCTCCTGAGTTTACAGATATATATATATTGTTGAAACCATGAACCGATCAATATTAGACCACCATTAGAAATCTGGAAGCACTGGGCGGCCGTTTGGTCCTGGTGTGGGACTCCTCCTGCACCCCGCAGGATTCGAACCCAGCACCTTCGGTATTGTGCGCGAACGCATGGTTTCAAAAATGTGAAACTTAACAATCTTCACAACCCCGTAATGCATATGTATATTGCATAATTCTGATAACCTTCGTCTTCTCATTTCAATATCCAAATTCATCAAAGCAACTAATTGTTTTAAACAAATATTATTTTCATCAACTGATCCAATATAAAAACATGGATGCACTGAATGGCCGTCTGATCATAGGATGTAACTTCTCAGCAGTGTGCATCCCAGAATCACAAGAATCAAAACCCGAACCTTCAATGCCGCATACCAACGCTTGACATACATACTCAGGAGCTGACATCCAGCGATGTTAATACGCAACTTTACTCAACCTATGATGTTGCACAACATTCATGCACTGTCTACTACCAGACATGAATTTTACTCCGCTAGTCACGCGGTGTCGTAGGTACATACTGCTGAGAAGTCTCATACTCAGTCTAGAAGATCATGCAGTAAGTACCTCCAGGTTTCTAATGATGTTGATCTAGTTTAGCGCAATTGACGATTTCAAATGTCCATAAAATGTCCCTCCATACTCCAGTCAAAAAAACCAAAGCAACAAACAAAGATTTACATAATATTGTTTCTGAATGAACACAGCAAAAAACCAACCATTCACTTTGGACAAGTTAAATGACATTGAAATCAAACATTGAAAGCTAACATTCACAAGACATCACTACAAATGCGATTTTCTGCAGTCAGTCAAATACGCGACAAACAATCCAACTCTCATTGTTTTCGACTTAACAGTTACAAATCGATATATACATATATACATTAATTACTCTTAGCTTGAAAAAACTACAACACACATGAGACTAAAAATTAAAAACAAAGTAAGGTTAGTAATCATGGATTGCTAGTCAATTCTGTCGAATGCAACCAAAAAACACGGTAGATGTAATCAAATACGGGGAGCATATGAAATATAAACATGTATAAATATACATAAACAGATCGATATAAAACTATCTTTTTTTCAGAAATCTCTAATTCAATTTCTGTCAAATGCAAAAAAAACAACAGTTTGACTGACGACTACCTGGTTCAAAGAAATTTGATGGGATTATCAAATCTGAAATAATATAGATTGTACAATATGTATATATATATACACATATATATATGTTAGATGAATAGGTTAAGTAAGCAAAAAATTAAATTCAAAACATTTAGTCCGGTTTCATTTTAAATAAATAAGAAGATGTAACTGAATCTGCGGAAATATTGTGATGTATTTGCCTTGGAGGACGTTAAGACCTTTATATATCTAGGCAACATCATCGACAACCAAGGTGTATCCGATGCAGATGTGAGGGCGTGGATTGGCAAAGCAAGGGCTGCATTTCTACAGTTGAAAAATATCTGGAACCCCAAATATCAACCAAAACCAAAATCAGGATTTTCAATACAAATGTCAAGACAGTTCTACTGTATGGAGCGGAAACATGGAGAACTACGAAAGGCATCATCCAGAAGATACAAGTGTTTATGAACAGTTGTCTACGCAAAATACTTCGTATTCGTTGACCAGACACCATCAGCAACAACCTACTGTGGGAGAGAACAAACCAGATTCCAGTGGAGGAGGAAATCAGGAAGAAGCGGTGGAAGTGGATAGGACACACACTGTGGAAAGCACCTAACTGCGTCACGAGACAACCCCTCACACGGAACCCTCGATGCAAAAGGAAAAGAGGAATGCTAAGGAACAGATTACGACGAGAAATACAGAATGATATGAGATGAATGAACAAACATTGGACAGATCTGAAGAGGGAAGCCCAGGACAGAGTTGGTTGGAGGAAACTGGTGGGCGGCCTATGATCCATTGTGGGTAACAGGAGTAAGTAAAAAAGTAAGTAAGGAAATGGCCACATTACTTTATAGGTCATAAAATGGCCTAAAGATTACCAGAGTAAATTCAAGGTTATGACAAATCGTTTCCGTACACTTAAAGGAGGGTTTTAATTTATGAATAACCAAGGATTCCATAAACCTCTCATTGCATTTATCAATTTACATGTTTATGTGGACACACACGTACATAGGCAGGAGTAATCGGACATTGCAATTAAGGGTTATGGAACATGTACGTAAGTGGCTTCAAAATCAGTTAACTTCAGATGAGCTGATAATCGTGAGAAACAGAAAACCATGTTCATCGATCGCAAAACACATAATTGAGACAGGGCATAAGATTGACATCAAGACAGCCTTCAAAACTTTGTATAGAATTGTTGAAGGACGAATTTTGAGATTTATTAAGGCGTTCGCGCACTATACCGAAGATCCCATGTTCGAATCCTGCGAAGTTCAGGAGTCGTGGATGTACGCTGCTGATGAGTCCCATATCGGGACGAAACGGCCGTCCAGTGCTTCCAGGTTTCTAATGGTGCTCTAACAGTAATTGATTGCTGATTTCAAATGTGTAAAAACACAAGCCTACAAAACTCTGCCCCAAAATTTATGAAAGCCTTAGCTATTTGTAAATTAAAACCCTTCTTTAAGTGTACAGAAACCATTGGTTATACCCTTGAATTTACTCTGGTAATCTTTAAGCCGTTGTATAGTCTTATTGGATAATGTGACAATTCCTTAACCTTTCTTATCCTACCATACAAAATTACACACTTCGAACGCTGAAATCTCATGAAGAATGAAGCGTTAAAACTTGGAATCTTCAAAGTAAATTGAATCATAGGCAGATCAAAGGAAGATACTGCGCTGAGAATTGGCGAACAGACATGAAAAGATAACACAACCATTGGGTAGAACTGGTAAGGAAGGCCTAAGACAGAATTCGTTTGGTTAATGCTAGTCGGTGGCCTACGTATGAACCATGAGGTGTAACAGAAGTAAGTAAATGTTTAGTTTGAAGGGGTAATTTTCAACGTCTAGTGAGAAGCTGCGTCAGTCATAGAGATGGTGTTCATCGGCAACTTGAAACGATGATCAATCGTTGTAAACTAATAACATGTTTAGTGAAGAATTATCATTTGTAAGAAACGTGAACATTGAAAATCATAGCTTATTTTAAAAGTATTAAATCCACGTTTTTGATTGGTCTATCAAAGTAAAATAATTTACGAGCGTAAATTAAATGAAATCTGTTATGCTCGTCAATTGACAAGCTTCAAACTATTATGAGTTCATATAAAATGCCTTGACAAGTAAATTTGTGTGACCAGATTGTTCGAAATGTATTGCGCGCAAATACATCACATTTTTCAGATCAATTACGTCTTCTCATTGTTCTATCAAAATATTACGAGTTCACCTTAGTCGATACAGGAGAGCAAAGACAAATGATCCAGTGACACGTTAGGCTACTCTAATCCGAGCATTCCAGTGCCCTACTTAGTAGAGGAAGAAGTCTTGACAAGACGTAGAAAGTGTATTCTACAAACATCCAGAAAATCGAGGTTTTCAAGCACACAAATCGAGTTTATGTAAACATGGTAGAAACGTCATTGTGAGAGCCACAAAAATAGCGTACTAAAATAACTAACACATCAACCAATAACAGTCAAGGATTTTGCGGGTGGTAAATGTAATCTCAAGGTCAACTGATCAGCTCATGCTCGAAAACAAAAAATCCAAAATTAGGACCTTTATCAAGTGAATTATAGGGGATCTAGCATCCCCAACAAGAGCATGTTGATCAAAAACGATTTGGCTTACTGTTGTGCAATGGTAGACTATACGCTTTGCATAAACAAGAATAAAAATTCACTGAAAATCTTTCCACCAATCAATTTTCAAGATCAGAAAAAAAGCGTAAACTACAAATCGAACAATGTAATCAGTCAGTGTAGCGAAACGCAGAACTTCGATTAGTATACGTAAAACCAATAACTTGTAAAAATCACCATATATGTTTTCATTAGGATTTGAGAGAACACAAAGAATAAATGAATGCAGCTGCGCCATTGCAAAAGTTTTTGAGCCTAGTCATTCAGGATCTCTAACCATCAATTACTATCATCTCACGAACCCCAACCAGGTAGCCTACACCTACCAATATGACTCAGTCCAGTAGTCAATGATTTCATGGATTTCTGTCATGTTTTGGTCTGGCCACCACTAGCTTTCTACCAGTCTATTCCTTCACGGCAAAATATAACACGACGATGCAGTCGGTGGTTAGGCATACGTAACACATGTCCCAACCACCTCAACTGAAGAAGTTTCAATACTTCATCTATTGACCTATGACCCGTTTCCTAACAACAGTATTGCTTACTCGGTTATCTCAGGGTACACGAGCAATGCTTTGGAGACACCTATGATCAAAAAACGAGCAACGTACGAATATCTTCTACTATGACTGGCTATGTTTCACAGCCATAAAGTAGGACGGAGTGAACTACTGCGCAGTACACTCGTCCTTTGTTTTACAGACGGATATCCCGCCTACGCCATAGATGACGCAGGTTGGCAAAATTCAATCAAGCCTTCTTTATCCGTGTTGAAATTTCGTCACAAACCAGGCCAACAGTACTGACAAGACTCCCGAGATAAGTGTAGCGGTCAACATGCTCAACTGCTTCTCTCTGTATCACTAGTTCAGAATAGAATCGCATCCCCAACATGCTTGTGTTGTTGCTTAGGGTGTTTAGGGGACACTGCATTTTGTTAGCATCTTCACCAAATAGGACTATGTCATCGGCATATTCTAAGTCAACCAATGAAGCTCCTTGTAGAATATGTACTCCTCAAAATTCAGACGAATATAATGTTATATCTAGGAGCCTGTCCATGACAAAATGAAACAATAATGGGGAAGTGGACATCGATGACGGATAACCTCTTACATTGTCTTGAATAACATCAAAGGAGAAAAATTTGGAGACACATAGGAAAATCAATGTCACAGAAATCTATCATACCGATATTTTTATGTAGGTGGTCATAACCGTGATGAAGTTTCGTTCTCAGAGCTGGGAATGTTTCGGTTGTGGAGTTTTCATTGCTCCGCTGAGCAATCATCAGTCATCAGCACAAAATTCAGACCGACTTCTATGTGAAGTGTTTGTGTTGATGACGTTGTTCAATAGAACATTGAAAGCTCTACAACATAAGCACATCTTCAGCTTAGCGAACGAGTGATTTATCCAGTGTATCAAATCGTATTAAACCACCAATTTAGAAAAATTTAGAAAACTTATACGGAAATGAAGTGACGGTAGGTACATTTACTTACCTCCTTGAGTAGCTTTTGTTGGATCGGCTACAGCGGTTGCCGCTGTGGCTGCAGCCAATGCTGCCATCGCACGAAGGGTAGCAAATTCTTTTGGACCTTTAATCCCACTTATCTCTTGACTAAGATGAGAGATTTTCATTGGTTTCTGTGAATCTGTATTACATTTAAATAATCGACAACAGAATGTTGAAATTCGTTGTAAACATGACATAAAACATGATCTCGACGGTTTTGCGTTGATAATCACATCATCCTCGTCTTCATGATCAAATAACACGGGTTTAGTGAATTTTTCATTTTGATTGGATGTACGTTGACCATGATCATTGTCAAATGAAAATTGTAAATTTTCATTTAAGATTGGTTTTGGTGATTGTATTGGACTGGTTGTTCCCATTGATGTGGCATCATAAGCCAGTGGGGCTCTACCAGCTAAACGAAAATGACCAGGACCGAGACTTGTATGTGGACCACGTATACCATGACCAGATCGATTGATATTTGTGACAGTTGCATTGTAAATCAATGGTTGACCTGGAATCAACATATCATGTTCATTGGTTTGTTCGTAACGATTGCGACTATTACCTGTTAGGTTAAAATTGGTATATGTGTCAATTACTTACTTATAATACAGTTCATCATTGTGAACTGAACTAGGTCACAACAAATCATGAAATATGGAAATAAATTATGAAAATTACCTGTAGTTATCATTATTGAGGTATCATTTTTATAATTTGAAATAAATCGAGCATTAAGTAGAGAGTTACTTATAAAAATAATATACTTATCCTATTTTAAAGAGCCTGGGTTCGATTCCTGCTTGTGGGTATGGTCGATGAGCACTACTGATGAGTCATATCCTAGAATGAAGCGGCCGTCCAATGTTTCTACATTTAAAGATATTGTAATACTTTGAAGAGCTCAAGCGTTAGCGTGTGAAACTGAAGGTTCTGAGGTTGATTTCCGAGAAGAGCGTGGGTTGTGAATGCGCAGTACTGATAAGTCCCATACTAAGATGAAACAGCCATCCAGTGCTTCCATGTTTCTAATGATTGTCTCGTACACTCACTGATTCATGATTTAAATATCTTTAAGTGTAGAAACATTGGACGGCTCTCATATTCTAGGAAAGGACTCATCAGTAATGCAAATCGATGACCACCACAAGCAGGAATTAAATCTAGGATCTTTAATCTCACACATGAACGTTTAATCTCTGATCTAGTGAGTCAGAATCCAATTGTATTAATGTCTAACTTCAATAAATATGTAGTTGAAGTAATCAAACTGTAATTTAAAATAATTTTTCGAGTAAATTTGACTTATTTGGAAAATCTTGGATCAAATCAAATCCACCAACTATCTGATCGTTTTCATTAATATTTAGAAAGATTTTACAAGAATAAAATTCCTTTAAAATAAGGTATATCTTAAATTAATAATTCATCACAGACTTTGTAGTGCAAGTACTTTGATGGCGAGCCTTGAAGGGCGTGTCTAAGTCTTTGTACAGTTTACTCAATTCATTCTTCTCGAGAGAGGAATGCATCCAGCTGCGTTACGAAACAAGCCATCACTTGATATTCTCGATATCAAAGGAAAGGTGAAAGACCAACATATGAGTAATGTCGAAGAATGGAGAGAGAAATGAGAATAATGAACAACAGTTGAACAGAACTAGAAAGGAAGGCCCATGACAGAATAGGTTGGAAAATGTTGGTCAGTAGCCTATGCTCCACTAGGGATACCAAGCGTAGGTAAGTAAAAGTATTTTTCACAAGTTATTCACATGTCTTCCGAACTTGCTAACTATTCGCTTTCATTTTGGTTATTCATATTCTTTCACTGTAACTGCTTAGTCTTACCTCAGTACATTGAGTTAGCTCGTCAGCTGTATCTACTTCGCTTCGCTTTGCTTTTAAAGATTTGTATTCTCATTTGTGTCTTCTGCATGAACAACTGCTTGGAATAAACTCATCCAATCCAATCTTAACTTGACTTCTAATTACTGCCGTCGCATACACGAAGTTCGCTTAAGTTTGATTTACGGAAACTAAAGGAGAGATTAATTAACTTCAATACTACGATAATTTCATTATGTTGATAGATATGTAACGATATGTCAACGAATTGATGATTACAGTACAATTAAATAACAATAGGTTTTTCAAACTAACTTCACATTAAACAGATCACTGTAAAACATACTAAAAGTAGAAATGGTGATTAGATCAGATCAATCGTAAGAAATAACTCTAACGATCAAAATATATTGATTTTTTCCTAATAAATTAAACATTTATTTATGAAGCTTTTGCAAACCTGCGTCACTTATGGTGAAGGCGAGATATCTGTTTGCTAACCAAAGGGCGGGTGTACTGCGCAGCAGTTCGCTGCGTTCTCCTATATGGCTGTGAAACATGGCCGTTAAGAGTAGAAGATATTCGTAGGTTACTACTGGTTTTCGATCATAGGTGTCTTCGAAACATTGCTCGTATATCCTGGGACACCCGAGTGAGCAACGCTGTTATTAGGAAACGGGTGCTAGTTAAGAATGGCAGATCAGTAGACGAAGCAATGAAACTTAATCAATTGAGGTGGTTGGGACATGTGCTGCGTATGCCGAACCACCGACTGCCTCGAAGAGCTTTGTTTTGTAGTGTAGGAATAGGTTGAAAGAAAGCTAGGGACGGCCAAACCAAAACATGGCACAAATCCATGAAGTCATTGACGAGTGGACATAGACATGTCGGTAGTTGTCGACTACCTGGTTGGAGTCCGCGAGATTATAATAATCAATGGTTATAGACCCTGAATGACATGGCTCAAAACCGTTCGCAATGGCGCCGGTGCATTTATTCTTTGTGTTCTCTCAAATGCTAATCTTCTGGATTCTTCAACCCCTCTAGTTTCGACTTTCTAAACTTTTCTCACTGAATCATACTTACTGAATAATATCTTCTAATCCTAACCTCTCCGATTACTTCTAATCCCTTTACTACCTCTTCTACTATTGGATTTGAATTGACAATTATATCTGTGTGCTGATGTGGTATGGCAACATGAACTGATGTACTTACGTACAAAGTTCTACGTTGCATCTGACTGACTGACTTTTACGAAGTTTTATAATTAGTTAGATGACCATCGAAAGAGATTATGGATCCGCTGGCTAGACTTCATCAACAACAACTGACTGTAGCGAAGAGCAAACCCAGCATTCAGCTCAGGAGGAACTCAGGAAAAAATCGTTCTAGACTGATAAAACTTACATTGTGGAAATCATCGAACTGCGTCAAACAGCAAGCCTTACCTTGGAATTATCAGTGTAAGGCATAAAAAGACAGACTAAAGAGCACATGTTGCCCTGAAATCGGAGGCAGACATCAAAAAAATGTGAACATTACTTCGGGAACAATTGGAAAGTAGAGCACAGGAGAGATATTTTCGAAAGTGAATAGAATTAACTTGTCCAAATACACATTGCAATGCACACAGTATAAGTAAGTATATTTGGAAAATGGCAGACACATGCAAAATGCATTTCAGTGATAACTAAATCAATCGATCATTAGTACAATGCACAAATCAATTTTTAATTTGCACTATCGCATACAACTTACACATCTATCGACTTTGACATGCACAGAAGCTTTTGAAACATGCTTACTTAAACATAATGGAGATATGTTGCATTGTAAACTGAGTGTAAGAGCCCTTGTTTAACGGGTGTTATATGAGTGCATCATTTCTATGAATTAATGAAGACTTTGTAAGTGTTTTTTCATTAATCTAATCTCCTCAATTAGGAAGTGGTTTGAGTTACGTCATACAAGGTCTGTAATCAGTGGTTACGAAAATCACACGGACCAGATTAACTTCAGGGACAGGTATCGTGTCTTGGTTTGAACACCACTTGGGTTTCTTTCAGCCTACTCCTACATCACACAGTATCCCTAGTCAAGGTAGGTGCTGGTTAGTTAAACACAACGCATGTTCCACATACCTTAGTTTGTGAAGATTTATCTGTCAGCCATCTGTCAGTCTGATTTCCTTACCTAGTACCATTCCTTAGTGGTCGAAAATAAATAACAGCGGTGCCCCAAAGACACGTACAGCCCAGGAATATTCTCCATTCTTAATGACCCCATTTCATACTCATAAAGTATAACGGATCGTAGTGTGAAGTAGCCGACTCATCCTCAGGCTGGTAGACCGATATCTCACCTAAATTACAAGTGAATCAAGTTGACAAAAGCAGATGAAGTCTGTTTAAACTCTGATGAGATTTCGTCAGAGACCAGCTCGTAGGTACAAGCGAGACTCCTAGGATAAGTGAAGCTGTAGATAATCTATACTACTTCACTCTTAAATTTGTAGGGAGAGAATCGCATTCCAAATATAATTACCCTTTCGTTGAGGGCTATCAATGGAATTTGTATTTTTCTCAATCTCTTCACTAAAAACAGAATTGAATCATTTTCGTATTCTAGGTTAATAAGTGAATCTCCTTGAATACTTAGCATGAGTTTTAGATTTTTTTTTCCGGGGGAAGAACCTTCGAAGTAACTCTTTTTCAAACATTTCGATATTGAGTAATCAAACAGTTTCAGTGTTCTCTGAAAAATTCTAAAAGTTTTAACCCAACGTCAATGTTAGATCAGTTAATTTAAACACGTCATGAAGCCAAAATACAATTAAACTGTACAACTAACTCACTATGCCCGATTCGTGTACCATTATTATTTCTTGTAGCTGACAAATAGATATTTCTTTTCGGATGAATCTCTGTATTATCATCAGTGATATCTTTTATCGGAGTTGTGAAAGGATTACGTGAATGAGAACGTGATGATTCGTTCGGATCATATTGATGCTGATGTTGTTGAATATTTCCACCTCGTACTCTACCACCTCCAACTAGTGTTACTGTTGATGCATTGACTTTTTCACTATGACGAAAACCGACACCAGATGCAAGCAATGGTTCACCACTCACTGTAGTCATTGCAGTTGAACTACGTGGTAGTCGATAATTCCCTGTGTATCCATCAGTATTATTCTTGTATATTCCATCTCCGTCGTCATCCTCATCACCACCATCTTCATCATAATCATCCTCGTCGTTATTCTCTTCAGCTGGTTCAACACTTGTAGCTCCTCGACGAATTATTGCTCGAGTTCCTTTACATGATGATTGATAAGTTATAAGAATTATTATTTTTATTATCATTTTTGTTTTGTGGAAATCGTTTTCAAAATATTGAAAAACATGGAAAAAAAACAATGATCATTTCAATCACTCACCATATTGAAAGTATCGTTTGTTTAAAATTACACGAAATTGAACACAGGCAGTTTAGTAGTTTGTTTTTTTTCATAATTTCGTATGTAAATAATTATTGAACATTGAATACACGATAAAAAAAACTATTTAAAATTAATTTTTATTCTACAAGAATGTTAATTCATTAAATTTTATTGAGAAAAAAAACGTTGTAGTTTCAAATATAATCGGGCGTTTTTTTTAAAAAAAATCTATATACATTGAAAATTGAACACGTGCAAATGTAACATAACAAGACATAAATTTATTTCAAATAACTTTACTTATGGATAGAATTTATTTTAGCTTGTAAAGTTTGATGTACTAATCACCAGAACTAACACAGGAAAACTGGTTGACTCAAGTATTTCGGAAACCAACCTACACAGACCTAATTCTCAACTATGGTAACAACAACCCAACATCAACCGAAACCATCATCAGAAACGAAATGAAGCACAGGAACAAATAAACGCATCATCCTACCATACATCAAAGACATATCGGAGCATACAGCACGACTACTGAAACCATTTGGAATATGTGTGGCACACAAATCAACACAATCACTTCAATCAATCCTATGTGTAGACCAAAGGACAAAATGACAAAGGAAGAAAAACCAAATATCATCTACAAAATAAATTGTTCAGACTGTGAAAAACACTACATAGGACAAAGTGGACGTCCTCTTCAGCTTCGTTTACGTGAACACCAATTAGCAGTCAAACGCCACGACAACGCTTCGCTTATATCAATACATACCGACAATTAGGGACACACATTTGATTAGAACAATGTGAAAATACTGGCTAGGTGGAGGACAAAGAACATTAGAGAATTTTTAGAAACTTGACACTCAGGTCAATCAGCAATCAACAAACACATCGACATTGACCCAATTTATCAACTAATCAGGAAAATCATAGGTGACACAGGATCAAGAAACAGATCAAAAGGGAGATGCAATCAAAACAAAGTTGCAAACAACGACAGGTCAAAAGTCAACAGCAACCAATCAAGATCGAGGTTAGCAGAACAAGCTACAGGTCAAACGTGGAGAAATTCGAATACTTCACTTTTTCTATCTGAAGTTTGTGCTGATGATGTTGTTCAGCAGAAGAACAATGAAAGCTCCACAACCAAACCACATTCACAGCTCAGAGAACGAAACGCCACCACAATCATCCACCTGAGCTACAAGTTTTCTCCACCATCTCAAAAAGTTTGATAGAACGATAAGAAGTTATGATTGGTGAATTGGATATAAGAAAGTTATCAACTGCACTGAGTATCAACACTGAGTAACAAGTAGATGTTGACTCAATGGTTTACATGGTAGGTGTTCACCCTAGAGGTTCCTGTTTTGATTCCCGCGTCTGGAGTTCATGGATGTGCACTGCTGAGAAGTTCCATCCGATGACCAGCTGGTCATGCAGTGCTTCTAGGTTTCTCATGGTAGTGTAGCTTAGATCAGTTCGTGATTTTTATGATCGATAGAAATCCGTTTCATTAGAAAAGGAGTGAGATAAGTTTTGTTTGCGAAAATTGTAGTTTATTGATCGATAATAATCAGTAAACTTATAATTTTCTTTCTGTATGTAGATGATTACATAACTCTTTCATTGATCATTTCAAAAAGTTCTACTATTCTTTTCAAATGTTAAAATTTTTGATTCGTGTTTTTTCCAAATTTGATTGAGTGATATAATTATCTTTAACTAAACACTTTTGCTCATGATGCTTGTAACCTAAAGTTAATATGAAACTGATCAGCTACAGTCTTAACTACCAATGGGTAGACTCAAATTACCAAAGTCAATAACATTAATCTTTACGTAATTGTACAGGACAGTAAATAACTGGGCTCAGTAGCTAACTTACATTACGGAGTTGTGAAGATTGTTAATTTACACATTTTTGAAACCATGAATCGATCAATGTTAGACTGCTGAGGAGTCCCATACCAGGACGAAACGGCCATCTAGTGCTTCCAAGTTTCTAATGGTGGTCTAACATTGATCGATTCATGGTTTCAAAAATCAGTAGCTAAGTGTACAACGTGAGAGGCAGAGTTCCGTAGTAAACATCATCTCTGTGATGCAGGGAAAATCAAGTCGTACATCTCGGATTCTGGTCAGTAATAAAAAGAAATTATAGGTGACATTAGATAGCTGTCGGATGGACCAGTGAATAAATCTTTATTTCTAAGTTTCAACTACATGCAGAAAAAGTATGGAGGTTTCCCCAAATTTACGAGAATTTAGAAATAGATTTTCCGTTCAGCACTTATTGTAAGAAAACTGCGTCACAAGGTGAGCCCTCATCTAGAATCCTTAAGACCAAGGGGAAAGAAGAACACCAAATATTACATCACACCAATAAGTGAAGACAAACATGAGAATTATGAACAGAGGTTGAGCACAACTAAAAAGAAAGGCCTCGGACAAAGTTGGCTGGTGAATGCTGATAGGCAGCCAATGATCTCTTAGGAGTAACACGCTTAAGTAAGTAAGTAAGTAAGTAAGTAAGTAAGTAAGTAAGTAAGTAAGTAAGTAAGTAAGTAAGTAAGTAAGTAAGTAAGTAAGTAAGCAAGTAAGTAAGCAAGTAAGTAAGTAAGTAAGTAAGTAAGTAAGTAAGTAAGTAAGTAAGTAATTAAATAAGTAAGTAAGTAAGTAGGTAAGTAAGTAAGCAAGCAAGCATTTTTGTTAGAAAACAGACAGCTATAAGTGAAACGGAATGACTATTGTTTTTATTGAATGATTCACAGTTCCATTTGGCTTCTAGTGATTCAATTTACAATATATGTATGCTTTCAATGTTCAATTTTTTAAAATAAATAACATTTTGTTCAAATTCATAAAATGTCAAGTATATTCTGAAATCAATTTATATACAAAAATATATACAAAATATGAATGTTGTTGTTAGACATAGATGAAAATTTCGCAGTCATCAATATTGAACAAACCGCATGCATTGTTTGAAACATGCATATGTAACGTTAAATATTCAATTTTTTCAATTGTCTTACATGCATTCGAAAAAACAGTCGAATTAACTTGTAAGTAATGCACATAAATATATATAAACGAAAATTCTTTGTAAAGTTTAAGCAACTGAGACTGATGAAATTTTGTTTAAAACGGACTGAAGAGAAAGTTGTGAAAGTTGATACTTGATAAGTCTTACAGAAGAAGGATTAAAGATTCCAAACGGACTGTAACATTTTTTAATGAAACTCATTCAACCGATTGCCTTAATTTAAATAACAAACGTATACAATTTCAACGTTAAGTAACGATTTCCATTGTACAATGTGTTCAGTAGTGACTAAATTGGTGAGGAAATTCTCAGAGTTCTGTTGAGAAGACGTGACTAGTTGGGTTCAACCCTGTCGGGTATAGGCAGTTATCTACCGAAGAGAATAAGATTAGATTGATCAAAACTTTACAGTTAGCCATTAGCGCGATTGGATGCCAACTCAGTGGTTCAGAGGTTAGGCATTCGCGCGCAAGACCGAAGGTCCTGGGTCCGTATCGTGCGAGTGGCAGGAGTTGCAGATGCAAACTGCTGACGAATTCCATACCAGGACAAAACGGCGGTCCAATGATTCCATGTTTCTGATGGTTGTTTAACATTTTGCCAATTAAACAAACTTATTTGATTCACTATAATTATTCGTTTGATATAAATGAATTCTTTTCGTTTGATTTAAAGACATTTACTCTAAAGAATCGAGTAGTATTGAACAGAAGTTTCTCCTACCCGACATAGATAGACCTTTGCTGATCACGGGGATCTTGTGTAGGCATTGCTCAGGAGGAGTTTCATACTTGAATGAAACGGGCAACTAAGGCTTCCAGGTTTCTGTTGGTGATCGTGATTTCGTGATTTCAACCTCGGAAATAATAATAATCTTCACAGCTTCGCTTCAGACGACCTTTGAAAACCTGGAAGCGATGGACGATCGTTTCGTTCTATTATTGAATTTTCCATCAGTGCACCTCCGAATAAAGAATCTTTGATTTCACTCTCCGATTCTTAACCTTCAAGACTGTGAGCTATCGTCCGGTGATTTATAAGTATAACTTAAACCATTCTACGTAATCTTCAGAGGGCACCTTCATTATACTTTAAAAAAGGGGATTTCACTGCTTATGGCGTTTGCCTACGAAAGCAAACATTCCAAGGCAAATTCCTAGTATGTTGGTTTTTGGACTCTCAAAGCTGAAGAACTTCAAAATAGAACAAAGTATCTGTCCCGTGTTTTCAGGTTTTCAATGACGCTGTAACACTGGTTAGTTCATGGTTTAGTTGTCATCTCCTCAAATACTGGACAGTCAGAGAGTAACCTTGGATATATCAGTGAGATAAAATAATTTTCATTTGAGAAAAGTAGTTTCCCTCTATTTTATCCACGTTTTTTATCGGTGAAACTTAATGATTTAGAAACAAGACAATTGATCATGAAAATGTTGATTTTTTAGAGTTCAAATTAAGCATCCAATCAAATGGATTTGAGAATACAAATTCAAACAAAGTTATTTCTTATTATAAACTAATTAGAGTCAATTACCAGACTCCAAAGTATTTAGTTTCTATTCCTCCTAAAGCTTTTCTACGGTTACTGTAGGTCTCAAGACCCGAAAAAAGGAAGAAGGTTGGGCATGAAGTTAGCAACTCTATCCCCAACTGTGAGGATATCGTATGAATATCCTAAGAGAATTATCGGTCAGTTCTTATTAGTTAATTTCTACTGGTCAATTTTGTGGTCGTCCTAGATATCAATGTCATATGCTCCAATGTCGATTCTTATTGGTTGTCCTGACTATCAATGTCACTTCAAATGTTACTTCCTATTGGTCGTCTTAACTATTAATGTCACAGACTTTGATGCTGTTTCCTATTCGGCCAAAATGTATAAATACGCATTATCTGTAACGTTTTATGACCAGGACCAGGACCCGGTCCCAGATCCCTAGTCCGGGATACTGATTCTCTTCTGGATTCGGACCTTGAACTTTCTGTATGCTTGTAGAATACTGGTTCTACTTCATATCAATTCTTCTTTCACTAAATGGGGGTTGGGGTAATCGGATTTGAGTAGCATGTCATGTCGCCGGATCCTCGATCCTCGTCGCTCTCGTTTCCCGACTAAGGTAAACTCGTAATAGTTCAAGTATTTTAAGTTGATGTGTTTACGTGCAGGTGTAACACCGACTGAGGAGGAAATTAGGAAAACGCAATGGAGGTGGACAAATCGCACAGTGAGGCAATCTCCCAACTGCGCCGCAAACCAAGCCCTAACGTGAAATCCTCGTGATCAAAGGAAACGAGGAAAACCAAAGAACTGAAAGCAGAAATGAAAAGAATGAACAGCGATTGGATAGAACTGGGAAAGAAGGTCCAGAACAGATACAATTGGATGTTACTGGTCGACAGGCTATGCACCAATAGAGACAACAGACAGAAATAAGTAAAGTATTTGGTTTTAACATCTTCTTATTAACTGAGAGAGTCTATTCTCGTTTCAATAACAAACTTACAACATTTTTTAATTGGGAAATTTTCATTCTGTCAACTGTGACGGGTAAAATCATGTATTTATCAATACAATCTAGGCAAGAAAATATTCTCTGGGATTTTACAAAATATTGTATCCTTTTATAAAAATCAGTTACAGATTTTAATATTTTTCCTTCCAAATTAAAAGAGTAAACAAGAAAGTCAGCAGAGACATAGAAATGAAATATTTAGTGGGACAGTATACTATTATTTTTGGAATTATTGAAAAATGAGACTTTCCAGCAGCTGTAAGTCAAGTAAATGTCAAAACTGTGAATTGAAACTTTGAATTTTTAAAAATAGCTTTCCGCTAAAGTTCTTCAAATAGGTGTAAAAGTCGGCTTAGGTGAAAGCCTCTCTTTTATATCTTCTCTTTACCATTTAGTAGTGAATCAAATCGTTTTTGATTGTAAGAGAGGCAGACTAAAAACAGTAGCCATTTAGAAAACATCCCAGTCTGTTAAACTAGTTATAAGTGAAAAGACTAAGCCAATGATTACACATAGGTCTAGATGTTGCTCGACGGTTTACATCACATCTCATTGCATTTATCAATTTACATGTTTGTGTGGACACTCACATCAGAGAGGATTAATCGAACCACTGGTAAAACAAGCTTAAAAAGCTTAGACTTTTTAATAGAATTGCAAATGTTCTTTGATTTTACAGGGTAAGTAACAAATTGTCAATATTTTCATCTGTGTATAAGTAAGTAAGTGGGCAAGTAAGTAAGTAATTAAGTAAGCAACTAGGTTAGCAAGTAAGTAAGTCAGTGAGTAGGTAAGTAAGTAAGTAAGTAAGTAAGTAAGTAAGTAAGTAAGTAAGTAAGTAAGTAAGTAAGTAAGTAAGTAAGTAAGTAAGTAAGTAAGTAAGTAAGTAAGTAAGTAAGTAAGTAAGTAAGTAAGTAAGTAAGTAAGTAAGTGGGTAAGTAGGTAAGTAAGTGGGTAAGTAAGCGAGTAAGTAAGTAGATTAGTAAATAAGCAAGTAGGTTAGTAAGTAGGTGAGTAAGTAAGTAGGTAAGTAAGTAAGTAATTAAGTAATTAAGTAGATTAGTAAATAAGCAAATAGGTTAGTAAGTAGGTAAGTAAGTAAGTAAGTAAGTAAGAAATATAATTAAAAAAACTGAATTATTTTTGAAAAAAAGTCATTTTCTCAAAACTGAGTCACTATAACTCCAGTAAAATGAAATTTTAAGCACAAACTTGAAAGACTATTTGAATCATTGTTAAAGATAAGAACTGAACATCAAAATTCAAGGAAATCGAAATCACAAACTGACATCAACTATTGTAAATCAGATTACTATTACTATAAAAGATTCATAGATTACATACAGTTGCTGTCAGTTAGTGAGTGACCTAATTCCAAATTTAATCAGTGATTGAACATTGACAATGTCAGTTTTTAGGGTCAGCGATGAATGATTACGTTCACCTTGAAATATTTTCTTAATTTGCATGAAACGGTTGTGGAGATTGTTGAGTTGCTTTTTGAAGTCATTAATCGGTCAGTGTTAGTTAGACCACACCATTAGAAACATGGAAGCATTGATGAGTCCCATATCAGGATGAAACGGTCGTACAGTAAGTGTTTTCAGGTCTGTAATAATGGTCTAACATTGATGGATTTATGATTTCAAAGAGTAACTCAACAAACTCCACAAACTTTTCATGCAAATTATCATGCGCTCACTAGTGACTAACTCCGTGAGGAAGTTTTTCCAAATTCTAGTGAGAAGTTGTGATCAATGGAGTTCAACCCTGTTTCCGGGTGTGAAGAAGTGCTCACCAAAGTCAGTAGAGGAGGTTGTGCAAGACATTGGATTGATTGAAGTTAGACATTTACACTGATATGTAGCACCGGCTCTTTCGAACAGAAGTTAAGGTCCTTGATTCAAATCTTGTGAGTAGCAGAAGTCGTGGATGCTCACAACTGATGTTTACCCAAGTTAAGATATTCATCGTTCTGTTAATGAGCAATAATTTCTCCCAGACAGCTCTTTTTCGGCGATACGCCGTGACCAAGAAGCATTTTGAATGTTTATTAATGACACAATCTTACAGTTTTTAATTAAAGTTATGAAGATTAGTGTTTTTACAAATTTGAAATCATCAATCAATCATGGTTAGATCATCTTTAGAAATCTGAAAGCACTGGGCAGCCGTTTCGTCCTGGTATGGGACTACTCATCAGTGGCAGTGCACATCCACGACTCTTGCATCTCACAGGACTGGAACCCTGGACCTTCGGTATTGTGTACGAACGTCTAACCTCTGACTTTAACTTAACTAATAATTGTTAACTAGAATAAAACTTGGATAATTTTTAATTAACTCATCAGTATTACAATCATACAAACCAACCACAACTACACACTCTCTCTTACTCGTTCTATCACATTCTATAAATGCTGGATTACGAAATCCTATCTGTTCAGCTACTGTTGTTGTAGTAGTTGGTGTAATTGTCGACATCGTCGTTGTCAGGGTTGTCGTCGAGGTCACCATTGCCGATTTAATATTATTCAAATTCACATAATCATTATCTTCTCCATGATCAATAAATCGTACATTATCCTTAAGACCAAGTGTACGTGGACATATTGCTCCATAATGATGAGGACGATGATGATTATAAGGAAGATTATTATTATTATTAGATGACGAGATGGATGATGAGAAATTACTGGAATCTTCACTATGTCTTAGTTTACGTGAACGAATAAAACGTTGACATATATCTAAGTAACATTTAAGTAGTACATGAACAAATGTATACGCACATACATACATAGAGAGAGAGAGAGAGATAAGTAAGCAAGCATAACATAGTCGTAGTAAGTAAGTAAGTAGTCAACAGGCGGAACACCATGTTAGTCGCCGTCAGTTAATAAATCAATATATATATATATACATATGTACATATATCACAATAAATATATATATATATATATGTTGTTACGTATTTGTATGTTCATCAAACAGAAAAAACAATCAGTCGAAATGGTTAAAAAGGATAACATAACAGCAACATCATATGTCACATTCAGATATACGTACAAAGTTATGCAATATATTTATAAATATATGCAGTAGTAGTAATAGTAACCGATTCATTCGATAGTAGGATGCATGCATGCAATTCAACAAACACATGTTAGTCAATTATTATAAAAATGGAAAAAATGCACACACAGAGAGAAAGAGAGAAGGGGAGAAAAAGAGAAGGGGAATCAATTATTATTAACAAAAACACAAAAGATTAATTGAAATATAATTCAAATTAACCACCCAAGAAATAGTTATTATGTATACAAGCATACATAAACATACCCAATTTAATGAAACTACTAACATTTTATTTAAGTAGTATAACGTCAATACATATATATTTTATCTTATAACAAATTATCTGCTTGTAAGTAAATCTGTTGTTGATTGGTAACATTTCCTCAGTAGTCTTGCAGACGGATTGCAAATTGAAAAGAATGCCAATTCTGTAAAAAACATCCTCGAAGAATTTTCCTTTCTGTGGTTAAATTGTTTGTGGATGTACACTGCCACTGATGAGTAGTCCCATACCATGACGAAACGGCCGTGTTTCAGTGCTTCCAGGTTTCTAATGGTGGTCTAACAATGATTGATTGATGATTTCAAATGTGTAACAACACAAAACCTCCAAAACTCTGCCCCCAAAATATCGTAATAGTGCTCACTAGTGACTAGCTTCGTGCGGAAATTCTCGGAGTTCTAGTGAGAGAAGACGTGAGCAATGGAGTTCAACCTGTTCGGGTGTAGACAGTAACTACGGGAGACTGTATATGAGGTTGCGCAACTCCGTGAATTGATCAAGTTTGACATTAACACTGTAATATTCAGATCTATTTGTTACTTCAATCAGTATAATCGATAGTATCCCGGAATTTCCAGTGGTTTGTCCATTTTTGACATACTACATACGATCCTGTGTTAGATCACTATTGGAAACCTGGAAGAAGCACTGAAAGACAACCGTTTCGTCCTAGTATGGCACTCATCAGTGACAATGCACATCCACGATTCCTACAATTCGCACAAGATTGGAGCCCAGCAAAATTCGGTGTTGTGAGCAAACGCGCAACCTCTTCATCACTGCGCAGGTATCTGAAAGTGATCTTGATCGATTCGAAAGGTCCAAACAATCAGAAAATACACGGTGAGACACTTCCTTGTACAGTTTAAACGTGAAAGAAAATGTAAAAAATTCCTCTATCTTACCAGCGCCTTCTAGTCGCTTTTCAGGCATTAATTTCGTTTGAAATTCTTTGCTTAAATATAAAGGATGATAAAAATCACCAACTAACGCTTTGATTACTTTGCCAACATCACGTAAAGCCACTTTCGATGTCTAATTATGTGAATAAACAGTGTAGAAAAAAAGAAGCAAAATGAATCATTTTTATTATGAAAATTCAACTTTTGTAGAATAAAAAATTATCTAACATCAACCTCACTAACTAACATTCGGTGATAGATTATTGCTACAATGGTCTACTGCAAAAAAAATATACAAACTACTACTGTGGTGTGTGCTACTTATACAAACGATATAAGTAGTATAAGAAGAGACGTGAAAGAAGAAGTTGCGTGGTCAGAAGAGGAAAACGGAAAGCGAATGGAACAAAAGCAAGAAGTAAATGGAGTACCAACAGGAAGGAAAGGAAGCAACAACAGGAATGGAAGAAGAAGGATGGAGTGTTGGAAGTCACGACTCAAAGATGGTGTGCAAATAGAGTGTATTCAATGTAATGTTTTCGTTTTTCGTCTTGTTGGGCAATTCCTCTTCCAATGTTCGGTTTCTCCGCAAATACAGCATTTATTATTTCTTCCAACCTTTATTCGTAATGCTGCCACCTCACGTTGTGATTCTTCTAACTACTTTGCGACATCACCAGCCTGTCTTTCATACGCCACCGAGGCAACTGTTGAGTTCATCAGTTGCCTTGTTACTTTAGCCAGCTCGTTGACGTCCATCGGTTGTGCCGCGTTCACCAGTCTCAACTGTTCGGCAACCTCTGCAGGCACACTTTCAATTAATTGCGACGCTAGCAGCTGTGCTTGCGACTCCTCATCCGAATTCGGCAGACCCCGGCGCAGCAATCTTGTCAACTCCACAGTCAGCACGAGTGGGTCGACATCCACTGTCAGTCTCGCCACTCGGAACTTCTGCAGTGCGTCCTGCCTGTCCGCCTGGCTGTCGAACTCCACCAGCAGTTTTTCCGTCAAAACCTCCCAGTCAGAGTCCTCCAAACCATCGTACACTGCTCTCGCCCTGCCTCTTAGTAGAGTCCCCAACACCACCGCCTTCGCCCTCTGCTCCTTGACTCCCACCAGCTCCGCCGCGGCCTCGAACTCCTTCAAGAAGCTCCTTACATCTCAGTCTTCAAACTCCCGAGGCCACGGAATCCTCATCGTGTGTAGAGGCAGCGACACCAATTGAGAAGACTGAGGCAGGCGAGGAAGATTGTATTATGCAAATTTACACTCTGAGTTATTTAAAAATGAAAACATTACATTGAACACTCTATTTGCACACCATCTTTGAGTCGTGACTTACAACGCTCCATCCTTCTTCCATTCCTGTTGTTGCTTCCTTTCCTTCCTGCTGGAACTCCATTTACTTCTTGCTTTTGCTCCATTTGCTTTCCGTTTTGCTCTTCTGACCGTGAGACTTTTTCTTTCACGTCCCTTCTTATACTACTTATATCGTTCGTATAAGTAGCACACACCACACTACTATTATTATCAGTTTTATGCATTATTTAGTTGTTTCTGTAATATAAATGACAACACATATATATATACAGATATATATAAACATGATATTTATCTGTAAAATACATTTATTAAGCTAAAAGTATGCACATTGATCAAACAACAATGAATGTGACATGCAACTAAAACAACATTTATTGAACACTGAACAGAATATATTTTTAAAAACAAACACCAAGGTTTTGTTTTTTGGGCGATTATGGTTTTAGTTTAACTGCTTTTGATATACAGTTAAGAAAAAGATCAATAACTGATGTGATTTTTATTTTCCATGTGTCCTAAGTTCATTAGATAAATACTACTGATTTAATAGTAAAAATTGTTCAATGTCTGAGTTATTTGTTCATGTCAGTCGAATGTTTGAATATGGTGGCTAGCAAAAATACAACTATATCTACAGATTTTTTATTTGCATTACGGGGTTGTTGTGAAGATTGTTAAGTTACACATTTTTGAAACCATGAATCGATCAATGTTAGACCACACCATTAGAAACCTGGAAGCACTGAAACACGGCCGGTTCGTCCTGGTATGGGACTCCTCATCAGTGCGCATCCACGACTCCTGCACCCAGCAGGATTCGAACCCGGGACCTTCGGTATTGTAGTCGAACGCCTAACCGTCGTTAGATACCGGTTCAGTGGTCCGATAGTGAAGGTGAACTCGTAGTGTTGAATACGTTTATTTTGGGATACACCACAAAGTGAGGCGGAGAAGCAGTGAATAAAACGAAAGAAGCGACGTGAATTGGAGAAGACTGTTGAGCCAACTCGTAGGATTACAATTCGAACAAATGGGCGAAGGAAGCGATTTGGAGAAGGCTAGTGAGCCAACTCCCAGAAACAGAGCATGACTAAGAATTTATAGTCAGGCAAATATAAGACAGACATGTGATAAGCGAAATGGGCACACACATGAATAAAAGTGACGAATAGTTGACAAGGTCAAATGACAAGTGAGACACGCCATGTGAGCTCCTCATACAAACCAGACAATAATAAGAACGAATGGTACATATAAATTGTTGCTCGCAATACAAATTAGCTTGGTTGGTTAAATAAATTAATCGAAAGGGCTTAACCAAATTAAATGTAAGCTAACTGGAATTAATATATGTGGAGGCACTACAACAGGACGAAATAGCCGTCTTTCGGTGCTTTCAGGTTTCTAATAGTAGTTTAACAATTGATAAATTGATAATTTAAAGGTTTGAAAATTTTTCATTGATTAACTCGTAAATATAATTATTTAATTAACAAACTAATAATTTCATTAATTTTTAATGTAGTTAGTGAATTTAATTAAAATCAAAATTTATTGAAAACTAATGATTTATTAAAAATTGTCTTTATTAAAACCATGAATCGGTCAATGTTAGATCATCATTAGAAATCATGTAACCACTGGACGGTTGATTCGTCCTAGTTTGGTATTCGTCAGCAATCTGAATATCTAACATGATCAATCCACTTACACGTGATCAGCTTTGTGAAAGAATTCAAAGAGTTCTAGTGAGAAGACTTGTACAATGAAGTATAAACGTTGTTGTTCAGTGTGCGGCTGTTAAACATTTTCGTTCATTCTTCTCATGTCTTTCTCTATTTCTGGGGGTCATGTATCTCTTGACTTTCCTCTTTTACTTTGATTTTGTTACGCCTGAACGTAATCACGTCAACTTGATACACACGAGTTTACCTGGTCAGAAAACGAGAGCGAGGATCGAGGATCCGGCGACACGATTATACCAACCCTCATATTTAGTAAAATTAAGAAGACTTGATATGAAGTAGAACCTGTATTCTACAAGCATCCAGAAAGTACGAGGTCCGAATCCAGAAGAGAATCAAGATCCCGGACTAGGGACCGAGCCCTAGGTCCTGATCGTGGCTATAAAATGTTACAGATAATGTGTATATATACATTTTGGTCGAATAGGAAACAGCATCGAATTCTCTGACGTTCACATTTAAGACGACCATTAGGAAGCAATATTTGAAGTGACATTGATAGTCAGGACAACCAATACTAAACAACACTGGAGCACGTGACTTTGATATCTAGGACGACCATAAAATTGACCAGTAGGAATTACCCGATAGGAATCGACCAATAATTCTCTCAGGATATTGGATGAATATCCTAACAGATTTGGAGGTTTCCAAGTGAGCAGTTGTTTTGTGAAGCTGTCGCGAGTCAAGGTATTGAAAATGTGTAAGATGGAGTGACTGAACAACTTACTTACGCCTGTTACCCCCAATCGAGCATAGGCCACCCACCAGTTTTCTCCAACCAACTCTGTCCTAGGCTTCCCTTCCCAGTTCTGTCCAATTTTTGTTCATTCCTCTCATATCTTTCTCTATTTCTCGGCGTAATGTGTTCCTTGGCCTTCCTCTTTTCCTTTTGCCTTGAGGGTTCCAAGTGAAGTCTTGTTTATTGACGCAGTCAAGTGCTGTTCGTAATGTGTATCCTATCCACTTCCAGAGCTTCTTCCTGATTTTTTCCTCCACTAGAATCTGGTTTGTTCTCTTCTACAGTAGGTTGTTGCTGATGGCCAACGAATCTAATGTATTTTGCGTTAATAAATACTTATATCTTCTGGATGATAGCTTCGATAGTTTTCCAAGTTTCCGCCCCACACAATATTACTGTCTTGACATATGTACTGAAAATGTTGACTTTAGTGTTGGTTGATAGTTGTTTTGATTTCCAGACGTTGTTCAGTTGTAGAAATGCTGTCCTTGCTTTGCCATTCCACGCCTTCACATCTGTATCAGATCCAGCTTGATTGTCGATGATGCTGCCCAGATATATAAAGGTGTTAACGTACTCCAAGGCATCTATCCATCAAAAGTAATTTGTTTGACGCATGTTGTGTTGTGTATCGGAGAATCTTGCTTTTCCCTTTATGTATGCTCAGACCCGCTGCTGCTGCTCATGATTACGGAATATTGTGGACTGACTGAAGTTAGACATTAATACCACAGAATTCCCACCTCAGGTCGATAATCTTGCCTTTCGATCTTGACTACTCGTTGACACATGATTACACATTGCTGATAAGTCCCATACTTGGACGAAACACCAAGTTTTAAAACAATTATCTCATATTGATCGATTCATGATTTTAACAAAAACAAAAACATCAACTCACTCTTCTCATTCTCATTTTTATTTTCGTTACATACATTACATTTCATACGAAATAATAAAATCAAACATAGCTGCATATGTAATCTACCAAACTATAACAAAATTAATCCGTTCAAACGTCAATCTTTTTTATATTGTTTTGTACAAATGATAATTAACCGACTGATTAAAAACAAATGAGACATTGTATATACGATTAATTACTGTACAGACTAATCACTAATCAATCATACAGTATTCACTGCTGTAATAGATACATAAATATGCAATGTAAACCCACAGCATAGTTTTCAAACAGATTTCCATTCCCATTTCAAAGTTTGTGCATTTTCAACAAACAACAACCACAACAACATATAGACGTGTTCATTTTCTACACACCAAAACTCATGCAATTTGAATTGAATAATATAACTAGAAATATATTTATATATATATTTATATGTATATATATGTATATGTATATATATATGCAAAGCAATTCAATAATCACTGCTTTAGTTGTACATTGAACATGATCAACATTCAAACTACTACATACCACCAATACTAACACTACTACTACTACTACTTGTACTACTCACTACTAGTACTGCTAGTACTACTAGTACTAATCCGCATACATATAAATTACCTTGTGTTCTTTGGATACAGTTCTACCTAATTTCTAAAATACATGATGATGAAATAAGTTTTTGTTTTTTTTAATAGAAAAAGAATTTGATTTAAACACAAAACAACACTTACTTGTAATATATTTCATCGTAATGATTGAAACACAATGTATATAGAGTTGTGTCATTTGTTGACTTAAAAATAATCAGTATATTATAATAGAGATTGGTAAATAATGTGCTCACTAGTGACTACTAGCTAGCTTCATGAGCGAATTCTCCGAGTTCTTAGGTGAAGAAGCTGTGTGACTGTGTGTGTTTGTGTGAGTGGAGTTGAACCTCGTCGGGTGTAGGGGGTTACCTACCGAACAGAGTGGATGAGGTTGCATAAAATCCTTAGATTGATTGATCAGAGTTAGACATTAGTATGACGACCTGCTCAATGGTCCAGAGTGTTACGCATGCATGTAAACATGTCAATTTGATATGCGTGAACTATTATGAGTTTACCTTAGTTGAAAAATGAGAGTGAGGATCGAGGATCCGATGATACGACATGCTACACTAATCCGATTATCCCAACCCCCGGATTGAATGAAAGAAGAAGACTTGATATGAAGTAGAACCAGTATTCTACAAGCATTCAGAAAGTACAAGGTTCGAATTCAGAAGAGAATCAGGATCCCAGACTAGGGATCCGGGACCGGTTCCTGTTCATATAACATCACACATAAAGCGTATTTATACATTTAGGTTGAATATGAAACAGCATCAAAGTCTGTGACATTGACAGTTTAGACGACCAATAGGCAACAACATTTGAAATGACACTGAAATTCAGGATGACCAATAAGAAACAACATTGGAGCACGTGACATTGATATGTAGGACGACCATAAAATTGACCAGTAGAAATTAACCAATAAGAATGCATATTGGCATATTGGATGAATATCCCAACAGTGAGGCCATTATTAGAGACATGGAAACACTGAATGTCCGTTTTTTCCTGTCATAGGGCTCATAAACAATACGCATCGACTACACCTGCTATTCGCAGGGTTCGAATCCAGGACCTTCGGTATAGTACACAAAATCCCAACCTCAGGGCCATTGAGCTGGCATCCGATGGTGTTGATGTCTAACTGTGATCAATCTAAGGACTTTGCACAACTTCACCCATTGTCTTCGGTAGTTTTTACCTACACTTTTGATATTACGAAAGGGTTATCCAGTGCTTCCCCGTTTCTACTAATGGTCTAACAATGATTCATTCATGATTTCAATCTGAAAATAATCAGCTCATTCACAATAAATTTTTATTTGATCCAGAAACTTGATCATGGTCGTTGAGTTGAAGTATTTTCGGAACAATATCTGTCATAATTATGACATCAGACATTTTTCTGATCATTGGAAAATAATTGTATTCTACTTAGAAATTTTCACATACTTCTATCGCCTCATACTATGAATTGTTTGACTGCTATCTGTTGAATAACACTGTCAAACATTGTAGTTGAAATCAAGGAGTATTAATACCTAGACAGTAAATAAATTATTCTGAAATGCACTAGAAAGTTTTTTCATCCTAACACAAGACTCATTAACAGTGTTCATCTACGACTTCGTCGGTGTTTGAAACCCAATTTGTAGAATTTTCTCATTGGTGGTTGTGACTGTGACTGATCAGTCATATTTGGAAACTGTGTATCCTATGAGGATTGACTAAATTTACACTGGAAGACCCAACCTACCAATATATATATGAATTAATCTTTACCTTGTTTCACAAGAGAGTGGCTATTTGAACTCAGTAGCTAAGTAGATAATGCAATGGGTGCGCAGCGTACGGTGCAGCGTTCAAGTCCTGTAGTGAACATCAGCGAACAACATCCAACTGGTGAGTGTGAAATAGGACGACGCCCACGTGATGAGTTCCACTGCTAGCCAATATTCAACTCTACACTTGATCGACAGTATGTTTGATACAACGAGAATCCTATTATATATTTCTTTTCATTCCTACCATACCTATCTACCAATCAGATGTTCACAATGACACAGGTTCTCTGTTTTAAATACAATATTTTCTACGAAGCTATAGGAAATATTCTAGTAGTTACCTTAAATCACACACAACATGTTTAAATCATATCTAGTTTCTATTTTTTATAATTAAAAATCATAAATGATAACACATTATTTTTTTTTGCGTCGTCGGCATGCTGTGTGCATCAGCATTCTTTTAATTTAGATTAAAAAAGTTGGACATTGAATCGTTGTTTTAATTGTGTACATGTAAATGTAAATAATTTAAAATGCACCAATAACTTACTCGATGTGAACGATTGTATTCCCACATTTTATTGAAAATTGCAACTTTTGAATTCTAATAATTTGTAACAGAGAAAAAAATCATAACAAGAGAATTGAATTTCGCATTGAACTAATGAATGAATCATTGTTAGACTACAGTTAGAAATCTGGAAGCATTTGACTGTCATTACATCTTGGCATAGGATACATCAGCAGTGTTTGATGTACGAATCCTGCTACTCGCAGGAGCTTTGGTCTCCTGAGCGAATGCTTAGCTTATCGATCATTGAGCCAGAATCCAAAGTTATTAGTGTTTAAGTGTGATCAGTGTAAGGATTCTGCTCAACCTCTTAGGTAGTAACTGATTACATCCGACAGGAATGAGCTCCACTGGTCACGTCTTCTCACTAGAACATCTCCCGACCGTAGCTGCTACCTTGACGTGATGATCGGGCTTGTCTATCGTGATGACCCAACCGAGCTATATTGGCTGGAACATATGTTCCTACAGGTTCTACCATGCCAGGCAGGTCGATTGGAGAACGATGAGACTAAAAGCAGCTACCCAAGGTCTGAGGGCGAAGTCGTACTGCTCACTGCAGAGGGGTGTGACAGCAGTGAGGTGTTTTCCTCGGACAACCAGCATCTGCAGCAATGTTGCCTTCTCACAAGGAAGGAGAAGGTCGACCCTAAAAATTTCACACCTCACCCTACCTCACTGATTTCCCTCTCCTTGGGTAAGGGTGCCCACTAAGGGCCTTTAAGAACGGAGCTAATCCTCAAAAAACCTTTCATAAAAAGGTCGTGCGTGACTGGCCTCAAGCAGTTGTCCCTTAATCTCTGCGGTCGCGCACCCAGGTCGTTAAGACCAACACTAATCTATCTTACGTTTCAGGTCCCTCAAGAAACAACCTTCCACGATGTGGGCAGCTAGGAAACGACAACCGCCCTCATATCCGTACCAGCACACGAGACTAGAACGTCAAGAACCTCGCAGTGTTGCGGCTAAGGTCAGGGTTCACGTATTAAGCATTTATGTGTAAGATCGAAGGTTCTAGGTTCGATTCCTGCGAGTAGCAGGAATCGCAGATGAGCAGGATTCGAACCTATCACCTTTGGTATTGCGTGCGGACGCTCTATCTGTGGACCCTGAACTTAACACCGTTGGATAACAACCGGCTCACTGGTTTATTGGTTAGGCGTCCGCGCACAAGACCGAAGGTGCTAGTTTTGAATCCTGCGAGTACCAGGAGACGTGGATGCACACTGCTGATGATTAGTTCCTAACTACCGGACGAAACACCGCCTAGTACTTCCATGTTTCTAACTCTAGCCTAACACTGATTCAATCATGATTTCAAGTTCAAAGAATCAGAATTATGCATTTTAAACAAAACAGCACTCATCAATTACCAAATTTTTCAACTGATCAGTATATAATTTCTCCAACATATAAACAGTAAGAAAATCTTCTAAACTGAAACCTTGTTCTAAGAATAATTTGACAAAATCATGTCGATCACTCATCAACGCTTGATACATGTAGTCGTTCAATTGACCTTTCTAGAGGAGAATAAGAGAAGAATAGAGGAAATGCTGATGAAATCAAGAGAATAAAAATGTTAAAAAAGTTGAACTCAATCTAGTTAAGTTTTGCACAAGTTTTTTGTCAAATGGACTATTCATGCAAAAAATTTTAGACGTGGATTTCATCTGGTTTATATGTGATGATTGCATAAGCAATGCTATGAAGTGAGTTCAGTAAGTACTATTCATATCTATGACCATTTAAGTTGAAATGAACCAGTAAATATTTATGTCAACGAGACAGATATAGATTGAACTTTCTTTGACAAATATTTGAAAATTGTTAAGGTACAGATTTTTGAAACCATGAAACGATCAATGTTAGACCACCATTAGAAAGCTGGAAGCACTTGACGGCTGTTTCGTCCTGGTATGGGACTCCTCAGCAGTACGCATCCACGACTCCTGTACCTCGCAGATACCGGCTCAGCGGTCCGATGGTTAGGCGTTCGCGCACAATACCGTAAGTTCTGGGTTCGAACCCTACGAGGTGCAGGAGTCGTGGATGCGCACTACTGAGGAGTCCCATACCAGGACGAAACGGCCATCCAGTGCTTCCAGGTTTCTAATGATCATCTAACATCGATAGATTCATGGTTTCAAAAATGTGTAACTTAACAATCTTCACAACCCCATAATGCAAATATTTGAAAGCTAAGTGTGTTTATCTGTGTAAGATGCATTTTTGAAGGCTTTGTTTTTAAAAAAATCCCTCCATGTTTTATAGATTTGTAATTTGTCCTTATTGATTCTTTCACCCGTACATTTTGTTAATCTGTTCGATTCCATTTCGGAGATGATAATAATTGTATTTTATTATAGTTTCGATTACTTTTGCCTTTACTGAGTTCCTATGTTTCTTTCTGAACTGCATTGATGCTGTTTAAGTTGATACTTAGTCATGGCGACAGCCATATTGATTTGTTCTTCATTTGATTGTGTAGCTTGCATGAACTGGAATTGTGCATTTCGATTGTGTATTGAAGCACTCTACTAGAATAGGAAACACGCTGTGTTATAAAGCAACCAAATATCATGCTTTGAACGAATCTGATCCATCAAGGAGGGATAGAATATCATTTATTTGCTGCTGTGGATTTGATTAATTGAACAATTGTTGGTGGAATAACTGAATGGTAATATTTGTTTAGGTAATGATGTATATTTATATTTATGATGAATATTAGAACCGTTATTTACCCAAATCACTTGTTTTGATTTCAAATGGGTAAGACGCGTATCTAAACTACCTAGACAGTTATTCCTCAGTCCAAACTTCAGTTTCGATCCGACAATCTGTATCTTGACTGATTTGTGTTGGCTGCCGCATTGTGTATCAAACCTATCTCATCCAGAGGCCATTTAAAAAAAGTTAGAAATCTATTTCACTGAGGAATCCAGAAGATTAATATTTGAGAGAACACAAAGAATAGATGCAACTGGGTGAGTGCAAATGATTTTGAGCCATGTTGTTCAAAGTCTCTAAATATCGGTTATTATCATCTCATGGACCCCAACCAGGTATTCTCCACCTAACAATATGGCTCACTCTAGTTGTCACTGACGTCATGGATTTGTGTCATGTTTCTTCCTGGCTTCCCCTAGCTTTCTTACAGCCCCTACACCACAAAGCATAGCTCATTAAGACAGTCGGTGAGTAGGCATAGGCAACAAATTTCCTAACCAACTCAACTGATGAAGTTTCAATACTTCATCTATTGATCTGCCATCCCTACCTAGTACATGTTTCCTAACTACAGCATTGTTTACTCGGTGGTCTCAGGATATACGATCAATACTTTGAAGACAACGATGATCGAATACCAGTAACCTAAGAATATCCTCTACTCTAAGTGGCCATGTTTCACACCTATATAATAAGACGGAGCGGACTGATGCGCAGTAGACCCGTCCTTTGGTCCGCAAAGACTCCAGGCAACCTATACTCCACGAACGGTAACAAGCAGAAATAAGTAAACGTTGTAAGTAATATCGTTAAATAACTCTAAAATTTATTTAAAACTCTTTCAATCTTTAACTACTGACTTGTATAATTTCATTCATCGATTTCACCGGTTTTATAGAATAATAAAATTCATTGTGGTGGTGATGTTTTGTTCTTTGACCTGGATGTTTTGGTTGTGGAGCTTTCATAGTTCTTCTGCCGAACAACATCATCAGCAAAAACTTCAGATAGACGAAGTGAAGCATTCGAAGCATTCTCCACGTTTGACCTGAAGCTTGTTCTGCTAACCTCAATCTTCATTGGTTGCTGTTGACCTTAAACCTGTCCTTGTTCGCACCTTTGTTTTGATTGTATCCCCCTTTTGATCTGTTTCTTGATCCTATGATTTCTCTGATCGGTTGATAAATTGGGTCAATTTTGATGTGTTTGTTGATTGCTGATTGACCTGAGGTTAGCAGAACAAGCTACAGGTCAAACATGGAGAAGGCTTCGAACGCTTCACTTCTTCTATCTGAAGTTTGTGCTGATGATGTTGTTCAGTAGAAGAACAACAATGAAAGCTCCACAACCAAAACATCCGCAGCTCAGAGAACCAAACACCACCACCATCACAATCATCCATCTGAGTTATAAATCTTCTCCACCATCATAAAATTCATCAGTTCATTGTTCAATAATAATAATAATAATAAAATAACATTTCACTTACTTTCCATTTTTTATTCTCTAAAAATATTTTCTCACGTGCAATATCAGCACGATTCAATGTTAAAGTGATTTCTAATTGTTCTAAATTAATTTGATCCGATGCAACCGTTGAACCAGCTGAATAAAACAATTTGTTTTAATAAGAGGTAAACTGTAATATATTTAAAAACGAATGAACTACATAAAATGATGTAACGCTAAACTAGTATTTCAATTACGTTTAGGACACTTACCGAGGTGTAGCTTCACGATATTCCAGTATGAAGTTTGAGTTCGTGAAAAAAAGGATTTTTGAAATCATGAATAAATCATCATTATTAGAGACCTGAAAGCACTGAAAGTCGGCCATTTCCTCCTGGTATGGGACTCATCAACAGTGTGTATCCACGACTTAAGCCGCACGCCGAATCCAAATATAGGGCCTTCAGTCTAGTGTGCGAACGCTTAACCTCTGAACCATTGAGCTGGCGCCAACCATTAGTTTTAATGTCTACCTTTGATCAATCCACTGTCTTCGGTGAGTACTGTTTCACACCCGAACACTTTTGAAATCCATCGGTCCTGACTTCTCACTAAAACTTGGAGAAACGGCCAGATGTTAAGCGTTTGCACGCAAGACCAAAGGTTCTGCGAGTAGCAGGAGTCATTTGTGTGCATTGTAGATGAGTCCCATACTAGAAACAGACGGCCACCTAGTGTTTCTACCAGGTTTCCGATGGTGGTCTAACAGTAATCGATTCATGATTTCAAAAGGCAACTCAAAATCTTCCTAACCCTTGAAGACAAGAATTGCCAATTATTTACTCATGGCTTACGTATATAAAGGATAATTTTCAGAGTGATGACTACTGAACAAATGTTTTATACGAATTGAGGTGCTCTTCAGTATCCGGCAGTTATAATTTTGCAACGTTAGATAATTCTATATCTTTAAGTAGAACAGCGAAATCAATAAATAACAGAATGTTGGCTGAAAGTTGTTTCAAGTCCCAGATCTTCTTCTCCAACCTAGCTTTGCCGATCTGCGCCTTCACAAGTACATCATATCCAACTTGTTCAGAAATGATGTTGACCAGATATGTTAAGGTTTCCACATCTCCCAAAGCCGCACCGTCATTTATGATTTGGTTGGTGTATGCTGTGTGGTATCTGAGAATCTTGCTTTTGCCTTTATGTACGTTGAGACATACTGCTCCAGAGGCTACTGCAACACTGGTCGTCTTCTCTTGCATTTGTTATTACGTGTGTGAATCCCATTCATTTGATTGTTCCACAATGATCCGTAATGTTACAGTTCGGTTGGTACATGACCGATTTTTAAGAAATCCAGCCTGTTGATTTCGAATTCGGGCATCTATGAAGTCCTTCATTCTGTTTAACAACATCCTGTTGAAAACTTTTCCTGGTATTGAGAGAAGAGTGATGCCTTTGTTGTTCTGACACTTGCTGAGATTCCCTTTCTTTGGTATGCTGATCAGGTGTCCTTCTTTCCAGTGTAATGATACCTGTTCTTTATCCCATATCTTGCTGAAGAAAATGCGGAATATTTTAGTAGTTACAGCTACATCTACTTTCAGTGCCTTTGCTAGAGTATTGTCTGGTCCTGCTGTTTTATCGCTCTTCATTTATCTGATGACCATGCAGATCTCTTCAATTTTTGATAGGCCAACATTGATTGGGAGGACCATAGGTTCTGTTTCAACGTTAGAATAACATTAACACAGTTAGACGGAAACTCAGTAGTCAAAAAATAAAGATTCTGGACATGAATCGAAGATCTTGAGTAAGCACTTCTGATGAGTCCTTTACTATAGGACGAAACAGCTATGCAGTACATCTGAGCTTCTAGTCTAACATTAACCCTGTTCATTGTTTTAATGAAATTAAGTACTTACAAATATATGGCAAATTCAAACGAGCATACATCAAAGTCTATAAATAAATTTTTAGTAAAATAATGAAATCAACCTTAAATTACGTCAACGTTGTAGCGAAAACAACCAAGAACCAGTACTACACATGAATACACATGAATATGTACCGAAAAGTTTGACTTTGTCAAAGTTAGCATTACTAAAGAAATGCATAAAAATGCAAATTTGTTTTTTTTTCGGATATAAAAAAACGCTCCTCATTTAAACGGAACGAATTTGTGTGTGTGCATTAAATTAGGTTCAGTAAATATCTCATCAATCATATTCCTCATTGCCTTTTTATCTATTTTCTTTGATCAAAAGTATACACCTTACAATCAATATAATCAACATTAACAAGTTGTACATGAACACTGTTGATCAATCTTCACCAGTTTGTTTAAACAAAAGGCTTATTATTATTATTATTATTATAATTCGTGAGAATTTCAATAATTACCGTCATTAAAAAAACGGTGTAATTTATTATAATTTATTTGCGAAAAACAATGAAAACGTAATAATGTATAGTGTGTGTGTGTGTGTGAAGGATGAACATTGATCCCGTTGAATTAATTACAGTCAATTGGGCAAATGCCCTAATTAAACTATGATTATATAAATATATATATATATATATATATATATATATATATATATATATATATATATATATGCATACAAACCGTTTCTTTTTATTAAGACCGGTATCAGGCAAGGTTGCTTACTCTCATCCTTTCTCTTTCTCCTGGTCATCGACTGGATTATGAAGACGTCGACATCTGGAGGGAAGCACGGTATCAAGTGGACAGTTAGGACGCAGCTGGACGATCTGGACTTCGCAGATGACCTCGCTCTTCTATCGCACACGCAACAACAAATTCAAGAGAAGATGACCAGTGTAGCAGCAGCCTCTGCAGCAGTAGCTCTCAACATACATAAAAGGAAAAGCAAAATTCTCCGATGCAACACAACATGCACCAATCAAATCACTCTTAATGGGGATGCCTTGGAGGACATTAACACCTTTACATTTCTGGGCAGCATCATCGACGAGAAAGGTGGATCGGATGCAGATGTGAGGGCGCGGATTGGCAAAGCAAGGGCTGCATTTCTACAGTTGAAAAATATCTGCAACGCCAAACAACTTTCAACTAAAACCAGAATAAAGATTTTCAATACAAATGTCAAGACAGTTCTACTGTATGGAGTGGAAACTTGGAGAACTACCAAACCCATCATTCAGAAGATACAAGTGTTTATTAACAGTTGTCTACGCAAAATACTTCGGATTCGTTGGCCAGACATGATCAGCAACAACCTACTGTAGAAGAGAACAAACCAGATTCCAGTGGAGGAGGAAATCAGGAAGAAGTGGTGGAAGTGGATAGGACATGCACCACGAAAAGCACCTTACTGCGTCACAAGACAAGCCATCACATGGAATCCTCAAGGTGAAAGGAAAAGAGGAAGGCCAAGGAACACATTACGCCGAGAAATAGAGAAAGATATGAGAGGAATGAACAAACATTGGACAGAACTGGAAATGGAAGCCCAGGACAGAGTTTGTTGGAGAAAACTGGTGGGTGGCCTATGCTCCATTGAGGGTAACAGGCGAAAGTAAGTAAGTAAGTAAGTTTCTTTTTATTCGGTTTTTTGAAACAAACACAATTTATTCAATAGACTGATGAATAATAATATTTTTCAATGTACAACTCAAGTGTTCCATTATCATTTTTAAAGTTGTAAAACTATTAGGTGAGTCAATTCAATTTTCAATTTCTGTTTTCGTTTGTTTTAATGAAATCAAATTAAAAATGTCACGTTCGCATTATTTTTAAATGAGACATTTAGGTTTTGTAAATTTGTAAATTGTTTTTCTAATTGATGGACGCCGGAAAAAAAGAAATCCTTAGGTTGATCAAAGTTAGACATGAACACACTGGGATGATGCCACCGGCCTAATGGTACAGAGATTAAGCGGCCACGTGCATGGTCAAAATTGGTGGTTTGGAATCCTATGAGAGTAGCAGGATGCACGCTGCTGTAGGACAAAATGGCCGTCCATTTCCTCTTCCACGTTTGTAATCCTGGTCTAACAATGATTCATAAATGATTTTAAGGTTAAAAGCAGTATAGTTCAGCTTACATGACAAGCTAATCTAAGCATCGATCAAATGTGTGGTCCCCATCGGAAGTTTCTAATACTGACTTACCGTCGATCAATTTATGGCTTCAACGAAACTCATCAATCTCTCCCCAACCGTATAATAATACATCAAGCGTGCGTGTGTGTGTTTGTAGGTATACGTAATCAGCTTTCTTATCTAGTTCCTATGTCCGATTCACGTAAAATGATTCATATGTGATTAGAGTGATGTAAATTTTCCATAATGGAACTTAACAGCCAGTAGACAATGTTTGGACCAATCTACTATGTAAAAGAACTCAAGTCAAGCACAGTTCAATGATTTGAATTGAATTGAATTCAAAATGAATTCTTGAAAGACTAACTTATTCTAACTACGATGATAAATGTAGCTCACAAAAACGGGTTCGAAGTGAAGATCGGTGTTAATAAGAAAGGTTGCTTAATATCACCGTTTCTCTTTCTCCTAGTGTTCGACCGAATTATGCAGACGACGATATCTGAGGGAAAGCACTGGATACTGTGGATAACTAGTATGCAGCTGGACGATCTGGACTTCACAGATGATCTGACTCCTAAATCACACTTGCAACAACAAATTCAAGAGAAGACGACCACTGTAACAGCAGCCTCAGCAGCAGTCGGTTTAAACATACACAAAAGGAAACGTGAGATTCTCCGATGTAACACAACATGCACTAACCAAATCACACTTTACGGAGAAGCTTTTACATATCTGGGCGACGTCATTGATGAGCAAGTTGGATCTGCGGATGTTAAACGAACGGAATAGCAAACCAAGGGCAGCATTTCTACAACTGAAGAACATCTGGAACTCAAGACAATTACTGACAAACACCAAAGTTTGAATTTTTAAAAAAACTGTCAAGACATTTCTATTGTATGGAGCGGAATCTTGGAGAACTACAAAAGTCATCGTCTGGAAGAGAGAAGTGTTTATTAACAGTTGTCTATGCAAAATACTTCAGATATGTTGGCCGGACACGATCAGCAACAACCTACTGTGGGACAGAACAAACTATCTTCCTGTCGAGGAAGAAATCAAGAAGCGGAAGGAAGAGGAAGGACAAAAATTAAAGAAATCACCCAATCGCTTCAGAAGAGACAAGCCTTCACCTGGAGTCCACAAGACCGAAAGAAACGAGGAACAGCAAAGAACACGTTACTCGGATAAATTGGAGACAGGCATGAGAAGAATGCATAACATTTTGAACAGAACTAAACAGGAAGGACTCAGGATAGAGTAGGTGGGAGAAAGTTGGTTGACGGCTGATGCTCCATTTGGGGGGTAACAAGCGTAAGTAACTAATAATAACTCTAGGCAAATACAGAGTTTCAAATCATCAACCAATCATTGTTAGACCACCACCATTAGAAACCTGGAAGCAGTGCAACACAGCCGTTTCGTCCTGGTATGGGACTACTCATCAGAGGCAGTGCGCATTGACGACTCCTGCACCCCGCAGGATTCGAACCCGGGACCTTCGGTATTGTGCGCGAACGCCTAACCATCGGACCACTGGGCCGGCATACAACGGTGTTCATGTCTAACTCTGATTGATCTAGGGATTTTGCGTGACCTCACCCATTTGTCTTAGATAGTTACTGCCTACACCTGACAGGGTTGAACTCCATTGGTCACGTCTTCTCAACTAGAACTCCAAGAATTTCCTCATGAAGCTGGTAGTCACTAGTGAGCACTGTTACAATATTTTGTGGCAGAGTTTTGGAGATTTGTGTTTTTACACATTTGAAATCATTAATCAATGATTGTTAGACCACCATTAGAAACTTGGAAGCACTGAAACACCACCGTTTCGTCCTGGTATGGGACTACTCATCAGAGGCAGTGCGTATCCACGACTCCTGCACCTCACAGAATTCGAACCCGGGACCTTCGGTGCTTGCAGGTTGATTGGATGATTTCAAATGTGCAAAAAAACACAAACCTTCAAAACTCTGCCTGAAACGACCACCGAGTTCACAGTAAATGTATATACAATGACCACAATGATTAGAAGAACAAATCAATCAATCAATCAATGATCACTTACCACTAGCAAGCAATGATGAAATCACATAACCATCTAAATCAGAATCTTCTTCCATATCAAATACTGACACTAGATTTGAATAATCATTAATAATTTCGCATAACATATTCACTTCATCTGTATAATTTGTATAATCCGGATGTAAATCACTAAGAAATTCTTCAATGATTGATTCAATCCTACAGAGGTAAAATAAATAAAAAATCAATACTCAGTGAAATTGGCTCATCAACGAGGAGGTGACTTGATGAGGGTGGTAATTGGATGTAGTGGACAGAAAACCTTGCACGTAGGTTTTGGTGCTGGTTAACACTTGTCAGTATGGTTCATCTGTACTTCGAGAAGTATTAGGAAGGAGTTGATACTTATGGCATTGGTCAATACCCAGTGATCGATTGAATTGGAAGTATATTTCAGTCGTACAAGATGTCAGTCGTGAATCGGATAACTCAATAGTATCGTCGATGACTGTAAGGTCTCGGTGATACATGATCAAATCCACCACCTGTGAAGACTGCAGGTACACTTTGGCACGAAAATTCTGTAACTGAAACCTCTCACTTCAGTAGTACCTTTTTTGGGGGGGGGGCGACGCTACTTCACATCCAAGTGCATACTAAGTATAAGTTTCGTTGTAAGTAGTACACACCACAGTTGTGCAAATTACTGTTGAATAAACCAATATACAGAAGTGAAACAAATGTGATTGATCATCGAGCGTGGACAAACAAACACAGTCTACTAACCATTTAATATGTGATTTGATTTCCTCTTTGCAAGCGTAGCTGCTACCTTGATGTGGTCGTCAGGCTTGTGTTTTGTGATGACCCAACTGAGCTATATTATCTGGAACATTTGTTCCTTTAGGACCTACCATGGCAGGCAGGTAGCTTGAATTACGGTTAGGCTAAAAGCAGCAATTTCAGGTCTGAGAGCGAAATTGTACTACTGAATGTAGAGAGGTGTCTGTCGGACAACCAGCATCTGTTTTGATGCTACCTTCTCACAAGGAAAGAAGGGGTTAGAAAAGGCCGAGCCTCAAAATATCATACCTAACCTTATCCCATGTAATTCCATTTCCAGCGATAACACCGTCTAAAGAATGAAGCTAACACTTCAAAAAACATTCTATAAAAAGGCCGCATATGACTAGCCTCTGGAAGTTGTCGCTCAGTCTCTATGGCCACGCTGACAGGTCGCTAATACCATCACTGACCTGATTTCCATTCTAAGTTCTTCATGAAACACCTTTCCACGATCTGGGCAGCCGAAAAGTGACATCTACCCTCATAACCGTAACAGCACACAAAAATCCTCATTTCCTCTTATTGATTTTCACTCTGAAATAGCCAAAAGTAACTGCTTGTTATAGAATAAAATAATACTGTCTATTGCTTATTTTCTGATTCAGTGTTTTAGTTCTTTGTATTGAGTTCAACTTGTTCCTAGTCTCTGTTGTGTGTATCAAATCTAGAGGTAGTATAAACTCAATCACACAAGCGTCTCCTGTAGTA